TAATTGATTGTGTGCAGGTGCTAGATTAGAGTCCATGCATCATATGCACTTGTTGCATGTCGTGCTGTTTTGTACCGTACCATTTGCAACGTCTCAGAGTTTCCCGTCCTCGATCGAGGTTGGTATCGAGGCTCCTGTCAGTGGCCGATGGATGCACTGACTGATGACCTGCGCATGCAATCAAGTGAGGGCGGCCGGACCTCTATTTTGGGCCTCCTAGTTTAGACTCCGGCAGATTGCTTAGACTCAGCTTCTGTGCGAGGCGCCCGCGACTTGTCAACATCGAGGAAAAAGCTTGCAGGACAACTAGGGCGCAGACACTCATGGGCCAGGAGAATGATACGAACAACCATACAGGGATCTGAGCACGCTAGACATGGCTCATGCAGAACATTGAATTCAATTTGCGTGCAATCGCAGAAGTGTACAAACAAGCAGCCGAAGCAAGCGCCGCTCGAGTGCACTAACTGAGTCCGTCATCAGTTTTCATGATTCCTTGAAGCTGCTTGTATGATTGAAGCCTTGCACGTTAGATTCTTGAGTAAGGTCTTCAAGATCCGTCGATTAACTCCCTTATCTTTTATCTTAGCTTTGCCTACTCTGGCCCGGGCGACTGCCCGACTGTGACGTACTCGGAAGATCAAAATCGTCATAACAGTTCAAGAACCTGCCTTTGGTATGGCTAAGAGACGGGACCAGAGAACCTCACCGAGCCTTTTAGAGTATCTGCCCTTAAACGGTTGTATGTATCTCACATGCTTCTTGCTTCCCTGCCACCTGCCTGCCTCCTTGCCGAAAACAAGCAGTTCTCCGTGCACGTCATGAAGATCTTCGTGGTACCTTCCGTCGAAATTTTCGGGCGCTAACCAACGTGTTTCGTCTGTCACGGCGAGAACCGTTGATGAATCATTCTCTGCAATGCCCATGCTCTGCCCTTGTGGAGCAGACTTGGCCTTGATGATGTCCTTGCTAGGAGCGCCTGGGCCTGTAGTCCTCAAGAAAGAGAAGGCGAATGCGTCGGGAACGCCCGAGACAGCCGTCAGAGAAGAGTAGGATATTTCCTCCGGGGAATGTTGCTCCCCAAGTGCTGATCCAAAAGAGACTGCCTTCCAGGGTTGGTCGAGCTCTCGTTCCGCCAGGGAATGAAGCCACACTTTCTTTTGCAGCCCGTTTAACAGAACAATGGCATCCGCAGATGCAGCACACATCACTTCAGTCACCTTCCTTCCTTCGGCGAGATATGCCAAGACGTCACCCTCTTTCCATTCATGGAACCTGGACGGGCAATCGTTTAAGCCTGTTCGTGGGGTGGGTGGCAGGAAATGCGGAGGCAACGCGAAGGGCCTCCACGTGTCGCTCAGGGTGTCGTAGAGGCTTCCGTGCGAAGACCTGATGATTGCAAACCACCTATTCGGGAATTCGGAGACAACGCTCGGTATTGCGTAGTGCAAGACGAAGACGTAGCGCTGGGATGCGACCACGGTAAAGCTGGTTTGCACAGTGCAGAAGTTAAACCCGAAAACGAAGCCCTCTGCCGTAGGAGACAATGGGGCTTCTTCCTCTGTGAGCTGCAAAGAGCTCCTCTCCTTCCAGCACCCCTCTCGACTGGTCAGGTCAAAAGACCTCAGGCGAAACTCTCGCACCCTTAAATAGACATCACTCGGGGCACGCTTTGGCTCGCTCAGAACGTACACTGCTCTGTTGACCACAACCGTGCTCTCGGGTATGTCCACCCAGACCGCGCTTGACTGTGCCTCAGTCAGACCCTTCCCAAACGTCCTCTTCCTGAATGGATGAACATGAAGCACAGTCCTATCTTCATTCAGAACCCCCAGTCCAGGATAAACATTCTGCCACTCTAACAAACTTTTGCCCCTGCCAGGCTCAGCGTCAACAACCCGGCAAGCGAAAGTGAGCAAGCCTGGTTTGTGGAAGCGGCCGGCTTCTCCCAGGTGCCCTTCTTCCACCGCCTGCTTCCACGTCTTTGAAACTTGCCGTAGGGGCCAAATCTCCCCGAGGTCCAGGTCAAGGCTGGACGTGAACCTACAGATCAAATGATTGGCGTCTTCTGGTAGCTCTTCAAAGAGGTCCGCCATCGTCTCCCATCAAAAGCTGCTACTCAAATGTCAGCGTTCGCGTTTGTTCACGGTTGACCAAGACGCGGGTTACACAAAAATGATCGCGCCGGCCAGATCGCGGCGGCTCAACGCGGCCGCATCAAACAACAGGGTTTCAACGGCGCGGCCGCGACGATCAGAGCGCGCGCTAACATGCAGCAGTACTTACAGTAGGAGCGGCAGAGGAGTAGGCGTCTCTAGTCTGCCTTGGGCTTTGGAGCGGCAGATACTGTTCCTGAAAGATGTGCTATTTTTTGAAGCGGCAGATACTATTCCTGAAAGATGCTTCAACGTGGCGAGGAGTAGCAGGTGCGCTCCCTCAATGCGCAAGTTTTGCCAGATAGCCTGCCAATATTAAACGTCAGGAACTGTGCAACACAGAAGGATTGAATCGCATTCGCAAAGTCTTCCATGACCGACGGCCATGAGCTTCCTACTGACTGTGCGAGGTGGTTTTCCAAAGGTCTCCAAGAAGAAGCAATCGTGATTCTGGCTCGCGCTCCAAAGCATGTCGTCCAAAAAGGGTACAAAATATAGTCGAAGATCTGCACCCCTGTATACATATAGCCTGGGCATCTATGTTACAGTCGACTTTCCATTTATCGCGAATGATTTTGCAGATCTGATTAGAAGGTGGTTCGTTCTGGCATAGCTTCTGCTTATTCCGTATTTTGCGGCGTCCTAGCTCACGCAGAGCTTGCTGTCTATCTTTACCCCTCATCGCTAACGTTATACGTCATCATCGAAACTAGAGTACGTCAGCCTCTATTGTAGCCACCCGAGTTTTAGGGTTTTCGGGCCGCACTCTGGCAACCTTTATGTGAATTTGAAGATACGACTTGAAAATAGGCGCCCGGGAGACGGGTGATGTAGGTAAGTGATTAGGGTGGGTTGCAATTGGAGTCCGGTGCGCGTAATTCTTTCAGTTGACTTTCTGCGTTTATGTGCCCGGGTAGCTCGGCTTCCGCTGAAAGCTCTAAGTAGTCGAGCAAAAGTCTTGGCTGCCGTTTCCGCCTCACCTTCAACTTCGCCACTTCGTGTTGTATCTTCAAAGCCTTTTGGTGCACCCTTCAAAGATCTGCCTTCACTGGCCTGATTGCTCTCCTTGCAATTGTATGATCTAAATTGGACTGGTCAGACTGGTGTCAATCACAGATAAGGAGTTATCCAGACCTTGAAGAAGGGTCAAGGTCGCTCCTCGCCACTGATGTGACGCAGGTTCCGCCAGTTCCGCTCCTTGAGCGACAAGTTGCTCATGCTTTCGACGAAACTCATCCAGGATTGCAAGTAGGAACAACGTCTCAACGTCTCGCCTTTCCGCCAATATTTTGGAAAGCAACAGCGGGAAAAATGCAGCAGATCTGTGATGGCCAAGCTTTCGACTGGATCCGGGCGGTAGCTGTAGGGACTTGCGCATACAACTGGACGTGCACGTGTGTGCAGTACGCAAATATAAGCGTTTGACCGGCAGGCCTAGGTTGTCATGAACCGTGATCACTCGATTGGAAGCCCGTTATAAGATGTCGAAGTCCCAAGCTTTCTGTGTCATCTCGAATAAAAATAACGGGCTGGTACGTACAGCCGCCCTGAAATTATTGCTTTGTGGCATGCCCTCATAAGGACGGTGAGTACAGAAACGCGCAACATGAATCGTTGTTCTGCATCCATATGTCATGCACGCCGAACAAGAACAGAAGTTCGTCGGATTCAGATCTTGCAACCTCTCTAATTGTGCAATATGACTCTACGAATGATGATTCAAGACTGCCTCAAGCTCTCCTCGCATGCGAACGCTCCCTACTTGTCCTAGAATTGTGTGTTGAGTTACGGCTACGTTGCGTTAGGTCATGCCGGTGGGATGGGTGGGGTTGGGTTAGGGGTTTAGGGTGGGTACGGGTGTGGAGCATGTTAACTTTGGGTTTAGGTTTTTAGTTTGATTGAGCCCGGGAAACTGATCTAACTCAACATACACCCAACTCAACATAAAATCGAGACTTATTTGTCCCAGGGTGCCTTTCTCAGAGACGCCTTGAGCTGCTCCTTCTTGGCCTTCATTGACGCTTCTACAGCGTCTCTAGCCTCCTTTTCGTGCCCTCGTACCACTCTTAAGTCCTCATCGTCCATCTGTTTCGTGATCTTCCCTATCGCTTTTTCCATCTTTCTCGAGATTCGGGTGAAGTTTTTATATCTCCGCTGTAAGGAATCGAGGATTCCAAATGGTGAAGGAAGTTCGAGCTTTTCTCCCGCCAGCGCTTTGTTGCAGGTGCCGCCCATTCTGTTCCTTGGGCCAATTGCTCGTGCTTCCGGCGGAACTTCTCCAAAACAGTACGTCAAAGCGCCTGCGAACCTCTTGTGATGTGTAAGCTGGGATCGCTTCTACATGCGCCGAAAAGTGGTACGAGGAAATCAGTAACCTCACCAAAGTCGCTGAATGTGTGTTGCCCGTCTTGTATGCACGCCATTAATTCTTCTGCGAACGCCTTGGTGAATTCTTCCCCATGCTCCTTCCAGCAACTCTTCAGCCGCTCCGCATGTGCCTCCAACTGAAGCTCTCGCTTCAGCTTCTCATCTGCGCTTTGGCGCCATGTAAGATCCCTGGCTCTGAAAACGTTACTAAGGACCCAAGCAATGACGTCAGAAGGCGCGGGCGTCAGATCTACGGCTGGATCTTTATCCGCGTTAAGATCTGCGCCTTGGCAAGAACCAGGTTTGCTTTTGTGCACGTCTTGGCGTCTTCAGGAGCAATACCGTCAGCCGACCGGACGGCAGCGCCCAAGCAGGAGAGAGAAAGGCCCAAATTTGTAGAAAGTGAACAAACTCAAGCCCTTCCGCTGGTCCAAGCATACAGTACCGTATATCGATCATGGTTCTTGACCTGGTGACGACTCGAGCACACGCGAAGCCGGCCGCGGCCACCTGGAGTCGGCGGGTCACGTTTGATGGAAGTTCAAATTGCCGGCCGCGGCAAACTCAGGCAGGCCGACGCGCGGCGGGCCTGGATATGAATCGTGACGTCACATGCGCACAGTGCGCGCGCGGTATGACGGTCACCGAGCGGCTACAAGCTGTGGGCGCTCATTTGCCGTGAGGAGCCGCTTCTTGCAATTGGGCGATGGTTCTAGGCATATGTTCTAAGTTACTAGTCAACCTCTAGCCGGTCGGTTGCCAGGCTGTTCATGTGATGACGGGCAATGTTTTTGGCAGCCCGAGAGCGGAAAATCGAAGTGCCCAGCGCATGGACAGTTCTCTGCCCGCGCGTATCTTCCATTCAGCGACGGGAAGCTTTAGCAATAGCATGGCCGGAAATCAGCCTGTGTTGGGTAGGGTTACTTTGGGGGTTGGGGTACGTTCGGCACGGTGCGGAGCGGGTGATTCTGTGGGTTAGGGTTTTCGTATAACAATCCTCCCAGTGCGCGGCCATGCGGATGATGCCTCGTCGGAGGGTTTAGTCTCGCCTTGCATCATCAAACATCGAGCCCGGTTAGGCTTCCGTTCAAGATTAAGTTAAGCAGGAACACTCGGAACACTTTCAACAGCTCAAATGTAAAAGGCCTGCGTTCAGCCGCCGTCCTCGGGAGACTCGTGTGCCAAGAGGTTTGAATGATCTCAAACTTCTCTTTCGTGAGCGCGGCCGGGTACTACAGTACGCTGTGTGCGTGTCATGCACCGTGATTGCAGCACTGAGAATGTTCTTGCACTTAGAGTTATATATCAACCGAGGAGTCCATGAAGTGCATGCGCAGCATGTGGGCCGGCATGCCACTATCTAATCTTAAAGGTCAGCTAGACTTGCTCTGAGACACGAGATTCAGCCAGTCGACTCTACTGCACGTTAAACAATGCTGTTCTGGAATGGCTTGAAGTGACCTTTGTAGTTTAGAAGAAGGATCCCCAGGGGAGCATTACACGCATGCCAAAAATAAGACAGGATCCCACATTCTAGGTGACATCCGTGTCCGCCGGTTCGATGGCACTCGGTTGCAAGCTCGACCCAATAAAATCAACCACAGGGATTCACGGGCTCAGCCAAAACTGCAACGACCGGCTAGCAATCTCCGAAACTGCGGCTCCCTCGACCTACCCGCCGACCTTCCCCAGATTGCTCATGTCCAGAATCTTGATGTCCATGTTTCCGTCTAGCTTCACGATCCCGTCGCTTCCGTCGATTCCAATAAGCTTCCCGGTCAGCCCCCGGAACTCTCCCGTGACGATCTTGATGTTGTCGCCCTTTCTCGGTGCAATCAGCTCCAGATCCGCCAACTGGGCGGTCACGAACTCTACCGGGTCCGATCCTGAGCCGATTTGCACCTTGAACCCGCCGTCGGGGAGGATCTCCCGGAGGATGCCCTGCCTCTCGGAAGCTGTCACCCACACGTCGGGAATCGGCCAAGAGGAGTTGTCCAATGGCGTGCCGAAAGCTGTTGCAAGAGGATTCGCATCATCGGTGTGGGCTGTATGTGGGGACGTTATGTGCGACTTCGGATGAATGAAATGCTCGAACACTATGAATGAGTTCTGAGAACCATCGAGTCCATTGTGTCATCACTCAGGACAGACAAGGCGGCTGGTCGAAAGACGCTTCGTTAATCAGATTCGTCGGTGTGCACTGTTTTCACTGTGGGCTATGCCCGACGCTGATAAGTACAAAGAACGGATCCCCAGTGCAGTTGGAGACTGCATATCCAGTTTGATCACTTAGCAATCAAGTCGTACAAAAAATTGCCACACAAATCAGTCCCTCTCTCAGAGTCAAGGTCATACACGTCAGACTAACACATTCTCTTAACGAAGACAAGCTTCCGGCACTCACCTGGGGACATTGGGTCTGGCACCCCAGCCCCGCTTCCGCCCGGAGTAGTAGGAGTCGGGGGAACGTAAGGAGTCGGCCGATCGCCCGGAGTATACGGACTGGGCACTTGGTAGGACCCGGGGGTATCCACCGGGCTGCGTTGATCGCTGTAAGGAGTGGCCCCGGATCCCCACCCGGTCCCACTTCCGGGAGTTGGGGCGTCATAGGGACGAGCCCCAGGAGTGTCCGGCTGCATAAACGAGGGTCTCACACTAGTCAGAGAGGGGATCAAAGGGGAAACCAGTCCTCGGAGACAGTAAGCATGAGCTCATCTTGGGGGTTGATCAGATGTCGGTTGGGTCAAACTGAAGTAGTTTGCATGTAGGCTGCTTGCTGAAAAGAAGGACACCGACGGTCCTGAAACTCAACCATTGAAGATCCAGAATTGATAGGAATCTACAGTGTGTCCTGGCCACGAAGTTGGCGCAAATGGCAGGTCGCACTGTCATTACCCAACTCCGAACACGGTCCACCATTCTTGTCGCGATACAGCCAACTTCCTTGAAATGACAAACATGTAGCAACGTTCTTACAGTCCTTGCAACTAAAGACAACAGTTTCGGAAAACCAGACAAGTCTTACGTTGCCATTTGAAGGGCTGGGCGCCGGCGAATCGATCGGCGAGTAGGGCGCATACGACGCCGTGGCAGATCCAAACGTGGACGGCCCGCTGTGATACGACGGCGGCTCGTCGTTCCACCCGGGCTCGCGGGCTGGCGTCATCGGAGTGTACGGATCCCAGGCGCGGCCACGGCTGGGTGTCATAGGCATGGCTGCAGCGAAAGAGACTCCAGGATCGACGGCTGATAGGAAGATAGTGAGCAAGACAGTCGCTTCTTTCTCAGGGGAAAAACAAACACGAAGGTTTTAGTCTTTCCATGAAAAGACTCTATTCAATTAGAGAGTGGCTCGGGGTAACAGGGACGCCCGCGACTGGGTGTCATAGGCATAGCTGGAGCGGAGAACGTGAGAGGAGCGTTGGACGTTGTCGCAGAACATTAGAAGGGAGAGAAGATGATAATAGGACAGCTGTTTTGCAAAGAGACGAACTGAAACCGCGCTGCGTGACTGACCTCGGACAGCAACTTGTGGCGTTTCACAGCTTTCTGCATCTGCGCTTCCCAAAGGACGGAGGCTGAAAGTGCCTAGTCAAGCGTTCAAACATTTTGAAGGACAGCTGTACGTCTAATGGTGCGCGCTCGAGAAATGTGGCTCACCAGCCGGATCTCGCGCCGGCGTCTGCGGATACTCCCTCGACGGAGTCTGCGGATACGCCCTTGACGGCGTTTGCGGGTAGGCCCTCGACGGAGTCTGCGGGTAATACCCGCCCGCCGACTCTTCCCTGCGCCCCTCTTTCAGGTTCAACTGATCCCGGTTTACCGTAATCGTCTTCATCTGAGAATCAAGCTCGATTCGGACGGTGGTATCGGTTGCGTCCTTGACGCGCCCGCGGTATCCTTTCCACGGACCTGACATGATGCGTACCATCGTGTTGGTCAGGCTGTCGTCACGGCGCCCGCCGCGGCCGCGCGCGCCGGAGAAGACTGTCGGGGAGAGACGGTAGGGTTGAGAATCATGGCCTTTGACTCTTTCTAGATTGCCGTGCGCTCCCAATGACAGTCGAGGAGCCAATGACAACACATTCATGAGCCTTCTTTTGCAAAGCACCTTTGCAAGAGGTTTGTGAAGATGGCATATTTTAGAGAAGCAAGCACATCAAAATTCTTCTGAGGTGCCTCGTGCGGGAGAAGACTGCAGGAAGAGGCGTATGATTCTCGAGATATTGAAAGAGTGCTTCGCACCAAACCTCTTCTTAGAAACAAATGCGGAGTTGAATCATTTTGACTCATTCGTCACTTAAACCTTTGGTCATAGCTTTGTGTGTTGTGCATGTGACTGTTTCAACAGAACGAAAGCAAAAACAACTCGTTGACAAGTGGGGGACCTCTACCCTGTGCAGCGAAATGCTTCCGCATCTACTCTGCGTTCGTCCTTGTCAGACGAAGGTTAGAAGATGATAGCAGCAGCTCAGCTGTCAATCCAACCCCGCCTAAAAACAAAAGTAGAAAGCAGAAAACAGAGTTGGGGGGCCCCCGGGACAAAACCCCGCCCAGCGCCCATCTCTTTCCGCGACTTCGTCACGGAAAGCAGAGGCCATACACTCACCTCCCGGCTCATTCCCCCGCCCAGCGCCCTGCCCTTCCACAAAAAACCAAGCAAGGCTTACTCAAGCAAAGATCATTAGCTCACCTCCCGGATTCGCTCCTCGGCCAGCCCCCGGTCCCGCCGCAAGATAGTGGGCGGGTGACCGGAGGCCGTACACCGGACTTTGGGGAACATAACCACCGGGCTGCCCGTTGGAGAGCCCGTAGGGGGACGCCATATTTGGCTGAGGCGGCTGCGGAAGAAAGAGGAGAGCGTTAAACAACGTCCGCATAACGTCCGGATGTATGCATGTATGAGGCTCGTCGAAGAAGGACACGAAGTCGCGATGTGGGCTCGTAAGAACGCTGCCTTCAAAATGTACGGGTTCGTGTGGCAGGGATGACAAGTCGGCAAGTTGTCAGAGAGCAATCAGTTTTCAACGCAGATGAAGCAGACATGCCAAAATGCAGTCGCTCTTCGTCTTGCTGCAAGCGGCTTTCAAAGCAAAGCCGCATTCCGCAAATGGTTATAAAAGAATAGAATCTTATCCTCCAGGAAAGTGCACAAGCTGGGCTGGGAATGCTGCTCCTTACTCCGTGTACTGCACAATGGCTGCTAGTACGGATGATTTGAATCCTCCTCGTTGCCATGCGCATGGTTGACCTAAAGAAGCTGCCCACATCGAGGGCTCCACCAGAAATATGCATTGATATCCCTCAACAGTCCGACTCACCCAAAAACATTCAGGCGAGGATATTGAAGGGGGAATGCGAGTCAAAATCATCGTGGGGGCTCACCGCGAAGGGGTCCGTTTTGTTGCCGCCGAAGACCTTGCAGTTGCGCGCGGCCACGCAGATGAAGCCCCCGTTCTGCTTGACGTCGCGCGACTGGATGAACAGCATCTGCTTGCTCAGATGCACCACGGGGCCCTGCTTGCCCTGCACCACGTCATCGCTGACGTCAGCCAAGGGCGGTGGAGAAGGGCAACACTAGCACCTGTTGTGGCGGCGGACAATGGCAGCGCGCAGATGTGTCAGAACAAAAGGAAGGAGAACGTGGACTCCCGAGCCGATGCTCGACAGTACTTTTTATAACAATCGAGGATCGACGGTCTGGCTGATCGACTCCGAAAATCTGGAGCACCGATTGACGACTGACAACTGCTGATAAGGGAAGGGGTCCCTAGACAGTCCGCCGGGAGTCCCTTTTCTCCTTCCTTCCATTCGGTCAGTCGAGGATGATGGCTGGGTGCTCTGTTATCACAGGTGACAGTAGCAGAGCTACTCGCCCTGGATTGCACTCAAATAAGGGCAAAGCGTAAAACGAGCGGCTCTTTGAAGCATCGCCCTCTTAGGCAACTTCATCATCAGCTTACCGGCACACCCGCTCCTACTGGTGGCAGGATTCGTCCCGTGAGCCACAATCAGCAAACCACGCCACACGAAATACATGCACTCCAAGATGTTACAGGAGACCCTCGTTAACAGAATTCGCAAATCCGGTTTGCTTAAACCCCTTACCTTGAACTCCCCGGTGTGCACCTTGACCACGTCCCTAACCGTGATGGCGGCCCCTGTCATGTCCTGCGTGCTGAACGAGCGGTCGAACACCTTGCGCTTGATTTGGGGACGGGTCACTGTTCGGACGTCTTGCCGGTCGGGGTTGCCGATCAGCACGGCGCACGCGTCCTTCTCCACGCGCACAATCATGCCCACCGTCAGGCCGTTGCTGGAGAGAGCAGTTAAAACGTATGTTGAGAAACGAGTTTGAAACGGACAATTGGAAAGAGGATGACCTTGTCAGTGATACAATTGCTAATCAAAGAGGAAATATCTTTCGCAATTTGCTATCCCTTCTTCGCCAGCACAATCATGCGCACCGTCTGACGTCTGAACAACAGCTACATTCAGGCCGCTGCTGAAAAGAAACAATGAGAAGTGGTGGTCAAAACCTTTTATAGCAGAAGTCTTAGGAGAGGATGCATAAAAAATAAGAGCATGAGATAAATTAATGCTTTAAGGAGGACCTTCTTAAGGAAAGTTTGTGGGAACGTTAGAGCAGGATAGGAAGCTCACTCAAGGGCGATCAGGTCGTGCAAGTCGTACTCTCCGAACTTCGTGAGCCCCGAGCTGACCTCCGCGGCTTCGACAATGTCGTGAGAGAACACCCGGATCTGCACAGCAAAAGATTTTTGTGTTGGAAATGTATCTCAACGCTTTGCTCACCTCAATCAGTATCCACAGCCAAGGGATCCCCTGATCAGATCCATTTCGGATGGTGGCAAGCAACACACACTCTGAAAAGCAACGCTTTTTGACTCCCAACTGATCCTGAAATGCTCAGGACGTGCGTTGTCAAGAGCAGAATTTATTCCACTCCAAAGCGTTCTGACAAGGTTAGCCAGCACAATGCATTCGCGAAGTAGATTCAACAGGCCCGACTCCCAAACCGCTCAACCAAGGCCCACCTTCCGAACAGAACTTGACACCAGCGCAACGAGCAAGAGTGAGAGCGCCCACCTCCTGCTGCGTAGTGTCAGAGAAGAGCACAACGGTGCTGGTGGCGTCGTCCACTTTGACGATGAGGCCAGTGGAGCCCTCGTGCTGGCCGGAGAGCACCTTCACATGGTCGCCCATGCTGTAGTGCTTGCGGATCTGGCTGTCCTTCAGCTCTTGCTCCTTTTGCATCTGCGGCCAGCGAAAGGAACGTTAGACTTCCTTCGAAGTTCGTAAGATGAAGACTTGATTGCGAACGTCAACGAAGAAACTCTGCCAGAATACCACTTTGGCCGCCTGATCGCGGTGCGCTCAGTTCTGGACGCCCGAACCAGAGCCCGAGGTTGCCGAACGCACCTCTCTTTGCCAACCGAGCATCTGAAAGTTTCCGAGCCAGATTTTGACGGAGTTTGCGACATCTGACGTCGTTGAAGGCTCTGTGGATCACGGCAGCCCCAGCGCCTTTGTCCCAAAACTCCAGGGCCAAAGTCCAATCGAATCCAGCTTTTCTGGTATCGAGGACACCGAAACATTAGGAACCAGAGGGATCAACCTTCGTAGGACCACACAGCAATGCTTCTGCGCACGCACCGCCTTGGCTGCCTGCCCGAGCTGCACGCTTTCGTCGTCCAGAGAAAACTGGGCCCCGAATCTCATACCCACACTCTCGCAACCTAGGAAACTAGGTACTCCAAACCGATATCCTCGAAAAAATTTCAAGAACTTACCGCCTTGGCGGCTTGGCCGAGTTGCGCCCAGTCCTCGTCGCGGAGGCGCACACGCACGATGCCCTGGACTTCGTCTACGTGGACCACCGTCCCTTGCAGGCTCTTCAGCTCGCCCTCCACCACCCGGATGGAGTCCCCGGGCACGAAGTGCACCTTCTTCTTGCTGATGGCCGCGTCGCTTAGGGCTGGCCAGGAGAGAAAGGCAGGGTTAGTCAAGGATGGCCTGTTGGTTAAGGCTGCCTGAGGGAGAAAGCAGAATTAGATAAGTTGGGAGTGGCTGGGGCGGTTAAGATTGCCGGGGGCAAGATAGGTCGGCTTAGTCAGAACTTACGCTCAGCCGCATTGGTTAAAGCTGCCTAAGAAAGAAAAGCAGAACTGGTTTGGAGTGGCCGCGTCGATTAGGGCTACCCGGGCAAGATAGGCAGGGTTAGTCAGGACTCTGCAAACCCCCATCGATTAAAGCTGCCCGGGGAAGAAAGCACATTTAGTCTGGAGTGGCCGCATCGGTTAGTGCTGCCCGGTGAGCCAGAGGCTTGCTGCGCAGCTGTGCACGTTATTTTTGACTATTGTTGATTATGGGGAACGATAGAGCATGCTGAACACGGAAGATCTGCACTTGGGCAAAAGATGGCTAGCTGACCGATACAAGACCTGTGGATGTCAATCACATAGCGTGTGACCGAAATGCAACAGTTTCCAGTGGTGTCAAAAGGGCGTGCCTCCTGCTGTAGGGTGTCGCCTGACACTCACTTGGCAGATCGTTCCTCCGCGTACTGCCGTCCTCCCCTTGAGGAGCGTTCTGGAACCTCTGTAGCTCGTCAAAGGAGGGGACCACTTCCTTCACTTCCTGTAGGGCAAACGAACGGCTTACTTTCAACAAACACGTCTGCTTGAGGCATTGTGCATCAAACTCGGCATCTGGTTTCTGAGTTGAAGTCTTTGATTGGCAATCCTTGCTCATACCGCTCGCCAGACTGGTTCCATATTTTGACGAAATCACCATGCCCGTATACCTGAAGATGGGTGCCGCATTCGGCACGAACCGACTTCCGTAAAAGATATCTGATATTATGCTGTGCGACATGTATTATGGATACAAGGCACTTACGATGCTCTTGAGCGAGACGGTCTTAAAGAAGTAGCCGTCCCGAAACTTGAGGTTGTTGATGAACTCGAACGCGTCGCCGTAGTTGTCCCGCTTCGACTCCACCGGGATGCGCAGGTCGCGCGCCTCGTCCAGGCTGAAGAAGCGCTGCGGGGGCCGAGTCTTCTTCTTCTGGTCCCGTCCCTCGCCCTCCTGCAGCCAACAATAAAAACGTCTTTATTCGACTACTGACGTCATTGGATGGTTGAAACCTTTGGTCTAATGAGCGTCAATGACATGGCGTAGGTGCGACGAGGACTAGAACAAAGTAGAAAGCGCCCACAATGCAGCACGCAAGTTTCTGAAGGTCGACGCACAGGCTGAATTTGTCTAAGAGCTCTTTGCTTTTCGCCGCAGGACGCACAATCAAGGCGCAACAAAGAATCTTCAAACACTTGACGAACACGGAGCGTGGACGACAACAAACGAGGACGCCAAATGAGAATAGGGATGCCACCAGGCGGCGTCCATTCTCTCAGGGGTCGTTGCGCTGGATGCGCCTAAGCAAAACCCTTTCCGCAAGGTGGGATAACAATTCGAGAAATGATTACTAGCAAACGACGATGAACGAAGGCAGGAAGTCTCACCAGGCGGCGCGCGAGCTCTTTGAGGTCGACGCGTGGGATGAGCACAACCTTGAGCCTTTCAACAATTAACAGGGCGCAGATAGAGACTCAAACAATAAACACTCACGAAGACCAAGGCGGAACACCCACCAGGCGACGCGCGAGCTCCTGGAGGTCGATGGCGTGATGAGCTTGACCTTCAGCTTTTTTCAGATACGCAAAGCTTGATTAGAGTTCTCCCCAAGGCGTAAGCACAGATATGGAAGATCCGCTTACGACAAATGACGGATAACGAGGACAGATAGAACTCACCAGGCGGCGCGCGAGCTCCTGGAGGTCGACGCGCGGGATGAGCTTGAGCGTGGCCTGGTTGCGCACGTGGTCCACGTCGACGACCTGCGCGAGGTCGCCCTTGTACAGCCCGTTGCGCACGCGCACCCACGTGTCCCGCTGCAGCTCCAGCTGCTTCTTGGTGATGCGCAGCACGTCGCGCATCTCGCGGATGGGCACCAGCGTGATCTTGTAGTACAGGATGCGCAGGCCCGTGATCGCCTGCAAAGTAGGGGTTGTACTTTATAAGCGGTTCTTGGCCTTAGCGTGTTGATGTGGATAGAATGCTTGGATTCGGAAAGGTGGTTTTCGTGAATAGAAAGAGCGTGATCTTGTAGTACAAAATGCTCAGGCCCGCGATTGCCTGCGGGGGGCGAAATTGGACGTTAAGGTCTGCAAGGCCTTTGAGCTGTAGAGTGTTGATGAGGATAGAAATACTGGGTTCTAAAAGATGATCTCGTGGATGGGCGCACAGCGTGATCTTGTAGTACAGTATGCGCAGGCCCGTGATCGCCTGTACAAGCGGGGCTTGATTAACATGTAAAAGAACCCTCGGGCTTTCTTGGGTTGGTAAATAGGGCTTTCTCGGGTTGGTAAAACAGAGCAATTGGGCTTGGGAAGGAAAAACCACGTGGTTGACGTGTAGAGGTGCTCTAATATTGAGCGTGAGCTTCGCTTCTCTCAAACAAGGAAAAGGCGAAGATGTATCAATCCAGAAGCTGCGGAAGCAGAGCTCTTTCTCGCTTACTGCAAGAAAGGCTAAATCCGTTCAATTGGTAATCCCGGGGTAAAACTCACCTCTCGCACGTGGCTCTCCTTCATCGCCTCTATGTACAGATATCCCTTCAAGTGATCGATTGCGGCTGCCGATCGGATCTGCAGCGGCCGGCCCTCCGCCAGCCGTGCGAGGGACTTCTGCATCAGGCAGATCGCCGCCTCCTTCTCACGTCCGAACTGCGATGAACGAGATGACTGTGTGAGCCGCAGCAGTAACGAGGCTTTGCAATTCGGGGAAGTAACAACTTTCCTAGTCGTGTGGGAATCAAAACCGCCGTCAAACGTCGGAAAAGTCGTTAACGACAAAAGAGTGGAAACTTCCGGGATTATCCCAAAGCAGAACAAGTTGCGAGCACCCCAGCCAGAGTGCTCAAGCCCCCAGCCTTAGGGGGAAAGCAGGCCAGTAGACGATCGGCGCCTACCATGTCAAAGGCGTTCTTGTGCAAGGTTTGCAAGGAAGACTAAGGATGGGGTAAGCTTTCATTCATAAGCGAGATCGTAAGGAAAGAGCACCTGATTTTCATTCATCTCGTCGACCTACTCAATCGGGAAAGGTGCGAGATGGGACACTCACACCGATTATGCCGGCTACCAGTAAGGCTCTTACTTACAGAAGGAATGGTAAAAGAATGCTTTAAAGCTTACCTGACACTTCACCATCCACAGCTTGGGGTCGTCCACTGACGGCGCCAGGGCTTCCGAGTCGACAGGACCAGCCTCGTCCTCATCGCGATCTTGCGCCTGAGGCCACAAAGAGAGCGATTAGTCGAAGATCGTTTGAAGGCAGGCTATGCAGACCCCCCGAAGAAGGTTTTCATCCTCGTCTCGGGACAGACACCCAAATTTTCCTACATAAGCCTAGCTTTGTGGATGTTCTTTATGGGCAGTCCTTGAGAACGGACGAAAGAAGGTAACCGAAACCACTCAACGCACTGTGCCGAAAACCGGTTCGGGCCGACCGTTTGTCACTCGCACAAACCTTTGAAAGGAGCAGGTTGCATACATCGACTTGCACGGCTTCAAAGAGCAACCAATGAACCGCAGATCACAATGGCTCGGCCACAGGATCGACAGAGATTCCATCAAACGAATCCCGGTGGTCACAAACTTAGACATAAACCTCTCGACATGAACCTTGAAAAAATGGCTCGCAAAGCCGCTGACGTTGGTCATAGCCCTTGTAATCCTCCGTGAGGGGCGTCTCCAGCCCCGTCACGGACTTCGACGTGAAACTTTGGTAACATGCTCGCGAAACAGCTCACCTGGTCGTAGCGCTCGTAGCGCTCCTTGAGGAACTTCTCCAGCCCCGCCTCGTCGTCCTCTTCGTCCTCCTCCAGGTTGCGCGCCATGTCGCGGTACGAGCGGAACGCCTCCTGGCGGCTCGGCCCAACCTCGTTGGGAAGTTCGTTGTCGTCGATAAGGTCTGTAGAGCACCAGAGCAAAGGCGATATAAGATATCATTGCTATTAAGATTCCAAGGCAAACGCGGCCTAAAGCATGTTGTTTACAAGGGGTTTTGCCAGCAGGAAAGTGACCATCAGAAGAAAAAGGCATTTTAAGCTTCAGACCTGCGCTGACAAGTAGGGAGGCTTGTGTAAAGGGCATGATCGTCTCCCTGGAAAGAAAGCCAAACCAATTGGCTTCACAGATCCAAACAGTCTGTTGAGCTTTGTGCTCCACTTCAGAATGGATCGTCATCTGATTATGAAACGTACTTCGATGGTATCCATATCAGTAAAACTTCATGGACTCTCCTACAACTCCACTACGAACTCAAACCAGTAGCCCACTTGTTAGCACACAATAAGCAAATATTCAACAATGATTGGTCAAAACCCACCGTCCGCATAGTCGTCGTCCTCTTCCTCCTCGTCCTCATCCGCAACGTCAGCGGCATCGTCGATGAACGCCGCCGCGCCTCTTTTGCGCTTCTTGTGCCGTTGCTCCTCCTCTTCCTCATCCTCATCCTCGTCTTCGTCTTCCTCGGCCGCATCGTCTATGTACAGGCTCCGCGGCCGCTTGCCCTTGGAGCCCTTGCCTGAAGATATGGAATCCGCCATCAATTCACCGGGTCATCAAGTGAACTCCCAGAGTAAAACCGACAATATGTCTGGTTGTGGCAGCACTAGTTTCTGTACAGGCTGCACGGGGCGCTTGCCCCAGGGGCGCTTTTTGTAAAGGGCAGTTCAAGTGGTAGTTGGTTTGGACGCATACTCGTGCAGACGACAAGCCCGACTAGGATCAATACACTGTGACCAACTCTGGCTCTTGGCAAGGAGCTGTAGCAACATTTTCGTTTTCTGGCAGATTACTTATGGAACCAAATAAGGGCTGACACAGCGGGCCAGAAGAAGGAGACTCTCAAGCATTAAATCAGGTGGGCAGGGATGCGTGTCGCAATTGCTGTGCAAGCAATCCAAGGTTGCTTGCTCGACGGGGACAACCGAAGCTTTGGGAGCAACTCGGAAGAGTGAATGAACGTTCACAATGAAGAAACATTTGAAGTGGCAAGGCCTGAGGAGAGCAGGAAACCCTAAAACCGACGTGCTTTGCACTACTCTGAGTGAAAGTTTTGTGCCCACTGTGCACTGTCTGCAGCTGAAAGAGTGAGCGAAAATGTGGAAACAGTATAAGAAACCCATGTTGCAGCATCTCTCAAACACACCTTCGTGCATGATGACCACAACTAATGCAGACCGTTGATTGCTCGACTCCCAAACTCTGCATGCTCCTAGCAAGGCTTTCAAAAACCTTCCTGAGTTCGATTATGCAAGGGCTCGAAAGGAGGGTATAGTGGTTGCTTGATATAAGCACCCACACTGATAAAATGCAACGGCTTTCGGACACCGGTCATCTTCTTGTGAGAAGGTTACAGCCCAAGCTGCCTCTCTTCTACCAACGATGATCTCTGATCCAATCCTGTATCACATCACTAAAAGAAGCAATGGGCAGTCATTAAAGAAGCATCCCCATCACTGCATCCCAACTCCCAGTCCCTCAGAATGTGGCCTCTCTCCTTTTGCAAAACCTTGACAACACAGTGACTGCTGTAAAGCGCACCTTTGCTCTTTGGCGCCTCATCTTCATACTCGTCTTCATCAAAATCTTCTTCCTCCTCGAAATCATCATCGCTGTCATCTGAGCGGGCCATACCTCCAACAGAGCGAACGTGGAGAAGTTGCTTCACAAAGTTTGCACCCCTGAACGATGCGGCCGCCGGCGGCTTCTCTTGTGCAGCGGTCTCCTTCCTAAGGCTGCAGAATGACGTTGGCTGGAACCTCTGAAAGTTCTGCCTGGCAGCCTCAGGCTCAGGCTCAGGCATGGATGTTGGTGAAGACTCTTGAAAGTCTTCAGACCAGAGTCTCATGTGAATGCTCCGGACTGCAGTAATCCAAACCCAAGAGCTCGGTTGCCATTTTCCAGCCTCCGGAGCCGTCGATTGCGCAAGGCAATTCACTCTGACGGCGAGGATGCTTGCACTACGGCTTGGTTATTGCACCAGGTCACGTACCTTGAAACGCATTTACACTGATACAGTGTGATCAACCACGACAAATGCTTGCTAAGCCTGAGGCCCAGGGCCGATTTGAAAGCTTTGCATATCATTCAAGACAAGAAGTGAAGCTTGTTTTGAAAAGCCTGGCCTAGTCGCCTTTGATGGCTGCCATGGCGGCAATGTCAAGCGGCATCAGGGTCAGCACCCGGCACATGCCTACGCGAGCACAAAGCTTGGCCTCAGTTCGTTTACACTTTGAAGCAACGAGGACCTTCTCGTTTTGCCGCGCCTCTGCAAAACGCTCTGTTGCCGCGGATCCCGCTTTTCGGCAAACTCAGAAAACTTTGACATCAACTCATGCCTTTTTCCTTGGGGGCAGCATTTTGGCATGGGGCCGAGGAATGCCGCCAACGCTCGGGCCACAGAGTGCAAGGCAGAAGCAATGTGTCAGGACCTACGCAGGGCAAAAGGTGAGTCTTGAATGCTATGAAGGAGATCCAAATCAGGTGGGTTTTTGGGCATGAGATTGAGAGATTGGCTTTGCCTGGTATGGGAGGGGAAAAGTTAGTTGATTGAAAAGTTGGTTAAGAAAAGTTAGATATAACTTTTATCTGGTGGTGGTAAAGAACATCATCTATCTGTGAGCTGCGCCAGCCCCTAGGGTGCATGATCACCGTATCATGGGAGACGCCACAAACCGAAACTTTCTCAAAAGTATGCATACCACCTTTCGCAGAGTCCTCAGGGGACGCCACTGTCACAGAACAGTTGCACCACCATATGCAACCAGAAAATACTTGCATCGTCTGGTGAAGGCTTTCTAGAAGATTTAAAGAATCATCATGACAAGAGATTGTTGAACTGAGTGGCCAGAGCGTGTGAGGTTACATGGTCATTCTTGATATTTAAGAGGACTTCTGATTGGTGACGTGATGGTCTTGAAGTACTCGCAACCTCGAAAGACTCACAGTAATAAAACACAGCGGTTGTAAATTCACTTTGGGGGGGGCACTCTTCATGCATGAGAGTTGGACTGACAAGCTGTGGACAGAAGTGCACCACCATTTCTCTACTTCTCCCAGGATTAATGTGCCGATTGATGTTTCCGAAGACTGCCGCCTCGACCTGCCTCCCACGCAGATTTTCATCGTCAGTCAATATAAGTGGAACAGACATCACCCTTGAATCCGTCGCAGTGACATGGGAATCCCCATCTCCGTTCTGCTTTTTAGATCTTGCCATTCCAGATATCGGTACTGAGTCTATCTTCCCCCATCTTGGATTTCTGCAGAAGGCGCCCTCCCCTATCAAGGAGACACGATGGAAGCGACGGCTGCAAGAGTTCAAGGAGAACCCGCACGAGGTGCGCATCGTGCTGAATGACGAGAAGTATATCAAGGAGGACGATGCGATTGCGGCGATGGCGAAGATGGTGCAAGCACACGGGCTCTACTGGTAAGTCACTTCTTTGGACATGAAAAGTGTTTGCTTGTAGTGACCCCACAAAATGAGAATGTCGAGGAAGAGTGTATCAGCAAGTAGGGGAGAGAAAGAGCTGGGAAAAGGGGGCAAAGAAAAAGCTGAAGAAGGGAGGGGGATGCAAAGTGAAGGCACACAGTAGAAGCTGCAGGGGACCAAGAAGGAGAGGGGTTTTCAGTGGCTGAGCTTTTTGCATATGCATTTTGTTTCGAAGCCTGATTATTTGAATTCGAGTATCTGGAACCTTTACACACTCCTGGGAAGGTTGGAAGTTCAGTTTGTGATTGCGAGAGATGGTCAAGAATTAATTTGCGCCTGTTCAGGGACAGTAGGTGGGATCTTCGAAAGGTTTTTGATTGGTCAACATTTTGGCGATGGCGAAGACGCCTGACGCACGTCTCGCGCAGGCACGTTGGAAAGCCAAACACAAGCATGGTGTTTCAGTGTCATACCTGTTTTCAAACCCATTTTTGTTGTCTTGCAGCCAAGCCTATGCCAAGGGCATGGTCATCATGAAAGAACCGATGCCGAACTTTAGCACGGTCTTTGACCGCAAGCCCAAGCAGCGCAAGGTTGGGATGTCGATCCACACCGCCAAGCACATCCATGACATCGTGTCAAAGGCGCAGGACAAGCGCAAAGAAAGGCTGGCCACATTGGTCGGCTCGTCACATAGGGAAGGCTCGAGGGGCACTTTGCAAGGTGGGGATGTGGCGGAGAACGTGAATAACCGGAAGGGGACAGAAACCTCGAATTTTGGGAATGGAAAGTTTGGGATGGTTACTGGGGAGGAAGCTTCGGAAAACGGAAGCAGAGGAGCTGTTGAGGGGGAGAGTGAGTTGCAAAACGGAGGGGGAAGAAGCGAAGCGGATTTGAGCAGTCAAAGCAGGGCGGAACAGACCGGAGCGGGTGCAGAGGTGAATGCTGTGTTGAACTCAAGTATGAGCGTTAGTAACGGCGCCAGACCGATTGCCGAACATCCTCCTACGGAGCCCTTGGCTGACTCGATGCCAGGCAGCGGCCTGGTTTCGGAAAGCAGCTTAGACTTGTCGGAAAAGTTGAGGAGACTAGCCGCTCCGGACAATGAGCCAGGGGCAGGCTCCGCACGCTCGACAATGGAAGAGTTTGCATCTACTTACTCTGGGGAAAGGGCAGAGACGATCTCTGGGGAGGGTTTTGACGGTGAGTGGAGAAAGGATTGGGAGAGACTGTTGGAAGGGGAAGGGTCCGAAGGAGAGGAGTCTGAAGGGGAGGGGTCAGAAGAGGCCTTCACAGCGGAAGACAAGAGCGATCTGGAGCTGCTAGACGTTCTCACTGCAAACCGCAGAATGAAAGTGAACGCACGTGTGGAAGGCGTGAGCCCCGGCGAGGCTCTCGACGGCCGCTCCAGGAGGGTCCGCCGGAATGCCGCCCTGCAGGAGCTAGCGAAATCCGTGGAGCGGAAAGGGGCGTTTTCGGACGGAGAAAACTCGGACGACGACTTTGTGGACAAGTCGCGGTGGAAGAAGGTCGAGGGGGGTCCGCACGACGGCGTGAAGAATGCAGCACGGAAGTCGGTGCGGCGCGCGCTGCGCGAGGCGGAACGGAATGTGGGCGGGGGGAGTTCCGTTTCGGGGACACCGGAACGAGAGGCCTCGTCTTCGACTGGATTGGGGAGTTTGGGGTCAGCGACGGTGAGCTCTGGGACGAATTACGGGTCCCCACCAGTTACAGCTGGGCAGGAGCCCTTGGTTGAGGGGAGTATGAATTACATAGGGAGGGACTTGAGTCGATCTGGGGGCTCGACTGCGAACGGTCTCGTTGCCAGCAACAGCAACACGGGCGCGTCATCAGCTGGTCATTCTGATACTGACCTACCGTTCGCTTCGGAACAGAGAAGCGCTCTGTTCAGTGGGCACGAACGGGCAGCTTCCGGAAATAGTGCCGGACCGTCGTCGAGATACGGTACAACGAAAGAACATTTGGACGCTTCGTCAAGAAGCGGTGCTCGTGAATCGATGGGGGTGGATTCTGTGGAGGACTGGAAACAGCGGGATGTCAATGGCTGGAGCAAGGAGTCGCATCCTGTCAACGAGAATGGTCGAGGCACAGCGGAGCTGAGAGCGGCGCCGCCGATCATCGAGGCAGGCGAGCACTGGCTTCTCCTACTCTTGCACCTTCCATGCCCCATTGCCGAAGAAAAGTGGCAAGAAGTTTTTGCTTCAGATCAGGAATACGTTATGAGGCAGCAGCACAGGGTTGAGAGGCTTCGTTGAATCAACGTAGAACGGTAATGCCTTTCGGGCTTTTGGGCTGAGCAAATCGTTCAGATGCAATCATCAGCGTGACGTGTGCGGATATCACCTGAGAACGTAAAACGAACGTAAGAACGTATTTCCTTTGTATTGGGACAAAGTCAAGGATCCACGAAGTGCCTCTCAAGAGACTTGTTCAGGATCCTGTTGAAGCGTGCAATACCTTCTTTTGAAAGCAGAGTCGACTTAACGCAGGAGGCAGCTCTTCGGCAGCTCGTCTACCTGCCTTTCCGCCTTCGGTTCCCCTGCCCTACCCGCAGCCTTCGATTGCAAGCAACGCGGACATTGAGAATCTGCTCCGAGCGGCGAGCCCTCTACCAAACAAAGTCTTTCAGAGGTCAACAACATTGCGCAGACTGAAGACTTCATCGAGCTCAACAAGCGTTCAGTACAATGTTCTAAGGCGCAGGCATCATTGCATGGCTGACACTTCCAGCTCCCATCCGCAGATGACTACCTCTCGTCTAGCGTTGGCTTGGAGGACCGGGAGATGGAGTTCCGGGCAACTAGAAGGGGTCGGCGGGGCGTCGAGCCGATGCCGTTCGTCCGGGAGCGGACGCACCGGGAGCTGAACCGGGCGGAGATTATGCTGGACGGACGGAAACGGTTGCCGGCGTGGAACGTGCGGGGAGACCTGCTGCGAGCCGTGGTGAATAACCAGGTAATTGGATTGGATTACAGAGTTTTTCTCTGTCTCTTGGATTGGAGAAGCCTTTCAAGGCGTTCTGTAACTAGTAAGGTGCAAGCGCTGACTGTGGGCTTCTCTCGCTCCACGAGACAAACAGGATCGAACAGAGCCACTGTTTCGAAGATGAGTCGGTGGACCTGCGAGTCGGCTTTTGTCGCTCCCGCCAGGACTGTTGGGTCCGTGAATGAGTCGCTCACAACCGCGAGAACACTTTGAAATTTCTTATCACGTGCTAATCCCGCGTTGGCCATTCACAAATCGCCGCGAGTGCACCTTTCTTTCCCTCAGGTGGTGATTGTGTCCGGCGAGACTGGGTGCGGCAAGACGACCCAGCTTCCCCAGTTCGTTCTCGAGGAGGCTGACGCCAGCATGATGCAGTGCAACATCATCTGCACGCAGCCGCGGCGCATTTCCGCCGTATCGGTGGCAACTAGAGTGGCGAACGAGCGCGGAGAGCAGGTGGGGGTCTAAGCACTGACGGTCCTGTACGCACGTTTCTAGCCGTCGGATGCAGTCCGGACTGCTCAAAGACAACTTCAGCTCGCGCCGCGTGATCGATCCGAGCACCGTATTAGGGTAGGATGCGATTGATTCACAGCTTGCAGTAGAACACGGGACTTTTGTGATATGAACGGGCCCTCGCTCGAAATCTACAGAACGTGAATGTTCCGCCTCTTTCCGAAAAGAACTCTATCGAGGTCATCTGAAAAAGCTTACTGATGATGAGAATTCAAAGGTCGAAGTGGATTGTGTCACTTCAAAAACTTGCAACTTGTAAATTGCTCGTAGTACGGTACGTGGTTCCCATGAGCAGGTAGAGAAACGGTGGGTCACACGGTCGTTTCTCAAAAAATGCATCGTGCAAAAGTGCTCATGAAAGGTACTTGGTTTCCTCCGCTCAGGTAGGAGACACGGTGGGTTACGCGGTACGGCTGGACCAGCGGCGGAGTGCGTACACGCGGCTGCTGTACTGCACAACCGGAGTGCTCCTACGGATGATGGTGAGGAAACTTTGACTATGGTCTTACTCCAGCAAGGTCGGGTTGCGAGTATGTGGATCGTGCGAGCTTCAAAAGTCGGTACCGATTGTGTGAAAGTTCGGCTCTTGACCCGCCGATTAGCGGCGGTTTCCTTCCGCATGTATGTTATTCTACAACGGCCGTCTAAATACGGAGGCGTTCGGATTTTGGGCACGGTACCACTGCATAAACATTTAAAATGTTGAGTCACATTTCGAAACTGTTGGCAAAATGGTGGAAGCGTTCTCGGTTCTCCTATTCAGATGGTTTCCGACCATCTGACTTAAATTTAGGGAAAGGATCTTGGTCCCAAAGATTCCAGTCCCTCTGCCGCATCTCTTGCCCTCAATTGGCATAACAACACTATCCTTCTTTCCTGTGCTGATCTCTCTTTCTCACCGACTTGTTGCAGATCAGCGACCCCGCGCTGACCCACGTGACCCACATCATGGTGGACGAGATCCACGAGCGCGGCCGCGACGAGGACTTTCTGCTCATCGTGCTGCGGGACATTCTGCCGAAGCGACCGGACTTACGGCTCGTGAGTGCTCTTTCTCTTGAGGTTTACTAATTCTGGTTGGAGCAAGTCAGTTTGCGGAGACAAGTCGGATCCAGAACGCAGGTGCGACGCAGTATTTTTGCTCATCGTGGTGCTAATTGTTCTGTCTAAGCCGCCGGATTTGCGGCTCTTGAGGGCCATTTTTTGATCAAGGCTGGTCGAGAGATAATCTCGTTTAGCAGGAGGCAAGTCATGCGGCTCTTGATTGCCCTTTTCTGGTCAAGCCTCGCAAACCAAGGAACTGGCTAGCAGCGGGAGATAAGTCCAGCTTACGCTTGGTAGCTGCAATTTAGGAGTCGTTCTTGCGATCTGCGACGATGAAGGGTTGCTTTCAAGGAGTGTAGCGCAGAGTGCGATTGTGATGAACATCGACCGAGAGTTATGCAATCCTTGTTTAAACGAGCCTCCCTTTGTGCCACACATAGGGCAGCGTTTTGGTCGGCTGCTCGTGAGGAGCGACTGAAGCCGTCCGTTAATATGTAGATCTTCATTCTGAATGCCTGGTCTCGTGTTTCTCTCAGATTCCTAAGGAGACTATCGAGGAGACCTTATTCTTAAAGAGACCACAATAACAATGCAAGTAAGACCAAAAGTTTCCGTACCCTTTGCAGGTCCTGATGAGCGCCACTCTGAACGCCCGCCTCTTCTCCCACTACTTCGGCGATGCTCCCGTCATGCACATCCCGGTATGTGCACCCCTTCTGACTTCACTCAGTTGTGCTGACGTCAGCTTCGGTCCAGCTGTGTGGCTTGAACGTTGCAATAACGGTACAAAAATATTGAGCGTGGGCACCGGACATGGCCGCAGTCCGCCTAAGCGGCCGCTGAACGTCCTTGCTTGACCGGGGCCGCGGCTTACTGTTCCGGTCCCTAGCACGATTTTCACCAGAAGGTAGCTCCTGGAAAATGCTAACGAGCCAGGTCGCATCTAAGCAGCTCAGTGTTGTCAGGGACAGGGAACATTAGCTACACTTTGAAACGTCTTTGTTGATTTTGCGAGTGAGGCGCTATCGTTGATTTGCGGCATAGTTTGAATGAAGTTTCTAGATTTGTTTGTGCGAAAGGTTGAGACAATCGGTACGTGCATCAGGAACACAGGCATATTTGCTACGGTTGTAATATTGTTGTCAACGCTTTTTTCTCGTACGGGTTGCGGGCAACAAGAAATCACGCATCCTGAAACGTTGCTTAATCGTAACCTCGACGCCTCCGAGCGCTCAACAACATCGAGTTGGTCTCTCCAGCTCCGCGGCTTCATAAACCGGCCGCTAACCCGCCTTGCTTTGTTGCTTTCCAGGGCATCACGCACACGGTAAGGATTCGTACTTGGAGGACTTACTGCAACTAATGAGGAACACTCGGCTCAAATGGGGAAACGACAAGTAATAACAATCGAGAATCTCTTAACCAGGCGGTCACATTAACCTGTTGATGACCCGCCTCAGGTTTGCTGCTTGACAGGGCTTCACGCACCCGGTGGAGAGTTTGTACTTGGAGGACGTGCTGCAACTGACGGGGTACACTCTGGTGAAACGGGAGAACGACAAGCGTAACCACTGGCGCTATCAACTCTATAACCCGCACAAGCCGCTGGAACTCAAGCCGGTAAGGAGGCTCCGAAAGGGCTCCTGCGTTTCTGACAAACTTAAGGACTTCTCTTGAAACCAGACGTTCTTGACGAACATTGGTCGCTGGCCCATATTTCGCTGCCAGACGCCCTCGATTCAGAATGGCAGGCTGGTATTCGAGAGCCTCGTTCGTCTGAAGCAGTATTTGTTGGCAACTTGCAGCGGGTTTCGTTGACTCTGATCTTTTTCAGAACCCAGTGATGATCACGTTGGACTTCAGCGGCTCGAACCTTTCGTCCTCGTCTGTCCCCTTTCAGAGTTGACATAGCTGGTTGAACGTCCGACTAGCTGCAAGCAACTGTGGAGAAGAAAACAGTAAAACTCTCTCGTCACGTCCAGCAGTTCCCCCGCTCATTTACCAATCGCCGGAGGTTTCTAATTTCCCAAGCGTTCTGTTCAGCAAAAGCTCTCATCTCCTTTCTACTTCAGGAGATGTTCCCCGACTACCCCCGCCACGTCCAGCAGTCCATCGCCCGCTTCAACGACGACGAGACCCTTGGCCCCGATCTCGCCCTGGTAGAAGCCCTCATCTGTCACATCTGCTGCGGGAAAGGGGCCGGGAAGTCCCCCCGGGTGCTGACCGCGCGCGACCGACACCTCGGCCCGATGCGCCCGTACAAAGACATGGCCCCCGAGGGTGCGGTCCTGGTGTTTCTGACTGGGTGGGAAGATATCCAGGATCTGATGGATGCGCTGAGGAAGAACCCGAGGTTGTCGAGGTTGGAGGCGCAGGGGAAGGTGCAGATCATGGCGCTGCACGGGCAGATGCCGGGGGCCAGCCAGGTGCGTGGGGGGGTGCTAGGATTCTCAAAAGAGGGCGTTGACGAGCAATAAATATGGGATGCGCTATTCCCGTCGCTACGATTCGCACATCCCACTTCTGAGTGCTGGTTACGCGAGAAAAGTGGAGTGTTCTTTGATCCCAGCAGGGCAGCAATTGTAGCTCGGGTAGAACCACGAGCTGCCTCGTGCACCCCTCTGAGCTTGCAGGCGAAGAGTGCAAAAGGCAGACGTAACAACTTTCTCGCTTCGCTCCTTGTGCAGAAGCTCATCTTCGATCGGCCCCCGCCGGGCGTTCGAAAGATCGTCTTGGCGACAAACTTGGCAGAGACGTCCGTAACCATCGATGACGTAGTCCACGTCATTGACTGCGGGCTGGCCAAGGAGCACCGCTACGACCCGCTCAACAAGCTGTCCAGCCTTGACACCACCTGGATTTCGAAAGCGTCCGCCAGGCAGGTGAGGACGAAGAGTGTCATGCATCAGTTTGCAACGATCCCTCAAGGCTCGGGCTGACGATTGCATGCCAGCTACTAGATTTGGATTGTTGACGTCCTGCCAATTTTACGTTAGACATTACAGTGAAATGTACTGTCAGACATTACAGTAGAATGTACTGTCAGAGGATTGCGGATCGTTTCTTTTTTCTAAGGTCACACTTCAAGCGCCCAGGAACCGTTGAAGATCAAGAAAGGGTCCTAAACATCGGGTTCCCAACGGGATGACGTCACCGATTGAATGCTGCTGACGTCATGAAACAAAGGATTGCTGACGTCATATGAACAGGCTGCTGACGTGCGTGCTTTTCCGTGCAGCGGCGAGGCCGTGCGGGGCGCGTGCAGCCGGGGATCTGCTACCACCTGTATCCGCAGTTGATGTACAACAAGAAGATGGCGGACTATGCGGCGCCCGAGATGCTCAGGACGCCGCTCGAGGAGCTGTGCCTACAGGTTAGGCCCCATCGCACATCGTACTTCTAGTTGCATCCTAGTTGCAACTGTCATCTGGCTTCCGGGTAAGCTTGTTTAGAGCGCTATTGAGTCGTTCCGTTGAAGACCAGCTCCGTAACGCTCTCTTCTGTCGACAATCTTCTCATCATCTGCAGCGCTACACTTCGCTAGTAGCTCTGGTCAGAAGCGGTCTTATCTATCAAAATGTCGGTGGTAACCCAACTCCGTCGCATACTGGCGAAAGTTAGTCGCGCCGCAGGTGCAGTGGCTGGCGTCTGATGAGCGGCATACATGTTCTTTCTGCTGCCAAGTCCACGTCGACAAACTTGTTGTAGAATTTAAGCACCAGTAACGCACAGTCTCTGACAGGCAAGCGCTACGCGGCTCTGTGCAGGCGAAGATTCTGGGTGCCCATTCTCGGCCCCAAAACAGCAGCTTGAGCATCCCATCGCGCCCCATGGAGCCTTCTTTAAGCTCATATTATCTGCCCCCTAAATGATGAACAGTAACACACAACAACATCAGACAGCAGATTATTACTCTCGTTGCAGGTGAAAAGCCTGGAGCCCATCATGGGCCCAACAAGCATCGAGAGCATTCTGTCCCGCGCCATGGAGCCCCCCGACAAGCGCACCATCGCGATCGGGGTCAAGATGCTGCAGAGTATCGGGGCGGTTGACCGGGAAGAGAACCTAACCCCCCTCGGTGAGCCCTCCAAACCTTTTTCGCTTCGTGTCACTCATCAGAGACCGTCCAGATATTCGCTAAGAGTGGAGGCCAACTGAAAACTTCTGTTTCCATCTTACCGGACTTCTGAACCAACATTTTTCGTTCCCAAGCACTCGAGTGAGACGAGGGGGCTTGGACAACTGACTGCTTCGGAAGACTTCGTCACCGCACCCAGTCCTGCATCACTGCCTGACTTCATAACGTCTTCGGTATGCGCTTTGATTTGTGACGAAGACGAGCTGCAGGACCGTACAAATCGCGCATTTGAGCATTTGAGCAGTCTTGCTTGCCTTGTTGGCGGATGCCTTGCTCAGCTGTTGAGACTTTCAAGTGGCCCCCTGGTTTTTGCAACAACATAGTAAACAGTGAAGCTTTTTTGGGACTGACTGCAAAGAAGCAAGCATGCGCACTTCTCCTCTACGTTTTGAGCGGTGCACTCACCACCGCAAGAGAAAGGACCAAAGGGGCTTGCGAGGCCGGCACGAAACCCCCATTTCGCAGTAAAGCAAGGGCGGCCAACAAGACCAGACAGTAGATTGTCTACTTGTTTTGGGAAGTTGCCATTATATGAACTCAATTTTCTTCCCATCCGCAGGCAAGCACCTCTCCGAGCTGCCCATTGACCCCCGCCTGGGCAAGATGCTGTTAATGGGCGCCACATTCCAGTGCCTGGGGCCTATTCTCACCATTGCTGCGGGGCTTTCACACAAGGACCCGTTCTCCGTGCCCGGGACGCACAAGTGGGCGGCGCTCGAGGCGAAATTAGCGCTGGCGGGAAACACGGAGTCGGACCACGTGGCACTCGTGCGTGCGTTCGAGGGGTGGACGCGCGCAAGAGCGAGGGGGATGGAGCTCGACTTTTGCAAGGAGTACTTCTTGTCGAATGCGACGATGAACCAGGTGGGGAGGAACGCGTTTTCTTTCTGCTCGGTTTTGATGACGGAAGTAAAAGCTGTCGGGTTCGTGTGTAATTGGCGATGTAGAAGGTAACCCAGGCCGGACAGAGCAGTTGCCAAGTGATGTTCAATCGAAGCTGGCTTTGGAAAAAGGAGGAGGAAACACTTGATTACGCGGAAAGTGAATCTTCGTGATGTCTTTATGTTTAATAAGGGCAGGACACGATAAGTCACCAATTGACATGTTGGATTTACGGAAAGCCCCAATCGACTCGTCTGCTTAGAAATCAATGAGGAAGACCGTCAAGACAGGCCTATTAAGAACCCCTTCCCTGCAGATCGACATCCTGCGGCGGCAGTACGCGCGCATTCTGACGGACATGGGCTTCGTGGACCGCCAGACGGGCTGGGAAGCGTACAACGAATACGCTGCGGACACGTACCTTGTCCGGGCCGTGCTCTGCTCCGGCCTCTACCCGCAGATTGTCGCCGTAAACGTGAGGGCTGCGTTCTCTGGCAAAATTTTCTTCTTGGTCTAATGTTCTTAGGAAAGACGGCTACGTCCGATGACGTCCGATGACGGCTACGTCCGAAAGCTCCGTATTGACAGCTTCGTTAGCGCTCTGAACGGTAGAGACTGAATCCTGTCTCGCAAGTGTCACTTGATTTGTCGCTGCATAAGTTGCCCGTATACTTCGTTCTTAACATGTGCATTCCCTTTGGTTTTCGGCTTTGGTTTTTGTTCTGCCCGTGATCTTCCTTGCGACTCAAACCTTGTTGCTCCAGCGGTCGCTCACTTTTTATGCTAAATGAGCCGCTCTGCCGGAGCGTGAGACCGTCTTACTGAGCGTCGTATCTATATTGTTGGCGTTCTGCGGCTCCTTACGGTCCATCTTCCTAGTTCGGAGCTAACGTCGATCCCTTACGGACATAGGGCACGCAGACAGAAAATCTTCGGCCGTATTTGTCTGCTCCTCTCTCTTGTGTGGCTGTAACGAAGACGTTGGCCGGCTGCTGATACTCTTTGCGCGCGAGCTGGATTGGCCGCAAAGGAACGAAAGGCGTACGGGCGCCTGACGTTTAGCTGCAAGTGCAAAGCACGTTCCAGGACATTGGCTATAGTTTTCTTGAGATGCGGTATTGACAAGACACCCTTCCTGACAGCTTCACTGCGTTTTGCTCGAGAAGGAGCCCTTTCTGACTGTTCAACGTTCATTCGAGCTTCTGAATCGAGCTACAATGCGAGAGCAAAGCCCTGGTGGTTCTTTCTGCGCAGCGCGACAAGGCGTATGGGCGCGTGACGTACACATTTAAGGACATGGACGCTGCTGACGTGGACATCCACCCGATGTCCGTCAACCACAGGCGCAACGAGTACAAGATGCCCTGGATGGTCTTCTCCAACAAGGTGCGCCGCATGCTCCGAATTTCAAACTTGGATTCTCTGAAAAGCGGCTCCTGGCATCTTAACATGTCAGGACAGAAGAGAAGCTGATGTACAGGAAGTGCCGGGGTATGTCCAAACCAGAGGTTGCTACTTCGTGTGTACCCTGTTTCTTGTGGTGTGTCGCCTCGCTTGGCGAACCAGTTGCACCCAGGGTTAGATTGCAGCATAAGGCACCTTTAGAAAGAGAAGCCCTCCTGGCCGAGGAGAAGCTGGTCGGTCTCCTCGTTCTCACTCGTAAGGTACCTTAAGACTGGTGCGCCCTGTGTCGGAACATTCCGGACGGCACACCCGAGATTTGATCTCGGACTCAGTTACTCAGTACGCGGATGCTCGAGCGCGGTGCTTTCTGACGTCGCTTTCAAAGTGCTATCAGAAGACGAGCCGCACGACACATGTTACACACGTGCATGTGAGGTCGCAGATTTCGTTAGATAATCCGAAAATAGATTTCGATTTTGCCCGTGCGGCAAAAAAAATGGTTGGGCTAGGGCGAAATGCCCGAGCTGTCCCTGAACGACATCATGTCTCTCTATCCAGATCAAGACGGCCAAGATCTATGTGCGGGACTCCACTCCCGTGTGCGACCTGTCGCTTGTCGTCTTCGGCGGTCACATTGACAGCGAAGAGGGCTCAGGGCTGCTCAAGTGAGCCGAACAACGCCCTAAGTGCCGATATTTCTCCTTTTTTCTGCTTTCAAAAAGCCTTCAGTTTTCGATGTTCTTCCGTTCGCTCTCCTCATGACTTGACGTTCCGCTGTTCACACGGTGTGCGAGTCGAGTGGGCGGTTTTTCCTCCTCTTTTATCAATCATAGTGCGGGGCTTGTTTCTGATTCCTCTTATTGCGCGGCTCTCGATTTGTCAAGTATCGCACCTCTCGTTACTGCATCCTGTTGCCTTTGCCCGCGGCCAGATTCGTCGGGACAGGATTATGCTTCGCGGTCTCGCTCAATCAGGTCCTTCGAGCGTAAGCCAGCACACGTCACAATGACGCCTGGTGACGTCATTCTCACACGCCTGCTCCTCTTGACAGGATGTTCGATGGCTACGTCATGTTCACAAGCGACCGCCTCACGGCGACACTGATCAAGGGCCTGCGGAACGAGCTGCAAGCGTTGCTACAAGCAAAGGTAGAGCATGAGAAATCTGCATGCCCAGATTTCAGTTTCTAAGCACTGAATTCCCGAGCCCTGCAAGTTTAGGCGTCCCTGGAATCTACTACAGATCTATCTGTCACGATCGATTCTCGAATGCTTCTTTCGCGTGAGAATGTTTGAATCTGGGTCTTTCATTTTGTTGAGGTAACGAAAGCGAGTCAACTAAGCCGTAAAAGTTGAACGTTTGCAACCGTTGTGTTCTGATGCAGTTAGTCAATCCCCGTCTGGACATCCGGACGGAAGGGCTCGAGATCATCGAGGGAGTACGGGACTTGCTGCAAAGCAGCGTCAGCAAGGGAGGGTTTGGTCACGACATGATATAGTGAAGGTTTGCAGCCTTCTCTTGTTCCACGCGATTCAAAGCGGACCGTCAAACTACTCGAAGATTGTTGTGTCAAGTCGACCGTTGCGCCCGTCACGGACCCGTCTATTAAGGGCCTGGGCTAGATAATGTTCACCAGTCGATAGATCTTGGCAACGGAGTGACACTCGTTAGGCGGCAGGCCAGACCTTGGCACAGCTCTAACATATTGATCAGTCCGAGTCAACACCCTGGACATTCTGGGGCCATAAAATGGGGTCTATGCCAGCGCGACCGCCATATCAGTACGATCTCATCCGACATTCATGTTGCCGCACCTTCTGCGAGAAGAGAGCCGGCCGTTTCCGCCTGCATGCATGGCTTGAACAATCATAACCAACTTGGCCTTGCCCTGCATACGAGGCGCGGTCGGACGTACACAATACGTTGATCGCTACGTACAATGCGGGTCGGTCTGCCACCGGGCCGCATGCCGATCCTCAGTGAATGCCTCAAACTCTCCCGCAAACTCCAGGCGATGCTGCATGATGTCAGTTGTCAATGTGGGGACGCTCGTCATCCTGATGCACGCGCGTGACTGAGTCCAAATCACTATTATGCGATATATGTCCCTACCTTGATCTTCAAAAGTCACTTAGTATGATTCACTGATTCACATGGCGCCATGCCATAATGGCACATGGGCCGCTATACAGGCCGTACGTCCTCTGCCGCTGTCCGCTTATAAGCGAGTGTCTGGCAAGCGACCACCGCGTGACACCTGCCACTGACATGGGAGACACACGCACGCGTTCATTATGTACTATGAGCAACCCGGCCTTCATGCGAGCAGATACGGTATGACCGTCCGCATCAAAGTGGAATCTGGCTCCGGGCTCCAGGGCCTGGCCACAAACGATCGACCGTTAAATCTCATCCGGACTAACTTGACCATGGACCCAGTCCGGCCACTGCTTGCATGCAGCAACTGGAACATCTACTTTGCCTCAAGCTTCAAGTCTCTCTCGGCATGTCCTGACTAATGACAATCTTCGTGCAATTGGTACACGTTGCACCAAAGCGGCCGCCACGGCTTAGGCAGGAATGCGATCTGGCTGTCGTTCATACACTGTATCAAGGTCTTGAATACAGTCCGACTGACTGATCATTCAATTGCTGTCTTCTGTAAAACAAAAATGGGGAAAAGACATTTGGTTACAATTATTTATTCAAAGGCCAGTGTCGAAATCAATCTGGTTTTTTTGACAACGACGACAAGATGCCCCGGTGGATCTCCAAGGTTGCTGGAAAAGAATCCAGAACCTCTACCAAAAGCCGTGATCGGTGTGCTACCGCGCAGTGAACCAGGTAAAGCACGTCCGCCATGTCCCGCGCCTCCGGAGTTACTTGCTCGGCAAGTCTCTGTACCGTTGCGCTCGCCTCAGCAGCGTACTCAGGGGTTTGGAGGCTGGCCAGCCATTGAATCCAGGCCGTCCTTTGCCAACACGCCGGCATGACACTGAGCAACGCGTTCATGGTAGTTTCTAGTTCCCGACCAAGTGTGTCGTCGGAGAAAGCGTCCCTTGGCCCCTTTGACGCCTTCTCTCGCTTGTATGATGCACCAAAGGTCTTCAACCTGCGGCAAAATAATGCAGTCAGGCAGGATAAAAAGGACAAATAAGAATGTCAAGCCCTTCGAAAACTTGGACCAACGAGGGATTTCAACCAAGCAGGAAGATTTGAACACAGGTTCTTCAGAAAACATCTAGAGGGGACCTGCCAAGCAGTACCGGTCGGCAAGCAAGGTTTACCAGAATGCAAAATGCTTGGAGAGAAGTTCATCCAAACCAGGGACTGTCCTTTGTCAGCAGAGGAACAATCCGAGCTTTAGAAAATCATGCCGACCTGGAAAGACGGAAACCATGAGTGGACGTCATGTACTTCCTTTGAGGTGTTTCAACTATGTCTTCTCCCACTATTGCAGAGTAACTGCGCAACAGCAGACTGCCAACGGGGAACATCTATCTGCAAACCGAAGCACCATACAGCGAGTACATGCGGAAGGAATGCTCAGTCGAAGCGTTACGGCAAAGGCGCGGGCGGTTAACCCTCTCTAACAAAGAGAGGCAAGATCTGACCGATCTCGTGCACCTCTTTCTGACCATTTGCTCTCGCTAGAAGGAAGATGACAGCGAAAGTTGCACACCACCTTTTCAAATACGTCAGGTCGGGATCTGTTTGCAACTTACTCATGGGCCACTTTGTGGTATACCGCAACCGGGTACTGCAAGTTGTTGACTTTGGACGTGTCCAGCTTCCCGTTCCCGTCGATCAAGGTCTGCATGCCAAAAGAAACACAGCGCTTTGATCGCCGGCCAATAGGAGAAACCGAGATCAACGTGCCATTCCGTGATAGATTGCGCTTTCCCTTGTAACCAGCCTTCTACATATTGGTTTTGTCTCAGATCCCAGGGTCTGACAGTCAGGCCGCTCTCGTATTGCAGTAACGTTTCCAGAATGTTCATTCTTGTCTCCACACGCTGAGGGATTTGCGGCGTTCGTTCGAAAGCTTTGGATAACGACATGGTGCCTTCGAGAGTATTACCGACCAATTGCCCCGCTTAGTGCCGCAACCGAAAAGTTACCCAGAAAAGTGAGCAGCAGGTTATCACGTCAGTTGGCTCGTCGGATCGTTTAGCCATGGCGCCAAACGCCTTGTCCACTTAAACTGAAGGGACCACAATGAAACATGAAGGGACCATAATGAAGCGTTCCGCCTTCTGCAAAAGCATGCTCGAAAAGGGCTGTATCTTTGGCAACATGATAGAAGGAAAAAAGAATGGCATTTCCGAAGGCGCAACCCCTTTCTAAGATCACCTCAAAAACGGTGCGCTGAAGCGGTACGGGAAAGTCCTTTAAGATGTCCTTACCTTGAAAATGATGGTGTGATAAGGAGCGTCCAAGAACACCTTGCTCGTCCCCGCAGCCGGCTTCACGTACGGCTTTAGCAGAAAGTCTGCTCCCAACCAGAGACGTTCCAGGTCCCTCGGATCCACTCCGACTTGGTCATCGCAGAGCGCTGCGAAGCGTGCACGAAACGTGCTGTCCCCTTCTCTCAGGAAGACGGCGAAGTCGTCCAACGTCTGTAGGATACAGAGCACAGTTTTCAAGCCCTTCACTTCCAACTCGGCCCTGTAAAAGGCTCTTATTCCAAGAGTTCGGGGTATCTTGGTGTTTGTAGAACGACGAGTAAGTTCCCGCTTCAAATCCCGAGCGTTTCAGGCTGGCGACTGCAAGCAACTCGCCAGCATGCACTCTACGACTCGCCACAATGGGAAAGATGAAGGAAGCGTTCGAGAAAGTTTATAATCAAAGTAGTATTCGACGTGGAAGAATACTAATAGCGCCTTCGAGACGTATTTATGCTGCTGTAACGTGAGGGCGAAGGCTACTTGGAAGGGCAGACGTTAATACACCACAACGAGACAAACAGGGACTGGCCATGGATTTTTGCAGACCTCAGTGTACCTATACTACTGACTTAGGGGCCCGCAATATTCGACTCGCCGGCGTTTTGAAGTCTGTTTCGCATCTAACTGACGCGCATAAATAAGTGGATGAACGACAAATAACCTTGGGGAGCATCCGAGCAGGGGAGGAGAAACGCTTGCTGAACAACGCCATCTTCGGTCAGAACAGTTGCAATTATTGAGCAATGCTCGGTCGAAAATACGGGCTGCCATAAGATGATCGGAGATTTAAAAAGTTGAACAAAAGTAAGTCACATAAGAATTTGTACAGAAGTAAATGGTGGCCAGCAAACAATTCCCGCGCGCAACTCTATCAATACTTCTAGTGGACCCGATCTGCACAAGGGGGCACAAGAGACGAGAGATAGGCCTGCAAAATTATACTGGAAAAGCGACTGTCATCATCCTGAAAGCCCACGGCAGGATCTTGGCACGTGGAAAGGAAATGGACAAACGACAAATGGACAAATGACTTGACAAGCGTGTATCTTAGACCGATTATGGACCCTGAGTAAAGCAAATTGGAATGTCAACTTTAGCCAGACCCGGCTGCAAGCACTTCAGCCCAGCAGTCAAGGTATGAGTGGTCAAGATGCTTACCTCCTTTACCAGCCTGGTCCTCTCGTACCCGCGGACGTGCTCCATCACGTCCTCCGGCGCGCCCTTTTTCACGAAATCCGTTACGGAGTCCACGAGAAGCGCCACGTTTCGCGGGCTAGAGCGCAAAAGCTCCTCGGGCAGCTGAACTCCGCCGCTAATTGAATGGGCTTTGAGCCAAGCCCACGCATTCGCTATCGCGGGCTCAGGGGAACTTGATGGCAGGGCGAGGACTCGAAGCATTGAATAGACCGCCCTTCCGTTTGCTGGGGCACTGAGTATGTTTGACCACACGGTGGCCATTCCGCTTCCGGTGACCGCCACCAGCACGTTGCTCCGCTGGCGGAGGAGGCGCTTCAGCACCACCCCGGCCCGTATGACGTCATCCTGACTCAGCACGCCGTCTACGGAGATGAGGAAGATTTCTTGGAGCTCGTCTAGTGCTAGATAGAAGAGGCGGTCCTCGGGCAAGCTCGAAAAGAAGGCTTCCAGCGCCATCTACGGAGGAATTTAATCGTTGCTTTAGCCTTTCTGTCTGCACTGCAGTCAGGTTCTTCGTCGCGTTCAAGAAGCGTTAAGATGGCATTAGTGGAGCAGCACACTCTCGTTGCCAGCGGTTTTTCTTCTGATGTAACCCCTGTCTGACCACAAGCTTGCGGGTTAACACGTAGGTTTTGCCTGGTGGTTGGCCCGTCAGGTAGAATAAGCCCTCTGACAGGTTAGTACTTGCACTCAATATATTGACTGGTTGATGTCTCGATTAAGTATTTTGATCGTTTTGAGCCAGCATGTAGTATGTGGTGTCGAGCGTGAGTGTCTTTGCTGTTTGTGTTCCAGGCGTTGACCTGCTTAAATCCTGGATGTACCCAATTCTTAACCAGGCACGTGAATTGCAACCGTGGAATCTGCATCTTCTAACTTGTTTCGTTTCTCTTCGCTCTCGCGGTATCCCTGCTTTTAACCTCTGCCGAGCAGGGAGGCTGCCGGCCGGCCTCGGACGGGATCTTTTTTGTACTCAAAATGACTCCCATTGCAATATTTGTTTAGTCAGCGACGAGCTTACAAAGAGGTGGGTTGTAAGACCAGACGGAGGGTCGGGACGCCAGCAGTTCTGGCTCGTAAGGAAGCCTGACGTATTGTTAAACAGGTTTCTCAGCGCACCTCAAAGAAGGTTGATGAAGCTCCACTAGGAGGAAGTCGGACTTGCTCCAACCCGTGGATTTTAGCCCAACCGTTGAGCTCGTGAAGGAGTTCCTCCAGAAATCTGCTGAGACCATGCGTGCGGTCTAAGAAGCTCAGGTCGATGTAGCAAACAAGTGCCTATGCAGGCTCTCCAATGCCAAAAGTCGGCGATGTCTTCAGCAGGGCTGGCACGACACGGTGGATGATAAGAGACTTGCCGAACTGCAGCACATTAAAACCGAAAGTAAGTCTCTGTTGACGAGTCGCTCGGGAAGTTTCACAGAATTGCATCTACTAGCATGACAAGGACTATAGGATTGCCTCCTGGGTTGTTGAAAATGGAATTGGAGCTACAAAAAAGTGGCTATACTAAGCGGTGAAATCTGGCTGTCGGTACACCCGATGCAACCGTACAGCTCAGACCTCGAAGACATTGATTTCAGAGCAATCTTTCGAGAACACTGGACCGCCAAAAAGCTTCAATCCCCACCATGGTTGCTGTAGTCGAGTTGTTTTCTTCTCCTTGAGGTTCTCGCTGCAAGCAGGTGTGTCTTTGCGAACATTTGCATTCTCACCTTTGCAAGGCCAGATACCAAGAGATGTGATAAGGAGTTGCTTCGCGCATTTGCTGGATCTTGCAAGAAGGTGCTCTCGTTGATTGCCGTCCAGCTCCGCAACGTCTTCTGAATGGCGCCATCTTGATCCAAAAAGAATATTTGACAGACCATGCCTTGCTCATTCTTGAAATCGTACAGGTCTGGTGTGCCCGTTGGAACTAAATTCGGAAATCCAGCTAGATTATGCTGCTCTGCAGAGGAGAAGGAACATTCAAATTTTATTTGATCACAGTACGTCAACGATCAACCTCCACTGTTTCATCAGTGTAGTCCGTTATATGAGGGTTAGTGTGACGAGATGTCTTTCGCGCACTCAAATGCTTCAAAAACTATAACGTGCTCGACAACTTCTTTGACCGTCTTTTCCAAACTTGGCAGCTTGCAACCAATGTCGAGAGCAATAGAAGCTGCGAGCATCGAAAGAATTTCCGGATGCAGAGAGAGCTTTCGACTGCTGCCTAGCTTCAAAGGACCATTCCTGCGTACACGGCCTTTTCAGGAATCGTCACAAGATCTACGCTCCAAACCACCAGTAAACTATCCAGAACACTGATGTGAGGGCCTTCGACTTTGACAGGCTCACGCAGTCTTGACACATACAAGTCGCATGCCCGATACCGTTGAACTCACTTAGCATGCGCGAGGCCCAGTCCAGGACCCAGAGGTCGCTACCGCTGAGTTCAAGATCCCAAAGCAATTTGGAGAAGTCATCCTCTTCCACGGTCGAAAGCTCTTCTGGGGAGAGTACTTTCGCAACCTTGCCTAGCCCGTCCTCACTCAACGCTGGCACCAGTGCCCGCCATGTAGCTAACTCCTGCAGATATAGGATCACATCAGAGCCAAAGGGTGGTTACAAAATGGAGAGTAAACTGCTGAGACAGAAAAACAGTACTTGTCAGGACCCAGGGTGGAACCTAACAAGTTCTTTAGAAGAGCATATGCGCAAATAGATTGCAACAATGTCATGTGTTGCAAGCCCGTTGAAAGATCGCAGAGACATTAATGTGGTGCGGACAAATGGCACATGCAGTTTCTTTCTCACGAACCAAGTCAATATTGCCGTCTTCTTCATTCTTGGTGCTCGGAAACTTCGTTGCAAACGTATCAATGTTACGCTGTCTACCCCCTTTCTCACACTCACAATTGTGACAATTTGGAGCGAGACACCAGACTTGGAATCATCAAGGATTGACAGAAGGAGACAAGCATCAGGAATGTTGAGCAAGTTTTGCGGAGCTCACTGCACAGGTCCTTACATGCTTGCCTTGTACCTAACGTCCAAGCACGGCCAAAGCAGCTTTTCCCTCTAAGGCTTTTTCTCTTCGCTTGTGCAGGCTGTGCTAGCCGTGAGGAGAGTTGTTGAGATGGGACATGACAATAGCTTCGGCACATTTGCAGAGTTTTAGGACGAGGGCGCTGTGAATGTGGTGAGATTAAGAAGCACGGCCGGTAATCAGAGAAGCATAGAGCCATATTGTAGGAGGTTGCCAGGGAGCTAGTCTTGCCCGGCCAAGAAATTTGGCAACTCTGATTGAGACACAGTCTGATAAATCTGCTCCACAATCACCCTTCGTACTGAGAGTACTCAGCTGGACAGCCGCGAATGACATACACATGATACAGCTTCCAGGAACTGCTACGGATACGACCGCGCTCAGCTCAATCATTCCCGACTCGATATGGACCGCGGCGGCCGCGTGCCCGGCCGGCTACCTGACGGATCGCAGGGTTTGGAGATTTGACCCGGCCAGGCCGGGTCCAGGTACGTACCGGTATGTGATCTGCATGCGGGGAACTCCCTCTCTCCCGGCCTACAGGCTACCATGTTCCTGATTCACAGGATTGGGTGGGGGCAACTGCTTCAGATTCTGCCGCGAGCTAGCCTGCATATGCGGCTAGGCGGATGCGCGGCCGCGCCCCGCCGCGCCCGCCGAGCCCGCCCGGGTAAAGTTTTGAACCAGGATTTTTATTGGGCGCAAAAATCCCCGCGGTCATGCAGAAACCTTTTAAGTACCTGACCATCATTGACTCACTTGAATCGGCCCATGCAGGACGGCAAACACGCGGCGGCAAGGCTGCGAGCGCGCTCGTGCGTTCTGCATAGATGATCGCCATCACGGCGAAATCACTCGTTTTGTGGGCCGCCCCCAGCGTTCGAATATACTTCTCTAGAATAGGTTTAGGAAGCCCAAAGTTTAGTGAGAACGAGCTAATACCAAAAATTTAGACCTAGATGATCACCCGCTCTGCACCCATACCCACTCTAACCACCATACTAACCCTACCCGTCCCAGTACTAAAGGTTGAGCTTACTAAACCTATTCTAGAGAACGATCAGCGTTCGGACACCGAGCGCTTTTGAACGTTGCCACGTCACCCAAAAACAAAATCGGGGCTAAGCCCTGTAAGCAACAGGGCATTTGCCCGAGCCTTGTCGGGCAATTCAAGCTCGGGTCCTCTCAATCGGACCCTTTTCAGCTCAAGAGTGATGTCAGCCCTATGAGAGTCGGGTTGCTGCAAGCCTCACCGGCTGGAGCTTCCCATCGTGTATCACGGTATGCATATTCACGGATTGCTGGGATGTGTGCATCTGATACCAGTGAGTACCAGTGATTGGCAACATTCGATCATGTCCATGCGATTTTAAGCAGCTTGGATGCAAAGGCTTTGAAGCGAAGTTTGGTAAATCCCAACTGCTCAAGCAAATATTCCCACAGCGCAAATTATAGAAGTGCACTATGGCACACTAACACGCACGGGATGACTATATCAAAGGTCTTTCTATGATACTAAAAGTGGATCCGGTCTTGATTGACCTCACCATGTCGCAGGGCCTGCCACCAGAAACCTAGCCACGGGCCAGAAATCTTGTCTCCCTAGTCTAGTTGCTCATGCAACCCACGACCTACATGGTGACCCACCTATTGGAAGGTGTCACTCGGGCTTAAGTGCAATATCACCAGAAGAACTGAGCTCGTGCTACAATACCCTTGTTCCTGGACTTTCAAAACTCAAGCACCGGTACCGTAGTTACTTTACTTCCTGTTCAGTGCCGTGAGCCACGTTAAACCATGGGCCACCGTCGCTCCGTTGAGACCGGGGTTATACAACCACGAAAGCATCACAGTCTCCCAAAGCACACCCGCAACTTGACACAGCGGATCCTGTAGGGCGCCGCGCTACAGTACTACTTGGGGTTGCGTCACCAGCTGATGGCGGCTGATTTCTTCCCTGTACTCTGTTACTGCTATCGAATCGTTCAGCTGGCAAGAAGCCAATCTGCGCCGTTCGATGGTTGTCGAACGGCATGAGGCTAGAAGCAATCCCCCGTTATCTACATACTGCTGGACGCCGTGTTCCTCATCTGAACAGCGGACGTTGAGGCGTACTGCACATACTCAGATGGGCGTCGAGCGCTCGCGCCGATCTTCGAGGAGTACGCGGCACGCTGGCTGGAGTGCATCCTAGCCGACGATTTCGCGACTTTAGAGCCTTCCGTCTGGTACTCCTGCAAGAGCATGCAAATAGGGGGGGCTCGGACCAACTGAACACAACAAGCTCTTTGTCATAGTCAAAGCAAAACTCTAAGTATGCAGGCTATTCGAACACACGATCAGCAAGAGGGGTGCTACGAATTGGATGATGGCGTCTGTATCAGCGAGAGCAGTGGAATCGGACTTCACGGATGGCAGCTACCTTTTGATCATGAATTCGGACAGGTACTCTTAACGTTTGTAACGAGAACAGCTTCAATATTACCCTCCCGAATGTTGCCAGGGACTCGACTCATGGCAGTTTCTTGTTCATAAACCCACGTGAAGAACGTCAGAAAAGGAGAGGCAGAGCATCTTCACATACACGTGAAGCAGAAAAATGGCCAGGAAAATAACTCTGCCGATTTTCCTGACGCTGAATACATTCAAAAAAAGTGGGCCTCGTTAAAAAGCGAACTTACGCGCGCGCTTGCGAAGCCCCGCCCGACTAGTTGCAGATCCTCCAGGAGCGCCACGCACGCCGGCGCTTGGCCCGATATCGACCGCCGTATGGAATCCATAGCCGCTGCGATGGCGTCACGTGCCTGGTCCAGGTGGTTTTCCCCAGCCAGCCGATCTGCCACCCGCATCGCCTTGGCGGCGTTGAGCCTGGAAGGATACGCGATGGTCAATGAACGATTCACGATGGTGTGAATCAGTGGCCCTAAAGGCGTCAGGGGATGGGCACTCGGCCGAAATTGTGGACAGGAATTGATGGCGGACGTCGAGATATAAGCGTTGGTGTGCGGAGTAAAGGCTGGCGGTGGGTTTCAACTATCTTGAAGAAGCACGCAATCTGGGAGAACGGCCGATGAGCGGTCGGGCGAGCGGCTTGAATGTTCGTGCGAGCGCCCTGCTTCGACCGGCATAAACTACTTGCTTCGCAATCAAGTCCGAAGCGCTCGCGTTCGACTAGAAAGCGTTCGACCAGCAGGTCGGACTGATGAAAACTCTGACAGCCCAGGCCTTGCAAGGCTGCTGTGGATAGAAGGAATGAAGACGCCCGGGGCCGCATGGGATGTTCTGTCTCGCGAAACTTTCAAGTACAGAAGGATTGACCCTCTCACTTGCAAGTAGGCAGACGGAACGACAAACTGTGACGATTCCCTGTCCCCTGTATTACACTGTATTACAAACAAGACGTCACGAAACACTTTCAAAACCGACTACTTCTCTTCGTATCTCCGAATGCGAGTCGAATGCTTACCTGTTACGCTGAATGTCGACATCCACGTTGGGCCCCGTTCCCTCGGGGCCCTCTCCCCGAGCGATTAAGAGCGTCAGATTAGGCGACCTAGATAACTTCTCCTGACCCGGGACCGTGTACTGAAGCCGCCCCGACAGGAGCTCGGTGGGTTCCGAGCGGTCGCCTTCGGCTGCGGGCACTCTGACCGTGATCAAAACGTCCCGGGTCTCGCCGGAGTACATGTCCTGTGGAGGCGGGGCGAGCTGATGACGTCAGCCAAGCTTTCAATAGTGACGTCAGCGAGAGGGCGGAGGAGTACCGAGCACTGAGTGGCCCGTTGCTCTGACGGGCGCGCGACCTGGACGGGTCTATTTATACTTGATCAATAAATGTCAATTCTGGACAACAAACACGTCGGCGAGCACGCTTCTTGTGATAGCCCTCCACTGGGTATGAATGAACGAAGCTCGTATCTGGAGGCTCGAGTGAAGGACCCACCTCAACAGCCAACTTTTTAGCTTTTGCACTGAAATTCCGAGACGGGGATTGAGTCAATAAAATAGCTCAGCAATTTCGAAACGAGGTTCGAGCAACATTCCCGTCGGGGGCATCCATTTGCCCAACAGTCAGGCAAAGGGCGTCAGATGAGTGACGTCAACTCCCGGGCAGGCTATGCGCCCTCAACCCACTAGGGTGAATTGCAAGAAAGCGGCGGGAAAGCCTTGTCTGATACGAAGAAGACATCAGCGCGCTTGACTGGAACGTTCCTTTACAACCAGACTGTTCCAGTTTCTCGCACCCTGCTCAGGGTACAAAGACTCGCTCGCGGGGTTGCCGGCTTGGGTCTTGCAGAGCTTCCCTAAGCAGTTTTCACCGCCCGCGAAACGGCAGCCCTGATCTTACTCGAGTCTGGGAGACTGTAAACAAAGAAACTAAAGGCATGTGACTCACTTTCAGGTCGATCTTCGCGGCCGCCTGCGCCTCATCCACGGTCGCTTCATACGCTCCGGCGCTGACGGACAGAACGGCGACCCCGGAGGCTGCGGTGATGCTTATAGTGGTCGCCTGAGCAGCCACGCTGAGTGCACCCCCCAGACATTGCGCAACGGCCTCTTTGACTTCCAAATTGCTCCGGACGAACGTGAAGGTTCCGTTGGTTCCTTCCGCGATCGCGTCGAGGATATGCTCGTCGTGGTTCCTGAGAGCGGAATGGCTTTCTAGAGGTCCAATCGGAATTGTTTTGGTTAGGCGCACTCTTTTGTCCGTGGAGATGAGGACATTGCTTGTTTCCTGGCGGGTTCTGATCGTTATCTCGCACCTCGATCAGAATCTGGAGGATTCTCGTTTTCTTAGGTTCAAAAGAGACGGCAGGACAAAGTATCATCCACTGGGATCTTCAAAAGCCGTTCTTTTGGAATGCACACGCAGAATTTCGAACAGAAGCCACGGATGCAATGAGATCCAGACGTTTCAAAAGGCGTCTACAGTCAGCTTTATAGCGAGCGGAAGTTGTACCCTTGTGGGCGCCAATTTGCTGCTCAATATTTGTACCAAAAAAGAGTAGGATTTGTAGTATTGCATTTCATCACTAATACAGAGCTTTGATTGGGCCAAGTTCCGTGCTATATTAGGCATTTTGCGACCCGAACGAAACCCTTGAGTTAGTTGGGCACAAAACCAAGAAAGTGGTTGATGAAAGAAAAAATAGAAAGCGACTTAAGACCTGTAGCGAAGCTCGAATCACGATGACGTCAGCTTTGTTAATGCAGTCTCCTCACCTTCCGTAACCAAAGGTGTGCACCGAGACGCTGTCCCGCGTGGCTGACGTCAGCAGGTCCTGGTTCTGCGCCACGAAGTCGGCCCCGCCCCCGAAATTATCGAGGCCGTCCGAGAGGAGCAACATGCACGCAACGTGGTTCCTCTCGCGCCGTGACGTCAGCACGTGGAGGCCCAGCGCCAAGCCAGAGGCGATTGACGTGCCTCCCCCAGCCCTGGAATAGATTGACGTCACGAAGACTCAAGCACTTGCCATAGGTAGCAGATTCCAAATCCCAGAGACAGAGACAAGACTTAATCACACTGGCAGACTGACGAACCAACCTCTTAGAAGCCTGTCACTTTCGGAAGCTGAAGACCTCCAAGTGAAAAAGCAAATTTTGTTCGAAACGCCTTACAGAACGAGGGAAGCATGTGATCCAAAGGAAGTTCTCCGCTCGATCAAGCCGAGAGGGGCGACCAGGGTAATTCCAAGTACCACGGAAAGAATAGTTGAGAAAACAAAGAAAGGGTTCTGTTTGTTTTCCAAGCAATGATAGATATCAAGTACTTCAATCCAAACAAAAACAGAGGGAAAAGTCGAATCGGAAGGTGAAAGAAGAGGGAAGAAAGAGAAGACGAGTAGAGGAGACAACAACCAATGCAGAGCACAATTACCTGAGACCCTGCACGGCGAGCTTGAGCCGTTCTTTGCTTTGCTCGGTCGCCTTCGTCAGCCTGATTGCGCGCTGCGCGCGGTCGCAGAACGCGACGATGGACAGGCGATCCGACGACTGCAATTGGCTGATCACAAACAGCAGCGTCTCCTTCACCAGCGGGAGGCGGTCGGCCGCCATGCTGCCGCTCACGTCCAGGACCGCCACCTGGCAGGCGCACATTCGGACACGAGTCAATCTGGTGCGAGTCAAATGAAAGAGCCTAAGGCAGTCAAGTGGTACGTCTCGGTTGATGTGCTTAGCAAGCAGGAGAAGATGACTTTGTCTTTGCAGCGAGTCTCCTTAAGTCAGCGCAGGGACGAAAATCAATCATATGGTTGCAACAAAGGTTATTGGCAATTGCGTGCTTGCTTGCGGAGGTACTCGTTTATATCTTTTATTAGTCTAGAGCTGCTAGGGCGACCTTGATCTGTGCGCTGCTGTGGTTTACTCTTCCGATTGGTTGGGTGCCCGCTTTCTTCCCGTTGGCAATCTGACCCTCCCTCATGTCACAGACACGTGGAACGCTCTCGTGATTGAAGTCCCTCACATCTTGCGTAACGGTCAAAGAACACCGTGTTAAGACTCAACTTTAGAAGCGGTATTCCTGTACATCAGAGTTCCCTCTCCAAGGGCTAACAGGTTTCATTGACTTCGGGAACAGTAACGCCAGTGAAGAGTAGGTGGGACGGGTGGTGTTGGGTGGGTACGAAGGTGAAGCACGCATATCAACCGGACAAGCCTCCAAGCCTACACTTCACTGATTGAGTTCACAGTTCACCGGACAAGCCTACCCTTTACTAAGTTAACAGATCACCGGACAAGCCTACCCTTCACTAAGTTAACAGTTCACTGGATAAGTAGTCTACATTCAGCACTCTCATTTCTTACCAGGTCAACCGGGACGCGCTTCCCGGTCTCTGGAGCAGCCACGTGCGCCAGAACCAGCAGCTGTTCCCGGGGGAGAGGCCCGATCGTGTCGAACTCCGCAGCGAGCGAAAGTCTGGGTTCGGCGTCAACCGTAGGTGCGTTGCCCTCCTGATTCTCAGGAGGAGCGGCCTGAAAATCAGAATGAAGAAAGGGGTGAGTTTGCTAATTGGGAAAGTCGCCGAACGCAGGTGGGCAGCAAAAAAATGCAACTGGCCGGTGCAGCCACTGCAGCAAATTAGGTTTGTTGTCCAGCGATTTCGAGCCCGCTGGATTCAACCAAACTGGCGTTCAGTTGAGATCACCGATGGATCATTGACAACTGCTTCTGCGGGAGGCAATGTGAAAGTTTGGCTCAAACAGAGGCGTTGCTTACGTCCGTGAAAGCTCAGCAGAAGTGTCATACCATCATTGTCAATGCAGGATTTGTGTGATTATTAGTCACAACATCAAGATGATTGTAGGATGCCCAGTTGCGGGCCTGCCACCTACTCTCATCAGCGAATTCCCAAACATCCAGCCCCGGAAGCATCCCATTTCCAAAACCTGAAACCCTTCAACCACAACTGGATACTCTGACGTCAGCGTTTCCCTAAACGCCGTTTCAGAACCGTGGACCGCTCATAGTAGGACATGAAAGCGGAACGCCAAATTCAAGAACGAGCCTCAACAGCCAAAAATCGTGAGACCCACCGGTTTGCTCACCTCCAGCGGTTCGTCATCATCTGCAGGCGGAAGCGGGGACTCCAGAACTTCCGAGAGCCGCGCTCTTCGTGGAGCCCGCCGGTGCGCAAATGGTAGCCGGGCAGCCTTCAAGCAGGAAAACAGGGAAACTCAGGATTCGGTTAGGTTTCGGTCTGCGAGGGGGAAATGGTCATGACTGGGCGGGCAGTCCTCAAGCAGGTCACAACAGACGGTTAAGAGTCGGGTTTGGTGTCGGTCTACAAGATGAACATGAATCTCCTGGGCGAGCAGTGTAGACCTATGGGGAAAAGGGACGGTGGATCAGTTCTGAGGAGTTTGGGTTAGGGGTCACTCTGGGAACGAACATAGTTAACTGGGCGGGCAGCTACAGTCAGAGGAAAATGGGCGGTTAGCCAATCCTGCATGGAGGAGAAATTAGGTGCTGGTCTGCGAGGCGAACATCGGTTGGTCGAGCAATTCAACGGTGCTCGGCAGCTTATTTTCCTGTAGACGGAAAGGCGGGTAGAACTCTAGATGTGTGAGGGAGACAAGTCTGTGAGACTGGGTAAAAAACGGGTTGCAATGCTGCCCGTTGATGGGGTCGTGCAACCAGAACCACACTCCCTGACATCATCATTCCAGAATTGACGCCGAGGTAAGAGCTAGGGTCCCGGAACAGATCAAGCTGCGAGAAAGGCAAATGAATCAGGCGCTTTGACTGGAGCTCTGTACTATTTTGGCGGGCAGTGGGATGAATCAGTGACACAGTCACAATGGTAAAAGTTGAGTTTGACAGGTCCCTGGCTCAGATGATCAGATCTTGTGGATTGAGATAAGATGGGAAGGGGCACATGCGCATGGTCAAGGCTCTGTTATGAAAAAGGGTCAGTGGGAGTGGCAACAGAGTCAGCACCGGAGACACAGGGGCAGTACAAGGAACTGAAGCTGTGTCGCATCTGCTTTTGCGCTGCAAGCCTTCATTTGTGAATCTCAAACAGTATGAACGGGAGAGGGCTTCCCCCAAACCTCGAGCACGATTGGAAAGAGCGAGAGAGAACCTCGAGGTTATCAACGAGGGCTATATCCTCTGAGAGTGAAACAAGATGCCAAGGAAGGAAGACGTACAGGCGAAGGAGGAAGGGCATTGTGAAGGCAGCTGAGTGAAGCGAAGTATTGACGATCAGAACCAAAATATGCAGGCTAAAGAGGGTCCAGTCACACTGGCAGAGAGTCCTTTCTGATTCTGAGAAAGTTAGACTGTTCTTGGGGCAGAAGGTGAACCATCCTCTGATAAACCGCCATTATGTACAATCACACAGAGGAATGCTGACATCACCAGTTATAATTATCAAGGGAAATGCAAATTGAACCAATCTTTCAACATCTCAGACTTCTTATCAGGCGTCTCAAAACCTCGTCTCGGCCAAGAGCCTGCCAGGTTCTCTATACTCACCCAATGCTCGTTCTGAGAATTATTGTGCGAAGGAGTGCTGTTCGGCAGCACCGGAGTGTTGGGCAATTCGAGGTTTGCATTTGGCTGCGGGTGCGGATTTTGAGAGGACGAGGGTGTCTGCGCGACGGCGCTTTGTGTTGGATGGCGGGCGGCCCAGTCTTGGATGAGCTTGCGCAGTGTCAAGTTCGGAGACACCTGCAGGCAGTCTGTGGGTCTGACACTGGCGGCGCTGGGAAGATGGGCTGCAATGCCGATTGTGGCTGGTTGATACCTAGAGACTTGCGACCCTCCTCAGACTTGTGTGGTGTGCGGTCCTGGTGAGGGATCCCCTGCAAAAGTCTTAAAAGTTGAGGCAGAATCCGGTGACATTCAGACTGACATTCAGATGTCTGAGGAGAATTCCAGCGACGTTGCGATTGACAGTAAGCTTGGATCGGACCAAGGTGTCAAGTTTGGATGGGGCCAGGTTGTCTCTGGAGAGGACTTAATAGGAGGCAATGAGAGAATTCACAATGTTCCAAAAGCTATCTCTGCAGGAGGCAAAGCTGGTGCAGTGGGGTACTTAACAAGGTTCTATGGTCAGGGCACACTCCTCTAGCTGCTTGGAAGTTTGACCTTGTTTAAGAAACAATACCAACTGCTCACGGATTGACATATGGTTGGCATAATATCTTTGTAGTTCTATTCACTTTGGCACACACTTTGTGAATTGGACCAATGTCTGATCCGGTATCTTGTCCTGATTAACAATGATCCTGGCGCTTTGAACCCTCATTAAGCAATTTGGCAGCGTTGCTTGCTCCCTTAGCCCAGTTCATAACAGCTTGTCCTGCATTGACCAGAGGTCAAAATCACGGCTCGTTCGAAGAATGGGCCAAAACATGTGAGCTGTACAATAGGTCAACATGACAGAACCTTTCATTTGGAGGGCCTTCTGCCGCACATGAGCTCATGCTGCTAGCCTCACCTGGGTGCTCGTCAGCACGACACCTGTCAGGGGACACGTTCTGTTGCCGCGGTCAAACCACTGCTCGATGGCCGACTTCTCAAAAGTATGTCCAGTCTCCACAAGCAGCACGGGCTCGCTCATGAGCAGCACCGTGATCGGACACAGGAACTCATCTGGACAGAGGGACCCCTGTCTCGACACCGGAGATGAAAGCAGGGCAGCTGCCTGAGTAGGTGGAAGGGCGGTGTCAACGCCAGCTGCTTGCACGGGCCCTGGCACTGTCTGCGGTTCCCCTGTTTCCGCCATGGCTAGTGCGGACGAACCACCACTAGATCTGCACACAATTTGCGTCCCTTATTCTTCCTCTTTAGTGCCAACTCACGGAAAATGGGGCGCAGATTTATCTCCCTCAGCTTCTGTAAGCTGTCATGTAGCTTCTCGGGCTTGGCGAAAGTGGGGGTTCCCTCAGAGTGAGAAGCCGTTCTTCAAGCACATGCCACTCCAGAGCAGGCTGAGCTGGAGGAGGTGACAAACCTTCAACCCGAGAGTCACGAGAGGGAGTTCTCTGGGTATGCACCGGCGGCCATGAACAACGATCGAGGTACACTGGGTACCGGTCTGGGGTTAACTCTCGACCAAAACCCTGCAGCGCGGAGGCTGAGGAGGACTGGGAGGCGCGGCGGCCGCGAGACGGCGCGCGACCGTACGTCGGCTGTCAAGGTACGTCCATGAGCCTCCGCGACGGTACGTATGCGTGACGCTACGGTGACGGTCCGTGCAGCTCGAATTGTGGTCAACCCGTCTATGGCCGCTAGCTCTCTGTACTGAGTGGAAAGGACTTCGCCGCTTTCACACCGCCGGTAGATGGTCACCGGAGTGCTCAGGACGATCCCGCTGATTGCCATCTGATTGTCTGTTTTTGTGGAGAAATTGTAAGGCATTTCCCTTATTTTTTACAGAATGGAATGCAAACACTTCAAACCTAGGAGCTAGTACGGAAAGGCATTTGCAGTGAGACCTGTTGGTGATGCTTCGGACAAAGATGTGGCCGCCGGCACCCGGACCCGTACCCGCGACCTATGTTAGAAAGTGGAGAGAGCGCTTCTACACAAGGACCCTGGAGCTCCTGGATGAAATTTCGGAAAGCCTTGAACATTGTAGCGAGGCCAATATAGATGAACGTAAGAAGCGACTCGAGGATCTAGCAACTAGGATTGCTAATCTAGCGACAGAATTTGCAGCGGCTGCGGCCAGAGAAAAGACTCTCCAAGATAAGCCTTTGTACAAGGAGATGTCCAAGGGGTTTGGGGCGGGGCTAAAGAAGTTCTTACTAAGCTGCACCATGCTGTCTCCAAAAGCACTGCGGAAGCTAGAGGGGAAGGCCTTTGCATGGGTCGCGGATGCAGTGGACGAGTACATGTATGACTTGTACAAGGTTGAGCATGCGGAAGAGTTGGCGTCTAGGCGGCCTACTTTGGAGGATATTCTTGATATGATGGTGGAAAAATCGAAGGAATATCGAAAGCAAGAGGAAGAGCGGATGCTGGCACAGAGGCTGCAGTCGACCGTCTTGCGCCCCACCAGTTGGTCCTCCTAGGTTTCAGGAGGCAACGGCAATCTTTCTCTTCTTTTTCTTTTTTTGCACCCAGAACCATACATTCTAAACCTGCTGTATTAAGATAAGGTCGCCGTGTTCGTCCGGCGCCAGATTCAGGGTAGCAAGAGTTGAATATCCAGTAGGTGTCCTGAATGGACGAGGGACCATGGCCATGAATCTGCGCTTGGAGTTTGTGGACCGCATGTTGGAGCTACAACATCGACGTACTACACTTTGGTAGCCTGATTGGGTGTGAGAAAGGTAGCATGCAGGGCGAGAAGCGAAGGAAAACATCGATCGACATCCTGCTCTTAGCAAAGAGGCTCGAGCTCTCGTGATCCGGTTAAAGCGCCTGAATCTTCCTTTTACGTCAGCGTTTACAGCAGCGAGATGACTCCAACCTTGCAACACGGAACCTACTTGTAGCCTACTGTAGGACGTTGCACACACCATTTGCGCATTCCCTACGCTTCACACGCAAGTTGAAGGGTCAGCTCCAACTCTTGTCCTCTTGTTCGCAACCATTAGACCCCTGTCACCAGAGTCAAAAGCTATTATAAAAACAGCCATGAGGAAGCCATAAAGCATGGATCCATACTCAAAACCTCGTGTGCAGACATGCATTTGTGAAGTTCAAATGTCCCTTCATCGGCATCCGATCGTATGTTGCCGCACTCGACGAAAGCTGCAACCCCGTTGCATTCGGCTTCTGGGCGGCAATTCTTTGAATTCGACAAACGCATGCAAGCCGGGCCAAATGATGCAAGGCCTGACTCGGGCACGGTTATACCAGGTTCGCTTCCAATTGGAAGTATCACTATATAGCGCAGATCTCAGCAAAGTTCCGCCCAAATGGTCAATCTATTGAAATAATTGAACCCTTTGAAAACGCAGTGTGCATGACTTTCAGCAATGGATCGTGTGACGAAGTTCCGCACGCGCTGTGCAGTGGGTGGCGGTTGTTGCGCATATCTATAAGCAAGCTCTTAATTGCAAGTGACGGGTGGCCATGGCAATTTACGGTATGAACGATCGCAAGTCACTAATGACGAATATGATTGAGGCAGGCGGCCGGTGTGCTTTACTGGCTCAACTACGCTCCATGCAGTTGCATTCACCGGGTCGGATAGACATCTATAAATCCTGAGTCGTGGGTTACACATGGCGGGTGTAATGCTCAATCGGATGGTCGGACAGAAACATAGGAGCCAGGGCAATCAAGTTTTATGTGGAATCAGACGTGTTGAATCACAATCTAAGACAACGACAAATCTCGTATCAAGCTGGACAGGCTATGCTAGGTTTACCTTACAAGCAGACACCCATTTCTTCTCTATAGCACACAATGACAGACTGAACCGTCTGCATCATGTAAAAAACTCTTTCGCAATGCTTATAAGGCTTCTATCTGGTGCAAGAACTTTACAACCACACTCGGCCTTCGCTGGCACACCTGACAACCACAGACCTTGATGTGCTGCAAACAGCCAGTATCGCCTGGTACGGTACTACTATCATCAGCAAGTAGGCGTACTCGGGCTCTTATTTCTGCTTTCGTAGCGTTAAGTAAGACGAGAGTCCTTTCAGCTTGCCCTTCCAACAAGGACTATTTCGTGCAGGCCCCGGCTCTCGCCATGTGTTCAAGCAACGCAAAGCGCACGGCGACGACAACCCCATGCTACTCCCCTACATTCCATCAAATTTATTCAGGACGTTTGCGCTACCTCATCCGGATAGTGTCATCAGCAAAGATGACGTCTGGATTCCGGATGTGAGGGTTCAAAGCCGCAACGTCCTTCCACTTGGAGCCGTCCCCATAGACGCGCGACGAGATGCTCCATAGCGTCTCCCCCTTCTTGACACGTGTTTTGGCTGGCGGGGCCTTATCCTTCATCATAGCGCTCTTGGCGTTATGCCCGAGGCCGTTTGCCAGCAGCCACCGCGAACCAGCGACCTGGCAATCAGCAGAGAAACCTTGAGTCGCTCGCAGGAAGTGGCGATAGGCACGGGAACTAGGAACTGAGATGCGGAACATATTACAAAAGCGCACGCTGGGATGAGCACCCTCCGAAGTATCAAGGGTTCGCGTCCACATTATGAATACTGTGAAGAGGACAATGAAGCAGACCGATAAAGCACAGTTTTCAAAGCGGATGAAACGAATATACGACCACGCAAAGCTTAACAAGATACCACGGCCAGGTAACTGGCCGTTCCTTTTCCCAGGCTATTCCCTGACACACCAGACTGTCACCCAACGCAGGACAGAACCCCTTTTTGCGAGGTTGTTCGTTCAGAGAAAGTTCCCGTATGGGCAGCTCTGTGCACTATCAAACTCAAAAACGTAGTGACCAAACATCAAGACCGAGACACTGAGCCCTCCGAGTTTTACAAGGACCAGATACACAAGAAAAGGGGCCCGATGTCCAACTGCCCACCTGCTGCTTCTGCCCCCCCCACTTCTTGTGCTTGCTCGCCGCCGCATCCGGCTTGTCGTTCTTTCCAAGCCCCGCCATGTGTACCCCGGTAATCCGGAACTTGGGGTTGGTTTCTGCAGGGGGGGTTGGCGCGTCTTCCAACTCCTCGTCGTCTGAGTAGTACACCTCCGCCTCTTCTTGCACGGCGTTTTCCACCTGGAGAGGGGGAGGTTTAGAATCAGAACTTCATGGTCGGAGATTGTCGTGGATGATACAACAGCTTAGTAGGTGGGCAAAAAAATCTCAAGTAAGCGCCGAGCAAACTGGGCAGATGATGACGAAGCAGACACAGATCTCCTCATTGAATATCCTCGCAGTGCCTATCCGGGTGCCTGCTCAAATTCGAAGCATACCGCAAAACATGCGATGTCCGTGCACCGTCTCAGTATGCTTCCCCCAGCGAGAAAGTTCTCTGAACAACTTTCACAAGCTCCCGGTTCATGTGTAGCTCGTCACGGTTTTAGCAAAGCAGCGTCTCTACAGGTCAGATAACTCATGGGCGCCACTCACAGCCTCCTGCTGCGCACGGCGCTCCTCTTCCTCTGTGCGGCGCTCCTCTTCCTCGGTGCGCCCCCCCTCCTCGGGCCCCATGATCGCCCGCCTTTGTTGGCCCCCCTCTAGCTGCAGCGTGCGCTTCTTTGCCGCTTCCAATCGCGCTTGCCGTTTCGTCCTCCTTGGAGCGGGGGCTGACAGGACCCTCTCCGCCTGAACCATTGCCAGCATAGGCTGCCCCACCGGCTCGTAGTTGCGAAGGGGATCCCTCAGCTGAACCAGCATCGCCAGGGTCAGCTTGTCGCCCATCGCGCCCTGCTGGGGGCCGCCGGGCCTGAAAAAAGGAAGGGGGGGATTTTAATGATAAAGAAGCCGTGCAAAAGAGTTCCCTCAGCTAAATTAGCATTGCAAGCATCAGCTTCTCGCCCATATCGCGCCCTGCTCTGGGCCTGTGGAAAGGAGAGGAGGAAATATTTGAGAAACAAAGAAGCTGTGCAATAGAGATCCCTCGGCTAAATCAGCACTGTCAGGGTCAGCTTGTCGTTCATTGTGTCCTCCTGGGGGCAGCCGGGCCTGGGAACAGAAGGAAAAGATGTAAGAAACAAACAAGCTGCGCCATAGAAAGGAAGAGACCCAACATGTCGGGAAGACGAGGGGATTGCGTGCTATCAACGAGACACTCTTGAGCAGGGTCCTGGCTTTCATCGAGGACGTCGGAGAGATCAGACAAGAGGAAAAGTGCTTTGAACCAAATATTATAGCCCTTCTAGACAGGCGCGAGTCGTTCTCCGACACAACTCCGAATGATCACAGTCCTTCCTCAACCGTGCGCTTACAACGAACGAGCACTGTGAAAAGCACATAGTGATGCGTGTCAACAGGCCCTTGTACAAGGGCTTCCCGTGGTGGCTCAAAAAAATAGCGCGTTACACGGTCCCTTCGCAGTGGTCCGACGACTCACTTGGCCCGTGCTGCTGCCACGTCGCCGTGCTGCGCCCGGTGCGCGGCCAGGATCGCGCGCGTCTGCTCTGACATGTTCTCCTCGTCCTGCTCCACGCCAGTGTCCAGCCGCATCCACTCGTCCAGCGACACCGCCGACGCCATGAGGGCCATGTTCGCCTCGTAGTCCTGTAGGGAGAATAACAGACGAGCTAGATTTCAGGTTCGCGAAATTGTCTGCACGCCAAGAACTCTCCATTAGAATCTGCGCATCATCCGCTCAGAAGAGTACAGCCTGCTGCTCGCTGACAACGCTTACAGAAGCGCTAACGTCACCCCCTGGCTCACCTCGGAGTTGACCTCCATGTCGGTGTTGCGGCCCGAGAACAACCCTCCCAGAGGGCCCCCGAGGGGCACCATCGCGCCCCCCCCCTCGCTGGTACTGACGTACTCCCCCCCCTCCAGCATCTGGAACTGCTGTGGGCCCCCCATCATGGGCAGCTGGCCCGCTTGAGCCTGCTTCTTGGCCTGCTCGATGAACTTGGGGTCCACGTCGCCCCAGCTCAGCGCATCCACCTGAAAGGAAAACCACTCGGTTATTCGTGTCCAAGCTTGCACTTCAAGGTTTGGTGTTAATCAACAGAAATGTCTCTTTGGCGTGGTTCTGGAAGAGCGTAAACTCGAGATTTCCAGTCATTGCTCCTCAACGGACTTGGTGTCCACGTCGCCCCAGCTCAGGGCGTCTACCTGCGGGGAAGAAGGGACTGGTACTCGGAAGTTTCTTTTGCATTTGAAGCACCGGGATTGTTGAAAGAACGTCTTTGGCGTGATGATGGCGGAATGTGTGATGTTGAGTCTCCGCTCGTTGCTGCTCAACGGACTTGGGTCCATGTCGCTAGCTCAGGGCGTTTACCTACGGCGTTTGGGGTTAGTTGAGGGTCAGGGGTCAGGGGTTGCTGAGGCGTTTGGGGTTGGGGGTCCGGATCCTGGCGGCCAGTGACCGGACTTCGAGTTTCGATTATTCGAGCACAAAATTTCCAGTCAATCGGGGAGGTTCAGAGGCAGTCAGACGCTGAACTGGAGACCCCCAGCTCAGCGCGTGCAGAGTCGAGAAGGTGGTTCGGCTCTCAGGATGTGGGGTGCTTCGACGGCTGATGTTCGTGTGTGGTGTGTTCAAAAGTAACGCGATCTTTCTTGACCTGTTCGACAAGATTGTGGTCCCCTTCGCAGAAAAGTAGGTTTCCCGTCCAAATGCTTCACCTTCACTGTACAGGGTGATATATGAGGTAGTTCCGGCGTAATCAGCCTGCTCGACGAACCATTTTATGCGAAACCAGGACCGTTTCTTTTTTCTGATACTCCCCAAATAAGTGTCAGCGCAGCAGCGCGATGAACAACTTTCCCATCTTGATCGGAGAAAACAAAAATAGAGGACTCGTTTTCGCACCTGGTACGGCGCCTCCTGCTCCGTCATGTCCGTCTGGATCTTGAGCCCCTCGATGGCGAGTGATTCCACCGTCTGCATCGCCAGGGGCCCCAGCTCTTCCAGCCCGACCAACTGCTCGGGAAGTTCTCCCGGGGCCAGAGGACGGTCGCCGCCAGCCAGACCGCCCTGGTTCCGCAAAGCGATCTCGCCTGAAAAGGACGAAACAGGTATTAGGCATCCCGACCATCAGTCCTGACCTTTAGAGCACATAGACACGTTGCCAAATGCACTTAGCGACCGCGTTTTACACCTGGACTCGGACTCCGGATTGGCAGTGCAGCACAAGCAATGGCTGACGGGTATATACTGAAACGAGGGGACGCAACCTTTTGATATGCAGAGTGCCCGCCGCAATCACTTTAGCTGCTGGATGAATGTCTCTTCGGCATCATTCTCTTTGGACGTCTGCTGCAGCAACTCACGTGCTTGCCGCCGCGCCCGCGACTCGCGCCGCATTGCGAGCTCCGTCTTGACGTCCCTGATCGCGAGCGCGCGCGCCTCGTCGCTGAGGCTCTCCGGCAGGTTCGACTCGAACACCGTGAGCGCCTTCCGATCCGCCTCTAGTTCCGCGAAGTTGCTGCTGTAGCCCGCGAACCCGGGCCTGCCAGCTGTCACCAGCTGCCCCGTCTGCTGGGACGATCCCTCGTACTCCAGCGCCAGGGGCGCGCTCCCCCCCTCCAGATGCAGGGCGGATTGCCCCCCCTCGAGGGACTGGCTGGAGTAGTTGACGGCTCGGTGGGCTGCGCCGGAGTCGAGGAGACTGGCCCAGCCCTTCTTGTGGGATCCCTCGAGAGCGGCCATGCCTTCGGCCGCGATCTGGTCGATGCTCATGCCGGTCAGCTCGGCCATGGGCATCGATGCGAGCGCGCCCGCGATCATGCCGTCCGCACCGGCGCCTGCTCAACAAGCGGGCAGTGAACGTCAGCTGACGACACCAAACCGCTGTGGAGATACTCTGAATCCTGATTTCTGAACTCTGAATCCTGAAAACCACTAAAATTCGAATCCTGGGACCCAACTTGGAAGCAAATCCTTTCCGTATGTAGCCTTTATGAATCGGCACTGGTATTTTGGAGGATTCAGTCAAAGATGAACTTGAAGGACCAAGACTACAGGTAACAGGACGATTCTTGGCGGTTTAGTAGCATGCCAGCCGGAGAAGGGACGATACCGAAAACATGGTGAGCAGACTTGAAACGATAGTCAAGAAGAGAAAGGACAGAAAGGACGCAGTGCTTTCCTCCCAATCCGCAAAAGGGCACAACACGGCCTGGTTCCTCCAGCATACAGTCAATCAATGGCCTCAATGGCCCCAACCCATCGATGAAGCACTCCATTCTCACCTGCCATCCTTTGCATGATTTCCACCGCGTTTCCCCCCATCTCGGGGGGCACCACCACCGGCTGGCTGCACTGCATGACCAGCCCACTGCTCCCCTTGGGGAACAACCGCATGTCCATTGCCCGGAGACACCCCCCGTCCCCAAGCGCAACCACTGACGGCCCCCCGGAGTTGAGCGCCGTTGCCGGAGGGGGTGCGAGCGAGTTCCCACTCGCGTGCGCCAGGCTCATCGCATCGGCCTGCATGGACACGACACGCGACAGGTGGCGCTGCATTGGGTTCTGAGGGGGCGTCGGGGAGTCGTCGAACGCGTCTTGCGTGAGCCCGAACTGCTGCATCAAGAGCTCCGTCTCCGCCGCCTCTAGTTCCTCCACGCGCGACTTGCTCGTCTTCTTCAGGGGGGGCGCGTCCTGGCTGGCCAGGTACTCTGCGCTGAGGGAGGGGAGATCATCCCCGTGCCCAACTTCCATGTCATCGTTACGCCGCCGCAACGCAGCGTGGAAACCCTCCTGCGAGCGGTACGCCTCCCAGAGCTCCTCGCCCGTCATCGGACGGTCGTCCATCAACTCGTAGTCCGTACGCCCGAAGTCCTGGTTCGAGGCTTCCACGTACAACTCCCCGTCTTCCGCATCAACCCGCTCGTACTCCTCCTCGTACCCCGCCACCACCCACTGGCCGTTGTCGTCCAATGCATACCGCGGCCGGTGCACCAGGCGGTACCCCCCCTTGTCGAGGTCCATCCGCTCCTGCACTCTCCCCCCCAGCCCGTCTGCCCCAAATTCATCCCCCCCTAGCATGCTCTGCCTATACTCCCCATCTCCATCATAGGCCACCCCCTCATCATCCACAAGATCCTCAAACATACCCCCCCCCTTTTCTTCCCCCCCAAACATACCCATCTCAGCCTCAAACTGCCGGAGGAGCGCAGTCTTGGGCGTCGGCGGCTGGCTGTCGTTCTGCTCGAAACCGCCCGCCAAGTTCCCCCGGGGGCTGCCGGGGCGGCTCAGCTGCACCACGTCGGAGCGCGCGTCGAAGTCGGTGTCCTCCGCCTCTTTGAACTCGTCGCTCTTGGTTCCCAGCAACTGCAGGAACTCAGCTTCGTCGGCGTCGGAGCCGGTCCGCTCGTGGGGGGGTGCATCGCCAGCCACCTGAGGGGAGGGGTGGAGTCCTTGTCAGAAAACGGGAAGGGGGCAAGCAAATCCAACACCTGATGATCTGGTATGTCCTCTTCAACCGGAAGAGGGGTGGAGACATTGATAAGAGAAGGAGGTGGTGGAACTGGTGCTCTGAAAGGGCTCTGGTGCTGAAACTTCTCCTGCGGGGTTGAGGGTTTGGGCTACATCGTCAAAGGGCTCAGATACAAGTACCTTGAACAGTCAGAAAGTGCACACCTTTAGTAAAGAAATCTTGTTCCGAGTAATATTGTGCACCATTTGGGTTGCAAACAGCAACCCACTACTGAAAGCATTCCACTTTATGGATTGCGGCTTGATCTTCAAGGGAGCTACGTGTTAGCCCCTTCGTGTCAGCTACTTTACTGACCTGGCCAAAGGTGTTCGGAGTTGGTATAAGACGTTCCAAGGGAAAGCTTCTGAGCAGCATTGTGAAGCTGGTTCTGATGAGTCACTCTGTCCACGATACAACAACAAAGACAAGAAGAGGCCTCATTTGCGCTGAGGGGACTGCTCTCAACCGGGTCAACATAAGCCCAGCCAGAAAGATGCAAGCAGCAAGTCGATTGCAAAGGGGCAAACCCTGAGGCCTTCCACGAAGGCAAAACCCTTGGGAAGCAGTCTAACTGAGTTGCTTCGATGTCCTTGATAGGGATAGCCATGACACTCCAATACAAAGAACAAAGCGACTTTAAACCATTCTTTTCTTCGAAGTAGACAGGAAGAATCTGTGGGATCGATCATTGTCAGAGCTCAACGTCTATAACTCAATGATCTCTAGGAGGCTGGACTACTCTGAGCCGTGCTGCACAATAGCTCCGCCTGGAAGCGAAACAGTCAACTTGTGAGGTGCTACACTATCTGCGCCATGCTCAACCGCCGGTACTCTCAGCATTTGCATCTGCTTAATCAATCAGACCCTCCTACTTCCTAATGTGTGTGCATTGCCCAACAGAAATGCTCCTCCTACTGACCTTTTCGATCCAGGCACATCAAATATTGCTCCTTACTACTTTTACGACAACCAAGAACTTGTGCACTACATGTACCATTGAGGAGTGGCTCCCGAGTACCTGAATTGCCGACTCAGCTCAACCACCAGGTACCGCAACCATTCGCAAACTCCAGCAAAACTTGACTCTTTACCTCCCATTGCAGGCTATGCTGAGAGTTGCAGAGGGCAAGCTCGCTAGTCACACAGATGGAAAGTCAGGCGCTGCGCTTTTCTGGACCTAACATACTTGTTTTAAATAAGTGGACTTCTTGCCAGAAAGAAGCGCTTACCTGCGCTTCATCCTCAACCATTGCTTCGCCTCCTTTCTCTGCCCCTTCCTCCTCTTCTGTTGCCTCTCCCCCATCGAGCGCTGCAGCCGCTTCTTCTTCCTTCTCTTCATCCCCCTTCTCTCCTTCTCCCAGGACTTTCTTTTCCACCTCCTCCTCATCCTTCACCCCCATTTCCTCCGCTTCAGGCGAAGTCGCCCGATCCCTGGCCTCTGCAGCCGCTGCCTCAGGGGACGTCCCACTGTCTCTCGTTTCCTTTCTAGGGGACGGCAAAACCTCTGGTATCGGTTCGGGGTGAACGGGCGCCTCTGGGGCTTTCGGCGATGGCGGTTGGTAGTTTAGCAGCTTCTGAGACTTGGAGACAGCAAAGCGGTTCGCGCCGGTGCGAGGGGCCACCATCTCAGTCCCTGTCCATGTTCGGTTGAGCTCGGGGGCATCCACAACCTGCAGGACAGCGTACGCAGACGGTCAGGCTTGTCCAGAATATCAAACCCATTAGTGCCCCATCTGTATCTGCACCAAGCTAGAATGATCCAGACATTACCAACAACGTTCAGAGTTGTGGTGGCAATTCCAGTGTTTGTCGGAGCTACACAGAAGATGCCAGGGGGCATCTTTACTGAGTAAGCTAGCATAAGGGGCACTAGAGTAGCAGGCGTTGGCAAGAGCTTTGCAAGGGCGCAAATGTTCTGCTCAGTCATTGCCCTTCTTTTTCAGAGTGACTTGCAAACGATGGCCAACAATATTCGACCTCGGGCAGACAGCATTGGCTCACATGGCAGTTGATATCATAAGACGAGTGCCAGAGTCATGGAGACACAAGGATAATGCCACTGAGCAAAGCCTAAAACAGGTCCCACCACTTTCTTGGACCTCCTACTACAAACTCTGCTGTGACCTCATCCTTTGAGCCCTATAAATCACCTTGTACCCGAAGGTGACCAACAGCGACCCCACCGACAATGGGAAGCTGACAGTCGACCCATCAAGGCCACCTCCTCCGCTCCCCCTGCGACCGGTGATGTCGCCACTTGGAAGCAGCCTCGACAGATCCAGCTTGTGGCGGCCCAGAATCGCTCGGTCCCCGTCCACAGCTTGCACTGAGAGAGTCGAGCTCTTTGGCAGGTACTTGGTGCCTCCCTTGCCGCCGTACATGGTGCATTTCAGGTGCAGGATCTCCTCAAAGTCCGCGAAGCTGTCCGAGACAGTGGCCGGCTTACTGTCCACGTAGTTCTCCTTGCGCATCCAGTTGACGGCGACGCGGCGGCCGTTGTAGGTAGCCGGGAGGTTCTCGATGTAATGAAGCGTGAGAGAGAACACGCAGGAGGACCTGGGGGGAAAAGGATTGAAACCATCCGTCGGCATGTAGCATCGAAAAGCCTGCCACTTATTCCTTGTAGTTGAGAGGAATCTTCCTGTATGTCATAAGAGTGAAGATCTATGTTGACTTGGGAAAATCTTAATGATGAACCTGATTGCCCCTTCTGGTTTTGTCAAATATGGAACCTAGAAAGGGTGGCATGCAATGCGTGTAGAGGCTTTCTGGAGACGCTGGACACAATATTTTACAAGGGTTCAATAGGTTTTTGTATCTGGAAGGGCAAGTGTAGAGCCAAAACCGCCTGACAAACACTGTTAAGAGAAAGCGTTGACACCTGCAAATGCCACAATTGACATCAAAATGGAGAGATGAAAGCCGCAATGCTCAAACAAGCATCCCCAGGCAAAAAGCTGTCAACTTGGAAACTCCAGTTTCTGCGTCAAGCAAACAAACAAGGTCCACATATGCTCCACCAAATGTTCGAAGGTCCACCGGGTATGTACTTTCAAGAAAGGCTACAGGTACACCAGTAAGTGGACTTGCACAATGTAGAATATCGTGCCGGGATATTGTGCAGAAAACAGGTCTAATCTAGATTATAAAGCTAGATGCTCGAGTTCAGAAACAACTTCCTGACACAGACATACAAGTTCGAGAGATTTTGAGTAGACATACTCTTTCCCTGCTGGTATCTGTACGACGTCACAACTCCGATGCTTCTGACGGAAAGCCAAAGCAATGGCCCTTGCCGATCAATTTGCCTCTGCATGAGCCTTTGTGCTCACATGGAATTCATCATCTCTTCACAAAGAGAACAAACTATCTTTACAAAGTTTCCTGATACTACCAGTCAGACGCTTCTCTGCTCGGCTTTCCTTGGAAACAAGACAGTGCCGGCCACAAAGCAATGACACCTGATGTTTGGAACTTCACATTGTGATCACAGAGCATATGGCATGCTGTAGGACAAACCTAGAAAAAATATTCAAGCCGCTAGAGCTCAAGACAATGCCACTGAGATCCAATGAAATGTTTCAACCCAATTAAACAGCGGTTTTTCGTGTGAAGCCAGCTCTTTTCGAAGGCTCTCATATCCGGAGCCCTGGTCGTCCAGATACACAATCCACTTGGCTAAAGGAGCCTTATTTTGAATGAAACATCATTCGCACAAGCTCTTACTTCGTAAATAGGTTGACAAGAAAGCAGCCAAAAATGGAGAAAGCACTCCCGTAATGTGCATTGCGCTGACAAAGCACACTGTGAAAGCCAAAAGGACACAGAAGCAACAAAGAGACACGCCACGTAAGGAGGATAACTGATTACAAAAGGATGCAGACCAAGCAGGAGGCTAGAGAAGCCTCACTTGCTGGTGCCAATCTGGGCAATTGCGCGCAGTGGCTTCCAGTTCATCCAGCTCTTCTTCTTCAGGGGGGCATCTCCCTTGACTGCTGAACTTCGCCTCGAGGACAGGCTTCTGTCAGAAAACGGGCCTGCGTTGCTCTGCTCAAAAGACACTCTGGAGCTGCGAGGAGACTCGGCTTCACTATCATCCCCAGCCAGCTTGCTGACGTCGATGCCATACCCGCCCGGTGCAGACCTCCCTCGCACCAGGAACCTGTTATCGGGGACACCTGCAACTTCGGCTGCACCCCCATTTGAAGAATGGCCGGCCGGCATGGCTGCCATAAGTTCCACAGCAGAGGGGCAATAAGGTGTGGCCTACGGAGTTGCAATCCTTTGGCAAGACGCCCTCTGCGAGCTTGCCTCAGAGGACCCTTTCCGATTCGCTCTGCCCTGGGCAGGGGCCCTGGTCAGGAGAAGGTTACGTACAAATTGAACTGTACTTGCAGCAATTGCGCGCCATTTTTTGCGCTCCAATTCTGAATCTCAACTTGTTGCTCTTCAAGCAGAAATCAGAATCAAGAATCAGGATTCCACAGCTACGCAATACACCGGGCGCAGACTCGGACGCTCGGCCCGGTAGCGTCGAGTAGCGAGCAGGCCGTAACGGTATAATAGGTATATGGTATATGGGGTCCATATTCCATCGCGAGGGAGTCCATGAAAAACTTCAAATCTTCAAATCTTCTATGGTCCTTCGTCAAGAATTCGCTCCCACTATCAGACCTCCGCGCCCGGTCGAACCTTCTGTTTCAACGGAGAGCTAGACTGGCCTACCTATGTGTTATCGGCCGGCCTCTACCTAGATTCTTATAATAGGTAGACCGGTAGATTGACACAAAAGCATTGCCGAGCCGCCGAACTTCGAAGCCTGTATATTCATTGTTGGAACTTGGGAGCCTTTTTCATAGAGACATGATCAGATTTTTACGACCTTGCGGGCTCTCTGGATTATACTGGATATGACCATTTTGCTTACTTATGATTCTGCTCGCGCCGGCTTTTGGCTGGCCCGTCTGCGCTGGGCGCACCGCCTGACTGTACAGTGTACACTGTACAGTGCGAAACTACCTACGTCAGCCTTCAGGGCCCAGGCTAGTTCAGGGTGACACCTGTCTTTGCAGAAGATTCTGCAGATTGGCAATCGACGATTCAAGTTGCCTAACAGCATCATCTGACGGCGCGAGTTTCAGGAAGAATCCACCTGACATGTCTCGAATCCAAAAGCAAGACTCGTCACTCATGCATCTCCCATCCAACATTGAATAGACTTTGAATGGACTCCGTCGAAGTCCACCAACGAACTTCCTCCCATCCTCTGTGTAAAAAAGCAAAGATAATCATTGTGAGCTTTGACTCTTCGTTGTGTCACCTCAACTAAATCTCTAGAGATTCGAAGGATATGATGCAATCAAAGGATCACATGTATGCCATGGTGAAATTCCTGAAGGCGTCTAGGCACGGTCATGATTCAAGCATAATACACCTCAATACCGTGGTAATAATAAGAATGCAGATTGTTTCTGTAAAGCCAGGCCCAGCTACTAGACCCGCAAACGGCTGGCAAGGCGTTCAAGCAAACGTCTGATCCAAGCCGTATCTCAATCCCAATTCGACAAGCTTTCATTAAAGCCGGAGGGCGTAATGCGTAGGTACTTATGTCGACTCATATACGAAAAGAATGCTCAAAGTTTTTGCACTCATGGCTTGAGTCCTTCATGACCGGGCCTCCTCCACATTTAACAATTGATCACATGGACCTCCGGGCTCGATCTCCATATATCTAGAACGCTCCCTCTAGCTCCTTAAGCTTTCCCTCTGTCCTATATGCGGCATGTTTATGTAAGGATTTGCAGCACAACGTTGTATCTGAATCCAGTCCGTCAGACTCTTATGCAGATACTTCACCATTCGTATTTTAGAGACATACATGGAACCTTGCATACTAGTATTGGGGATCATCAACTGCCTGGATGAGAGCTTGTTACAACAATCATCAAGCATGCCATAGTTGGTTCCGCAACTTCGACGGCATATCTTGTTACTCATCACTTCAATCCGCTCCGGAAGACTCGGCTCGTTCACAAGCTGCCGAGCGGGTCAAAATCGTCCAAGCTGAGCACCATCCAAAGAGATCCACTGGAAATGAAGCCAGTTACTTGCTGTCTCCCCGCTGCCGTAAGAAATCAATCAAGTTTGTACACGCAAAGGCTCCGATGCATGAGCATTCGTTGCTGTAACTCGGTCATGGTCAATGCCAAGAAGCTATTCGCACCTGCAATTCTACAATGCCAGACTCGCTCTACTCTTTTTCCCGTTTGTTTGGACTTCGTAAGGAACAAAGACGGCCGTAACGACCCCCAGAGAGTTTCCACGACAGAAAACACTAGGCATTATGTATCCGCCGCCCCATGTCCGGATTGATCAACTCATCCACGCCCCAGTCCTCATAGCTGCAAGGTCGTGAGAACCGGGTTGCTTCTACCTCGATACGGATGGAGTTTTCGAATGAGAAAAGTTTTTCATCAATAGGTACCTTGCTGCATCTAGTAGGCACCTAGCTGGCAACAAGCAAGATAAATGAAAACAATCAACGCTGGAGGTGACATAAAGCGGAGGGTGTGATTGCCAGGCTCTCACCATAGCCTTCCAGGATCCAAACACAAGCCGGAGAACGAACATTGCAACGTTTCCAGCGCGTTTGAACCGGTGCATGCTCTTCAACAAGAAGCTCTGACCAACTGGGATAAACGCGACCCATCCAGAATGAGATTTTGCAGCGATGCTCGGTGGTGACTATGGACAAGCAGAGAGACTTTAAACCTGATGAACAGACAAGTAGAGAGAAGTCAACTCATGATGACATGCGACGGAGGGACAGAAGACGGCCACCCTCACCTGCCGTCAGGAAGGTAGCGCCGGATGGTGAAGGGGATCTTCCGCTCTCGTAGCTCCTTCATCGCAATCTGCTCGCAACATGGGGAGAGTGTCTCTCTGGTCAGTAGTCTCACGTTTGAATTTGTAGCGGGACTTTTGAGGCACGTCAATGGACGCAAACGGTGGGACGATTCATCTGACTGACTGAGAGTGCCAATTCCACGAGCACAAACCAAAATAGGTTCAACCAATCTGATTTTGAAAAACTGCAACTCTTCCATATTGGGATACAATTCATCGCATGCATATATCAGAGTTGAGAAACAGAGACCCCTCATAACATTAATGTTGCATAGTGCGTCCACTCATCCTAGAGTATTCCGCACCCTCATCGTCGAACCATCTTAGTACACATCCTTCGGGAAAAGTCACTCCTTACCTCCAAAGGATCGCTCTCGTTTGCGTCCAAGTCCACCATGATGGGCGCGTTCATGCTGATTTGCAGCGCCCTCGTCCCGAGCACTCGTGCCCGCTCATACTTCGTCATGAAGCGCGTTGTTTTCCGTGGCCGGTCGGCGGCCGCCTCGTCCGGTTCCCCTTCCCGGATCTCGATGTCAGGCTCGTCTCCAGGAGCCCTCTCCTTTCCCTCTTCTTCTTCTTCCCCTTCCTGAAAAATACACAAATTTGCGTTGCACTGATGCTTCAGCACCAAGGAGGTGGGGCAATCTGGGGTCTCAACGTGAAATGTCCCCGACTCACCATCCTGGGAAAGCTTAAAGCTCATCTGGACAGAGAAGGAAAGGTTTGGACAAACCGATCCGGATCAAGTGCCTTTGAAACCACTCTTTCATGACAAAACGCCTTGTGATTTGGTTGCAAAACTGGAAACATAGTAAACACTTTTTTGAACAGAGGATGCGATGCAAACACAAGCGTTGACAAATAAGAAGCTCTCTTTAGCGAACCACATCTCAATAACCCGCTCACGATGCCTCCTGTAGCTTGAGCCCTCAACATCAAGACAAAAAGCTTTGCCAGGGCCAATCAACGTTGGCTCCCTTGCTTTTCCAGAGTTGCAGTTTACATGGGAATGACCCATCGTAAGCCAGAGCAGAAGCTTTCTCAGGTGGTGGTAAAATGTTCTCAGCTGACACGTGGTACAGTCGAAGTCAGCTTGAACCCCCTGGATTATGACTTTATCCCAGAGCCTAATCCATGTTAGAGCATGCCCAGACACCAAGAGTATGTTTGTGAAACATATCACAATGAGGGCATGTTTTGGCTGGGTCACAGCTCTCAGTTTACAAGGTGGCACTGACACAGCTGAGAGTGAGAGAACACTGGGCCTTAGAACACTGACGGTCCGAGTCAATGAAGCTCCTGGCCAATTATTGATGGCATGCCGCAATGATTCTTGCATTCCCGGCATCTCCCTTTACCAACTCAAAGAGCAGCTGGGGACGGGCTGAAGGCTTAGAATGCTGACGCTTTCACAACCAGCACAGATTATTGCAACGCACCTCCTCTAGAACCTCATCTGGCTCCGGCTCTTCTTCATAACTGCAAAGAAACGAACCGGTTAAGCAGCCGTGGAGGTGTGGAGGCAAACAAAAGGGTGGTTAGAGCTCATAGGCTGTGTTCTGCACTCATTCTGACATGCCCAAACTGGTGCTTGAGATTACACAAGCATGTAAATCAAACTAGGTAAAGTCCACGCATGATCCGATAAAATCTGTTTGGATCTTTGCGTCTGAGCAGTACAACAGCCCCAAAGCGGCAAACAAATACTTTGAAGGTTAGGACTCCCATCTTTGCGAGTCTTCATTCGAAAGGCCTGGTGCAAAATTCTGCCTACTTAATAATGTCAGATGGGTGGGTCCTCACTCTCCCTCGCCGCCCATGTCTCCGTACTCATCTTCATCAGCCATCACACCCTCCCTTTCTGGCTGTAGCTAGATTGTCTGTCTCCTTCCCGTCTGCTCAGATAGCGACGCCTCACCTTGCGAAATGCTATATCAGGTGAAAGGAGATGAAGATCATGCCAATCTAGCTGGAACCAATGACAATGAATCGCCTCAGGCTGGCCCTTACAGTAGGTAATAGGTTTAACTTTCCAAGTGGCGCCCAGAACAGCGCTAGATGATTGAAAGCTCAGGCAGACTTCAAGTTCTACGATGAGGCAGTCTCACCCTGTTGAACGCCAGAACTTGCAAGGACTCGAAGCCGAGGATAACTGAAAATAAGTCAATATCAGGGCGTTCCTTGAAGGTCAAATGGTCAAAAGAGCCCCGAAACGGCAGCCGTATTACGCAACGCACGGGTTATTTGAATGCCGACGGCATTGGTAACGGCGGAGATAATGGGTTTTCGTTAATAGCAGCATCTGACTGAAAACGCCTGAATTTGAATGGTCGGTCAAATACAGCTTGACGATCCACAACTTTTATTTGCTCACGAGTTCTGCTGTTGACATCACTGATCAAGACAATGAGAAGAATCCAAGCTTTGATGGTGCGCCAGCTTTCATACTCTAATGAACCGTTCTAGCAACAAGCTCTTGCCGGTTGACTAGCTTTGATCTGTTTCGAAGTTTGCAGGCTGTGCTTCACCATTGAGGGCGCCGTCAGTTGATGAAGGGTCCAGCTTGAAGATTGCAGGGTTCGGAATTGCTGTTGAAAGAACAAACAAGGAGGCAGGATGAGGAAAAAGGTGGACTCGCGCATTCGCACGCTGGTGGAAAATGGCGTCAAGACGCGCCAGCGTTCAGTATTTGTCATCATTGGTGACAAGGGGCGGGACCAAGTGGTCAATCTGCACTACATGCTGTCAAAGGCGGTGGTCAAGGCTCGCCCGTCGGTGCTGTGGTGCTACAAGAAGGACTTGTACCTCAGCAGGAAAGAGATGGTGCCAATCTCCTTGCTCAATTGATAAAAGTTGGCCTCAATTTTGCATGCTACATTGCTCAGTTGTATTTGATCTGGCTTCCTGATGCTAGGGGTGGTAAGGTTCACTTGCTGTCAAACTTCTCTCTTAATCCATAGTAAAGGGCAATGCTGCATTTGATGATAGTCGAAATTGTTACAGCTCCAATTGCAATCATGGTAATGGTTTTGATACTTTTAGGGTTTGAAACCCTAGCTTGAACACTGGCAACATGTAAGCGCCACCTTCACCACCTCTTCATCCTCATCTCAAGCTGACAAGTTGCCAGCAAAGAAGTAGAGTGGAGATTATCCTAGCTTGACTGAGAGCCGCTTGCTTTCAAAGTATTTGTGTTGGTGCTGGTCATAGCTGAGCGCATTGGGCAACACCATGCCCCCATCATTGGCCACTGCCACAATGAAAAGCGCATGGGCAAACGACGAAAACAATTCATCATCCAATACTACCACCGGCTTCTGCAAGAGCTCCAAAGCTAGACATGTTATTTTCATTCGGCACTGATGAGCAACTCGCGTCATTTCGACCTTTTATGCAGCCACACTGAAAATCCCGTGAAGCAGGTGACAAACGCTGTCTTCAGAGACCGATTTTTCAGAAAATTCTGCTCATCATGGATAACTCCATTGAATTAACCCTGCCGCTCGAACCCCTGGTGCAGCCACAAGAAGAAGCGCATGAAGCAGGTCAAGAAGATGATGCAGCGGGGCCTGCTGGACCCCGAGAATGACGACCCCTTCTCGCTGTTCATGGCCTCCACCAACATCCGCTACTGCTACTACGCGGAGACGCATAAGATTTTGGGGAACACATTTGGGATGTGTGTCCTACAGGTGAGTTAGCTAGCAACGCATATGATCCGTGAGTCATTACGACCACCGTCATTTCAAGGATCACCTTTCAGAAAAAGGACGAGCCTTAGTTCTGAGAGACCTTCAGGTTCACGTCTGTCTTTCAATCCTGCCAAGGGGTGTGTGCTTAGATACGCAGGGGGGAGACGTTCAAGTGCGACCGCAGGAGGCAGAAGAAGACAAATCAACGCTGCCTCATTAGCATGCTGTGCGTCCTGGAACGTGTGGGTCAGAGGTGACCCAAGTTGGTCGGAGGAAAATATCTCCAGCTGTGGTGCAGTAACAAAAAGGTAGATCTGGGTTGCGTATCAGAGTGTCAAGCTGGTGATTGGAGATACAGCGAGTGAGCACTGACAAGATTGTGCGGCCTCCATAAAGTATGGGGACTACATGTTATGCTTCATACTGGGCCGTAGACTTCGCTGGAAGCAGCCAGCGTCGGGACCAGCGCCCACTGATTTCTGCAGCTTCTGGACACACCTTGTTCGAATGGACTCGACTCTTTTTAACGACTTTTGTCACGTCAACAGTTTATAATGTTGCAACAAACATGTGTGCAGGACTTCGAAGCCCTGACTCCCAACTTGCTGGCTCGGACAGTGGAGACCGTCGAAGGTGGAGGGATGATCATCTTGCTCTTGAGCTCCCTCTCGTCTCTTAGCAAGCTGTACACGATGACAATGGTAAGTCGCTATCAAGGTCCATTTGGTCGAAAAGCATGTGTTCTGCGTACCTCAAGGCGATGTTCGACCTGCTTCAGGAGTAATACGAGCTGAAAGGCTTGTGCACATATAGTCGAAAAACGTCTCGATTACTGGGGATTCTTTAGATGAAGAGAAGGCTTGAAGAAATGGAATTAGCATGAGTGTCAAGCAACAAACGATCACTGGTGTCTTGTGGCCTACTCGACCTATTACCTCAAGATCTGCCGCATACGATGTATGGCATCTTGCGGAAGATTTGAGACCCCCCTTCTGTTACACGTATCTTCCCCCAATCACCTTCGTCTGTCGAACGCCTGCAGGACGTCCACTCCCGCTTCCGGACCGAGTCCCATGCTGACGTCACCGGCCGCTTCAACGAGCGCTTCATTCTGAGCCTTGCGGGCTGCCAAGGGTGTGTCGTCATGGATGACGAGCTCAATGTGCTGCCCATCTCGTCGCATATCCGCAATATCAAGCCGTTCGTCAAACCTGAGGTGAGCTGCGACCCTTTTCTTTAATTCTCATTTATTGGCGTTATCGTTTTGCTCTTTTTCATGAATGGGTCATGGAATCTGGTGCAAGGCAGGGCCGCTTGCCCAGCAACCTCTTTGGCTTTCTTCAGCCAGCTGGTGGCACGTCCGCAACATCAAGCCGTTCGTCACGCCCGAAGTGAGCCGTGAGATTTTTGTTGTGCGGAGTGAGATTCTGTCGGTTAAAATAGAAGCCTGTTGTTGAGGTCTTGGTTCCACTCTGGCCGGGACGGATCATGTGTCCTGAAACGAAGCAGGACCACCTTCTGCAAGATGGATGTAGCGGCGACACCTCTTTGGTTTGGTCGTTTTCAGTCATGTCGTTGCACCGTTTGTCAAGCCCGAACTGATTTGGACCTGTCTGATGTTGTTTCGGGTTGTTGACGATATTGTTGCACTTTCACTGGGCATGGATTCTGTGTATCGAGCGAGAGAGGACTGTTTTAATGTGAGGTGAACATAGCAGCGTCCTTCCTGACTTGATTGCTTTTCAGCCGTCGCTTCGCACATCCGCGGCGTTGAGTCGTTCGTTATCGACAAACCTTCTGACTCACTGGTCTAGTCCTTTCTTACCACTTCGACTTCAGCGCATCGAGTCTGAGCCGAAGCCGACACTTGGTTGGAGGCATGCTTTCTTAAACACCCATGCCGTTGGTTGTAGCTCTCACAAACTCAGTTGATCGAAAGCGAAACAGCAGTGCATTTTGTTTGCGACAGGGCGGCGAAGTGCTGACAGAAGCGGAGCGGGACTTGAAGGAGCTGAAGGAGTCGCTCAAAGACACGCAGCCGATGGGGGCGCTCGTGGACCGCTGCAAGACCCTGGACCAGGTGAGGAGTTCACCTCCTGACCTCAACAAGCGACGTTACAGCTGTTTGCGTCAAACTTGTCCCCGGGAAGTCTGGTCGGAGTCGCCTTTTCGCGATCTTGAAAGTTCGGTCGCTGAGCACGAAGTTGGAAGCTACCCCCCCCACCATGAAGCTTTGGCGAATGCGCTGCTCAAAACCCGTGTGCTGTCAGTGTTGCAGCTATTGGATTTTCCGGGGGGACTCTGAAGAACTTCGTGTTCGGCAATCTAACTCTCGACTTCGCGTCCGGCGAAATGCGGCAAGGTTGCTGTGGACAAGTTTCACGCAAACCGCTGTATCTGTTGTTCAGGATTTCAGGAATGCCGAGAACCGTCTGTGGGGAGTCGTCTGAAGTGGAATTGGCTCGAACGCTAGGTTGTTCCCCTCAAAGGTTGTCAAAGATCGACTAGCCCTGGATGCTCTCATGCTCGTAACCACTTGAACGTCGAGAACACAGTGGCACGCTGCCAGAAACGGCTTGATGACGATAAGTTCTCAACAAGTGTGTCTTTAGCATTGCGGCTCCAAATGGTAGCGACCCACGAGCCACGACTCAGAAACTTACGGGGACTTACGTCCGCAGGCCAAGGCCGTGATCACCTTTTTGGACGCTGCGTCCGAGAAAACGCTCCGGAGCACGGTGGCGCTCACAGCGGCTCGGGGGCGGGGCAAGTCGGCGGCGCTTGGAGTCGCAATTGCGGGGGCCGTCGCCCTGGGATACTCGAACATCTTCGTGACGTCACCCAGCCCCGAGAACCTGAAGACGCTGTTCGAGTTCGTCTTCAAGGGCTTCGACGCCATGGATTACAAGGTGAGCGGCCGGTTTGTCAGGGTGTCTGATCGATCTTGCTCTAGTTAGCTCTCTGAAAATCATCTGATTTTCGTTGTTGTCTCGTGATGCATCGTCAGACAGTTCCTCGGAAGACGTCGCAATATTCTGAAATCCTAGAGTTTTGTGTGACGGGTCTGGAAGAGGTTGCCTGTTTGAGTTTGGTTTTACCCCCCCTTTCCGCAGTAAGCAATCACTTGGCACTTGACGTAGACAGGCACACTTCAATCGACAACGGTCTAACAATGATTGCACCGTACCTGTGTAGGCCGTGGTTGTTGCTCGGATATGGAATTGTTTTCCCTAACATAGCGCCCACAGGTCACCAATCGGGGGCCCGGTCTCTGCTTGAAAGTGTCCCCTCCTATGCGATTGCTTAGGTCAGCACGATCTTCAAACCAACTCTCGTTGTCCACCAGGAGCACATCGACTACGACCTGGTCGAGAGCACCAACCCCGCGTTCAACAAGGCCATCGTGCGCGTCAACATCTTCCGGCAGCACCGCCAGACCATCCAGTACGTCCAGCCGCAACACAGCGACAAGCTCGCGCAAGCCGAGCTCCTCGTTATCGACGAGGCCGCCGCGATACCGTTACCGGTCGTCAAGAAGCTTCTGGGCCCATACCTAGTTTTCCTGTGCTCGACGGTGAATGGTTATGAAGGGACGGGACGGTCGCTGTCGCTGAAGCTCATTGGGCAGTTGAGGGAGCAGCAGGCGGCGCGCGGGGAGGCCGCGGGGGCGGGCGCGAAGACGGAGGGGGCTGGTGAGTGGACGGCGGGCTTTCTTTCTCTGCGCGCTCTCGCCTGGTATCACGTCGGTTCGTATTCGATTCGATAAGTGATCGTTTTGACAAGTGGACGTGTCAAAAGCGGGGGAATTGAGGGAGAAAAAGAAAACTTTCCGTTCTGCTCGCATGTACGACAAGTTAGTCCAGCTGGTGTTTCTAGCCTTCTGCAAATGGGACTGGATTGCGACGGGTCTGGAACGTGAATAGTCCTTAACGCCGTCGTGTCGTATTGAGGGTTCTTGAGCTCGGGGGGCTTTAGTTCGGGGGGACAAGAACGCTGAGCTTGAAATTTTCAAGGTGGAGACGTCGGAAGTTGGACGCTCGGATTAATGACTTTCGAAAACTTAGATCCGTGGGCTCAGGGTCGGACGGACAGACGAAAGGGCGCTCGAGTCTTGGACTTCATGAAAGATGCTCGACTTTGAACGCTCCAGATTTGGACGCTTGAAAGCGGAGCTGGACGCTCGGACGTTAGAAGTTACATATGGACGGTTGCGTGCAGGGCGTGTGTTCAAGGAGGTGGAGCTGGCGGAGCCGATCCGGTACGCGGCCGGAGACACCGTTGAGTCGTGGCTCAACGACCTGCTGTGCCTCAACGCTGCCGACCACATCCCCAGGATCACCGGCAGGTCAGCCCTAACCTTCCCCTTGGGTGATTTACGCGCTGGACTGCTGTTGAATAATGTCCGCTTATCGCGGGAGCGATGGCAGCGACCGGACGTTTGCTGGGCGGTGTTTTTGAGGCGCGTAACTTCCTTGGTTGGATTTCTCACGCGCGATAACGCCGTTTGTTGGTCGCCTCAGAGGCAGCCCTTTCGCCACTCTGCTGGTTGCTTTTCTTGAGAGGCGCCGCTCTCTAATCTGCGTTGCTGACGTGTCATCCTACCTTTGATTCGACTGGCTCGTTCCTGTACTTTTGTCAGATTCTCACGGTTTAAGGGTGGGTTAATATCTCCCAACGAAATGTTGTCCTGTCTGCTCACGCCTCGGCAGCATGCGAGCTGTACTTTTGCTGACGTGTCGCGCTCCCATTGGCCCAGGCTGCCCCACCCGTCCGAGTGCGAGCTGTACTACGTGAACCGCGACACGCTCTTCTCGTACCACAAGGCGAGCGAGCTATTCTTGCAGCGAATGATGGCCCTCTACGTGGCAAGCCACTACAAGAACACGCCCAACGACCTGCAGCTCATGTCCGACGCGCCCGCGCATCACCTCTTCGTCCTTCTAGGTAAGTCGTATAAAAACTCGGAAATTGTAGCAATATGTAGTCTCCTTTCGGGTTGTAAGCTTTGGACCGTTGCGTTTGCGTCGCTTCCGCTTTTTCCAAGTTGGGGGTTTCATTATCAGATGTCCCGAGATAGAAAAGCCGTCTTTGCTTACGTTTCTTGAAGGTCGTAAGGGCTCGGAAGGTTTGTAGGGGCTTGGAAGCACGCTTCGGAGTTCCCATTGGTTAATCCACTCTGGCCTGTGCAGAGAACATCGAGGTTCTTTTTTCCTTCAGAGAGTTTCTTTATGGCCCTTTCCCAAAAATTCACTCCTCATCTCCAAACCCCTCTCAATTTCAAATTCATGAACTCTCTCCTATCCTTTTCGCTTCAGGTCCCGTCGACGAATCGCAGTCCGCCCTCCCCGACGTCCTGGCCGTGGTCCAAGTGTGCATGGAGGGCGAGATCAGCCGCCAGTCCGCGCTCGCCACGCTGGCACAAGGGGGATCCCCCACGGGCGACCTAATCCCGTGGACCATCTCGCAGCAGTTCCAGGACGCCGAGTTCCCCTCCCTCTCAGGCGCGCGCGTCGTGCGGATTGCCTGCCACCCGGACTTGCAAAGAGTGAGGGCCTTTCCTACATAAAGGCGTAGTTTTTCATGTTCAAGGTGCAGCTCGAGTCTGCGTATTCAGGCCCCGACTTTTGCACGGCGCTTGGTGCTTCTTTGAAGCGGGCTATTTTAAACTGATTACGTGTAACTTTTGAATTTGTAATGTGGTGCATCTTGAGTATTATAAAGAGCAGTTCGCAGACCTTATACACAGGCGGCGGCTCGTACGAATCTTCGACTCCCTTTGTCAGCCTCCTGAGACCGTTGGATGACAAGCTTGCATTCTGACCGTTAGACCCTGCCTGCAGGCCGGCTACGGCACCCGCGCAATGGAGCTTCTAGGGCGGTACTACGAGGGGCAGCTGACGGACTTAGCGGAGGTGGAGCTGGAGGATAAGAAGGCGGCCAAGAAGAGCAAGAGCGTGGTCGAGGCCGCAGCGCAGGTGAGACAGAGATTTCTTTTTCGTGGGAGCACCTTTCGACTTTATGAATCGAGCGTTCTGTACGATAGGCGTTTTGTGTACCTATCTGTCCCTGCTGCCAATGTCAACGGGTGACGAGAGCTTTAACGCCCTTTTGGCTAAACCAACTGACAGCGGGGGCCCTGTCACCCAGCTCATATGCGCATCGTACGCCTCAAGCGGATTTCATGCTCTGCTTCTCAGGCCTTTGGGAAAGCTGATGCTGACAAGTCCTGCTCCCTTGAGCTTCTTCAACAACAGACAATGGCAAACCCTTCCACAAACCCTATTAGAAACGCTTGTCAACATTTACAATTCATCGACATTTGTCTGGTTGCTTTGTCTTTTTGTCTGGTTGCTTCGCTTCAAGACAAACAAGTAAAGCCGCGCTTGGTCCTCAAAATCGCAGAACCACAAACGCTTCACATGCACTTCTATAATCCGAAGCTGTAACGTTTGCGAGTCGCGTCGCTGCCAAGATGAGTAGGTAACGCCGCGCACGGACCTTCCCCCGCTGCTGCTGAGCCTGGACGTAAAACGCATCCTCAAAGCAGCCATTCTAACCCGCGCAATTGCCTCCAACCCACGAATTCCGTCGACCTCTGCAGGTTGCGTCGCTGCAAGATGAGCAGGTAAAGCCGCGGGCGGACCTCCCCCCGCTGCTGGTGAGCTTGGCGGAGCGGCGGCCGGAGAAGCTGCACTATGTGGGCGTTTCATACGGCCTCACGCAGCAGCTGTTCAACTTCTGGAAGCGGCTCGGCATGATGCCCGTCTACCTGCGGCAAACGCCGGTGAGCGGATGTTTGTTGGTTCTATCTGTGGGCTTCTTTGCGTCAGCGGTCCTGTCGGTGCCTGTATTTGTCCAAAGAGAAAAGCGGGTTTAGCATTGCAGAAGCAGGCCGCACGTCTACCTGTGGCAAACGCCGGTGAGCAGGGCACTTTGCCGTAATTCCTTGAGAATCCTGGCTTTTCTTTTGGGCTGAGAAGGGGCTCCGTAGTCAAGGCGGTTCGATAGCGGTTTAGCAGGGCCTTAGCACCGCTTTGAAGCGACATCCTTTTTGATGAGAGTAGATTGGAATCTGCAGCATGGGCTGCGGATGCCGTTTTGCTATCTTAAGACCTCCGCTCACATCTGTCGTTCGCTTTTCTGTGCGGACAGAATGACATCACGGGCGAGCACACGTGCATCATGCTCAAGGCGCTGCAGACGGACGAGGTCGAGAGCCTCTCTGAAGGGGGCGCCAACTGGGTGCAGCCCTTCTTCCAAGGTGCGCCCCGTTTCCGCTTCCGGCAAAGAAAGGAGGCTTTTGCTTCTGCATCCGCTTTCTACTCTCGCTTGGAAAGTCCCTGCCCAGTCTTTTCTGCAGGGTTTTGGGCTCCCGCGGTCTCGTGCTCTGCTCGGCACTTACTTCCATTTTGCAGCAATTTGTCCGCGCTCTCTTGGATGCCATTGTTTCGACCCTGACGACGTCTGCTGTTCTCCGATCTGACATCAAACACTGACGCTTCACGACGTCATCATGCAGACTTCAAGCGGCGCTTTCTGTCGCTCCTGGGCTTCAACTTCCGCTCCTTTCCCCCCGCGCTCGCTTTGACCATCGTTGACCCCAAGATCAGCTTCAGCGAACAGGAGGCCCAGGCGGGGCCTTCCGGGCAGGGCATCGTGGGGGCCGGAGACACCACCTTCTCGCCATACGATATGAAGCGGCTGGACTCGTATTCCAGGAACCTGGTCGACTACCATCTGGTAAGGGGTCAGAGAAAAGATTGGATCCAATGCAGTGTTTCTTGCATGTGAAGGTGCTCTCGGAGAGCTATATTGTCTACTACAAGAATTCTAGGAGATTTATAAAGTTGTAGCGACTCTTCGAAGGGAACAATCGCTAGCAGTCCTTGATCGAAGTTTCCGAGCTGATTTAAAGAGGAGTGCAGGGCTAGCAGGAGGTTTTGGCCCACTTTTTCTTCTTCCGCATAAACGGCAAGCTTCGTGGCTACACCGTCATGTCAAGCACATGTACGGTTCTGACAAAGCAAAGCCCTCTGCGACATCTGTAATTCTTCGGATCAGTCGTCTTCGGATCATTCGCCGGTTGTCAATGGACCGGTAGCAGTTGCAATTCGTCTAACGTTCTTCTTTGAACCCACTCCTTGCTTCACTGTTACTTTGACAACCGTCCGGCGGACTTTCATGACTATGGGTTGAACCCTCACTGACTCCGTGCGTTCTCCCTGCCGCAGATTTTGGATTTGGTGCCGTCCCTCTCCCGCCTCTACTTCCTAGAAAAGCTGCCTGCGACGCTCTCCTACGGCCAGGCCGCCATCCTCCTCTCGCTCGGACTCCAGCACCAGGACCTGACGGACGTCGAGGTAAATGTAAATCCGTTCTGTACAATGTTGTTTTTAAGAAATTGACAACGTTTCAAGGCATTAGTAGAGCAGAGAAACGACGAGTGTATGTCAAGCGCCAGTTTTGTTAGTCATCCAAACAGAATATTCAAACGAAGCCCTTCAAGGGGTGAAGGCGCAAACAACGCGTACTCAGCAAGATTTCCTGACCGAGGACTCTTTGCCGATTATGCTGACACGTGTCGCTCTTCCAGGCCTACCTGAAGCTCCCCTCCAGCCAGATCCTGGCCCTGTTCAACAAGACGATACGCAAGCTGCACGGCCTCTTGCACGGCGCGGCGGCACGTGAGATCGAGGCCGCGCTGCCACGTGTCAGAGAGGTGAAGATGACGCCGCACGATCGGACGGTCGACGAGGACCTGGAGGAGGGGGCTGCGGACGTGGAGGTACGAGGTTGACGTTGTTATGGATTGAAGCAGAAAGCAACGAAAGCTTTCCCATTTCGGCCTTGCCTCTTGACCTGGTGCGGTGGGAAGCGTTGGCATGTGAAGAAGAGAGCCCGGGTTGAACGGCTAAGATCCGGTTTGTCAGGCGGAAGCCATTCCAGGAGTGAATTGGCGTTGGGCAGCTAGGAGTCTTGGACAGAACTGCTTTGCTTGACCATTGCCCCTCGTTGCAGCTTCGACACCTACGATGTGTTTAGGGCTTTCTCTTCTGGAATTCGAGCCTGTGTTACTCAGCAATGTCCCTGTCTTCAAATACGGCTAGAAAGTGGAGAGACAGAGATTGTAAAGAAAAAGACTCTTCTGCTCACTTACCGGTCGTCTTTGGTGCAGGCTGCGATGAGAGAAAAGGTGGAGGCGCTGCTTCAACCCGAGGACTTGTCGCGGTATGCGATCCGGGGCGACGCCGAATTTGAGGAGGCTCTGTCTAAGGGGGGCAAGCTGCCTAAAAGCGGTTACCTTAGTGTAAAGAGTAAAGGGCCCGCCAACGGCTTAGAAGCGAAGGCGTCGGATGCTCGGGAAGGGAAGCGAAAAGACAAGGATAGAAAAGAGGGGAAGAAGTCGAAGAAGGCAAAGGGCTGAGAAGATTGGGACGAAATTAGTGTGACAGTCTTCTTATCAAGAAAGGAGAGTCTATAGCCAAGGATGCGGCTGCTGCACTTCTTGCTGCGCGTCCTCCATATGTATGCCAAAAGTCGTCTTCTTACGCATTCTGCGGGCAGATTTTTCTGGCCGCTACCGGCTTCCTCCATATCTGAGTCGACGAGCTCGACCCGGTTGCCACAGGTTTAAGGCATTGCTTTCGCTGCAAGTCTGCACCTGCTTCGTTGTACTGCCCTGTCGCTGATTCTTACGTTAGTCTCCAGCTCCGGCCAGTTCTTTCCGTGCAATCCAGTTCTCTAACAGCCAAGTTGCTGCGTGTACGTTGCCAACGTCTACGTGGTGCACGCACTTGGATAGAACTCGGAAACTTGATAGCCAATTGGCAGACCAGACTCCAATCTAGCTACCAATCAAACCGGTCGGATCTCCTGTACGTTCGACGGGCAAAAATGTGTGCGAACACTGAAATTGCACGTGCCTAGATTGCCAACGTGTTTGCATTCATACGCCGATACGGATCTCATTCCAGTTGCGACATCGTTCGCTACATCCGATGAGCGGTCCTTTACGTTTACGTAATCGTACCAAGAGCCCGCCAGTGACGATCACAGCATGCAGCATGCATGACCTGGAAGTCCGTTTGTTCATGAAGCCCTTTTGGACAGCCCGAGCTGATTATGCGAGACACACCGGTCTTCCCGACTCCATGCTTTGAATGACTTGATATCAGGTTGCCTGCGGTGCCCATTCATTTCAAGTCTCGAAATGGATAGAACGCTTCAGTGCAAGCCGACCATACTAGCTAAGACATCTGAAGTCAGAGCAACGCTTTCGTCCCTGCCAATTAAACAACGGCAGAGTCAGAACGGCTGGGCCGAGGTCCCATGTTGTATACGTGAGATTGCTCATCGGCAAGCACAAGCTCCCAAACAAACAAGCGCACCAACATGATGACGTTGGCGATACATGTAACGTTGGAACATATGTTATATATGGCGCCTTGTGCAGTTAGCACATGGAGAGTAACTTTCTCTCATGCAAGATTCAGAACGGGCTAAGCACGTCTTTTACCGACCTCGAGCTCGAATGCTTTCAATTGCCTCCGACTGGGTCCTCTCCACGAAGGGTTGAGCACATATGGGACTTTCAGCCAAGCAACCCCACCTTGAGCATGCTCCGAACCCCGTTCTTATACCTCTTGTAACAAGCTATAATCACTACAAGCAGCAAACAGGTTACGTCCCACACTAGAGCAGCCAGGCTCGAGAGCGTGACAAATGAGAAGGCCCACCGCCCCCAAAATTTCAGTATTCCCCCGTCCTCGTCGCTTGGGCCGTGTGAAACGTAGTCTGGATAGATAGCACGTGCCGCTAAGAGCTGAGGACAGAGGGCTTCTGGCATGCCGGTGTAGAAGTGGAAGAGGAAGCCTTCGTCATACAATCCCGGCATCGGGACGACGCAACGGTGGAGGCTGAGGCTTATGCTGCTCGCCCGTAACAGAGGATTGATGCTGGCTGCCGGATCTGGCAGGGGAAGTGCGTGTAAAACGGCAAGATCGCACCAGATAATGGCTAGCGCAAGACCAGCGTAAAGGCTGCAGAGGACGAGTATAGTAGAGGCAATCGCCGTGTAAGCAAACGCGCGGGCCAGCACAGCGTCCTCGCCGGTTTCCCGCTCAAGTCGCATGTCTGACGGAAATTGCGCGAATAGGGTCTCCACTTCCCTTCTGCCGTCCGCGAACAGAAAAAGGGAAAGGATCACAACAAGGTGGACTCCCACAAGCGCCAGCAGAGTTTGCCAGCAGCACGACCAGTTCCTCAGACTATAATACCAAAAGTGATTCCAGCCAGAGTAGGTGCTCTCCGGCAAAACGGCCATGGGAGGGGCCTGTTCACACCCCCCCGGATGGTCTGCGGTGTAGAAGTTGAACAAAACCCCCATCTGGAGGAGGTAAACCTCGCACTTGATGAGCTGCAGCGGCGGGTATGATGGCAGCAGGAAGTTCCTGAAGGTTGTATTGTCCCTCACATAAGCGTTTATGACGTCAGGGTCAGGCAAGGTTACGTTGCCAATCATCTCCAAGGAGCCTTTGACTTGCACGGCTTTGCCTTGACCCTTTGCCGTGCCCTGCGCTGCAACTCCATCTGCGATATAGACGATGGTGCAGCAAAAGAGCAGAAGGCGTGTAAGGTTGCTGAAAATCAGGAGTTCTGACGGGGAAAGACGCTTGCTCGACTTCATGGCGGCCGACGAGCTACGCTGTTTGCAGCTTCGTTTTATCTCAGTCTGATTCCTTTCAAGCTCCGTGTAACGTGAAGAGCTTGTTCTCGAGCCGCGGCCGGACCCCGCCGCTTCCGGGATTCTCAAACCGCAGAGGTTTCTTGGGGACGCGGCGTGCTGCGGCCGCCGTTGGCCGGCGCTGGTGCTGAGCTGACGCGCGCGGGTCGCCAATCTGATAGGCCGCGGCCGCTCTAACCGCTCAGCCACCCTTCGAGGAGGCTTTGTCGAAGGGGGGCAAGCTGCCTAAGAGCAGTTACCTTAGTGTAGAGACAAACGGCCGGCCAACGGCTTAGCACCGGCTTAGAAGCAAAGGCGTCGGTAGCTCGGCCCAGGGAATCGAAAAGACAAGGATAGAAAAGAGGGGAAGAAGTCGAAGAAGGCAAAAGGCTGAGAATCATTGGGACGCACTTATTCAACGGACAACGGGAGCCTTATAACACAAGTTGAACGCCTGCTGATCATACTGCGACCTGAAATCCGGAAGCTCTGACTTCTTAGAATTCCGCGGACCGCATTCGCCGTCTTTTATTCAGCCAAAACTCGACCTGCATTTGAGTTCAACAATCCATAGCAAATGCATCTACTTCTCTGATGTTATTCTTCCAAAGAACTTTCAGGCCGTGTTTCTGGCTTACACTCCAGTATCTTATGCATCTATCCGAATTGCTGCATGCTATATGGCACAAGATGGCAGCGTCCAAATCGATTGGTCGAAGGAGGCGTGATAAGTTTCGTCAAGGAACCTGGCGTACCGTTAAGCTGGTATATCACACAACGACATACACATGTCCAGATTTCTGCGAACTTGCGGGGATGCGGGCATGATGCACGCAATCTGGACGTGTACGTCTTTGACCAAAGAGGCAGATTTGTCTGCACAGACGCGGTCCGCTCGGTTGCATATACTCTAAATGAATGAGCCGTCCAAGCTGGTTTTCACACTGATCAGATCATCAAATTAAAGTCAAAGATAACAGACTACTGGCTCCTTGTACATCTGAACGTGTAGATCAAAGTTCTTGAAAGCCACAGTCAGACAGGCGAGCTTACGCACATCTTTTGACCAAGTATAAGCTCGTGTAAGCTTTCCGGTACACCTTTTTAACGAAGGTCGAGAATACAGTGAATTTCAGCCAAGCAACCCCACCTTGAGCATGCTCCGAACCCCGCTCCTGTACTCCTTGTAACAAGCTACGCTAATGACCAGGAGCAAGTAGGGTACATCGTACAAGACAGCCCAAAGGCCCGAAACTGTGACTAGATACAGAAAGAAGCGCATCACGCACAAAAGTGTCATTGCCAGCTCACGTCCCCCATAATAATCCTCTGGTCCTTCGGATACATAACCTGGATAGATGGCACGTGCCGCTAAGAGCTGAGGGCACAGAGCTTCTGGCATCCCTGTGTAGAACTGGAACAGGAAGCCGTCGTTTTTCTGGCTCTGTAATCTAGCCGGCATAGGGACGTCGCAGCGGTGGAGGCTGAGGCTTATGTTGCTCGAATGCAACAGAGGGTTGACGCTAGTTGCGGGGTCAGGCAGGGGTAACGAATGCACGCGCGACTCTTCGGCCCAAGTAATGTTCAGCACGAGGCCTAAGGAGAAGCTGCCGATAATGACTATTATGATGACAAGCATTTCGCAAGCGGCTGCGCAATTCAGCAAAACGTCGTCTACCCGCTCAAAAACTTCCCAGAATCCCGCCTTGACTTCCTCTCTGGTCTCTGCGAGTCGACGGAGGCAAAGAATTACGAAAGCGTGTATCCCCGCAATTGCCAGCATGCTCTGCCAGGAACACAACCGGTTCCTCAACTTAAACTGCCAAGGGTGCTTGGCATAATAAGTGCTCTCTGGAATAACGGCCATTCTAGGAGCCTGTTCACACCCTCCTGGATGGTCTGCGGTGTAGAATGTGAACAAACCCCCTATCTGGAGGAGGTAAACCTCACACTTGATAAGCTGCAGCGGCGGGTTTGATGGCAGCAGGAAGTTCCTGAAGGTTGTGTTGTCCCTAAGATAAGCGTTTATGACGTCAGGGTCAGGCAAGATTACGTTGCCAATCATTTCTAAGGCGCCCCTGACTTGTGTGGTTTCTCCTTCTCCCGCTGCCGCGCCCTGGGCTGCAGCTCCCTCTGCAATGAAAATGATGGTGCAGCAAAATAGCAAAATGCTTGTAAACTTGCTCAAGACGAGGATTCCTGACGTGCAGAGGCGCTTGCTTGCTTCCATGGTGGCCAAAGAGCTACGCTGTTTTGCTCTTACGTGCTTCAGTTTTGTGAGAGCTTAATGCACGGTTCGGGGCTGACGTCGTATTTGGCGCGCCCGATTGGCGCGGTCCCACGAGCCGCGGCCGGCCTCGGCTCCACGTCCCATGAGAAAATTTGGACCGCATGCGCAGCCGCGTCCATGCATATTACGAGGCAATTTGGTGATGTCTTGTCGGCCCCGCGCGACTTCAAGCGCCGCATGAGCCGACGAATCACCGCGTTTCTGATGATCCGTTTGCCGCAGCGCGTCCGCCTTGCTTCACAGAATGGAAATGCCCAATGCGCAATGACTGATGTAACTACTTAGACGACCTTTATATAAGGCATCTCGGCTCCTTAGGTGCAGGTCGCGACAAGGGCGCCAACTTGTCTTTCATGCCATGATGCAAGTCCAGTCTGATGATGTGCTGTTATTCTTATCGAGGACGCACTAGTTGATGAAATAGACAATCCGTTTGTGATGCCTAAGTTTGGTGGACGATTTTTTCGATGATGCACCCCAAAATCACAACACTCTGCAATGTACCTATCTCGAAACCGTTTCGTGACGACCCAAAGTCAAGTGATTGAGACGCAATGGTGGCAGGAGTAGAGGCGGCCGCGCGCCAGCATGAACGGACTTAGCAGGCTTTTCGCCAGGGACAATAGATGCAGTGCTGGCTTCCGCGCACAGTTCTGGTTGTAAAGCAAATGTCCCGATCAGATAAGTTGGGGTCGCCTTATAAGGCTTAGTAAGCAGAGCGGCGGAGAGTGCCTCAGACAAGCACTACTTTTGTCCTATAAATAGCTCTTATGAGCCTGGGCAACGCCGTTTGAATTGAGTTGCTCAACCCAAGGACGCTCATCTGAGTCCATATTGCAGATAATTCTGAGTCGAGTTGCGTTGAGTGTGAAAACCGTATCAAGCGGATTTACAACAGTCAATATTTACCGACAACGTCCTCACTCCGATAGGTACTTCGTGATACGTAAGTACCTAGTGACTAAAGCTATACGACTTTTCCAAGGACAACTGTAAGTCCCTTCCGTACATACAAATGTAACTTGCAATAGCACCTGATACGTCTCTTCGATATTTAAGCAGTAAGACGGTAACAAACCAGTGTCCTGTTGTTAACCTGTTCCACTTTAAGCTCGTTCTCCCATCCTCTTATTCCTTACTTAGTAATTTTCAGAATCCATTTTGGACCGAAGACGCAAGACAGATGGAACGCTTTCTCGGACAAGAAAAGGATTGAGCCGGACACCGTTGAGAATGACAAGAACCACCGCGCCATTAGCAAACCAAAGCGCTCAAGGCCACCCCCGCCAAATGCATCGTCTGGACCCTTGGCAACGTAGTCTGCATAAATGACCCCCGCGGCTAGCAGTTGTGAGCAGATGTTTTCGGGCATGCCAATATAGAAGTCGAAGAGAGCACTCTTAGTGGAAGGCCCCCCTAAGACGGTGCAGCGATGGAGGTCCAATGTGGAATTGCTCGACCGGAGGAGGGGATTGATATTGGTAGCTGGATCTGGCAGGTGAAGCTCTTGCAGAAGATCTACATTTGCCCAATAGCCAGCTAGACCCAAAGTACCATAGAAGAAGCAGCCCATTGAAATGACCACGCCGATGTTAACGTCCCTCTCAACCGTTCCCCATCGGGGTTCGTACTGCCCTTTCAAGGCTGTCGTCATCCTAGTATGGTAGTGAATGAAAAGGATGCCGTTAGCTACGAGTGCCAGTGAGAGAGGCCAGAAGCACAGCCAATTTCTAATCTCAAACTTCCAGAACTTCTCTCCTGCAGAATGTTCTGCCATAGGTTTCAGCTGCTTTTCAGGCGCTTCTTGGCACGCCCCCGGATGATCCGCGGTGTAGAAGCTGAACAAACCCCCCATTTGAACAAGGAACACGTCGCACTTGATCAATTGCAGCGGAGGGTAGTCTGGCAGAAGGAACTTCCGGAACGTCGTATTTGTACGAAAATAGGCGTTGATCATGTCAAGTTCTGGAAGGCTCAGATTGCCAACTCCCTCGAAGCGACTTGCCACTGCAGAAACGAAGCATTTCTCTTGACGCTTGAAGAGCAGTTCAGATGCGTGCGCTACGCTGCAGAACATGCTTAGGAGGAAACAGAACACGAAGAGCTTGTCAAGGGTGGATCTTGGAGACCTGCTGAAGGCCATCGTGGACTCCTGCGCATAAGTCGCTCCCGCGAAGGTTGAGAGCCAAGCGTACGTGTCAGACCCGGTGTTGTTTGAAGCAATGGTTGATCCCTTCAGAACGGGTTCAGAACAGTAAGAGATATTGCTACACAATCTGGCCACAGCAGCTGAGAGGAAAGCGCGCAAGCGCCAAGCTTAGCTTCTCTTGCCTCGAAATCTACTTGGAAGTGTTTGTTCACTTTGCTCGTGTCCTCCTTGAGTTGTTGCTACCGCGCAGCCTGTACGAGACTGGCAGCCGCGACCGTGACCGCACCCGCGGCCGCGTCCGAGGAATCTCAATACGTATACCACGTACGTACATATGCGGTTATAAAGTTGAAACCCTGAACCCCCCAGATTCAAAAGCTGATCGCGGATGCGCGCGCGTTCGATCGTGAACATCCGAATCGCCAGCATGGCAGCATGCATATGGCTAGCGCCTAGAGGCTAGCGTAGCTGAGCATCATACAAACGTATTGTTGTCTAGGTGAGCTTGCCTCCCCCTCGCCCGCACATGTACAGCAAAGAGAAAGGAGTAGGATAGAGGCGCAAGTGATTTTGTTGCCAACAAGCCTGTTCGTTGGCTCCTGAATTCGTTAAAGCAGCAATGGCTCAAGTGCAGGCGCTCGGATCCTGCAGAAAGTTTTCTGGCTGGTCGACGCAGAGACACTGCCGTGTGCTTCCATCCAGCGTGATCACCCCTTTCCCACCACCTTCCCATCGGCTGCGCATAAGCAAAAGTCTGAGCAGGCAATCATCCTACTCTCAGCAGCATCGTCGGAGCTGCTTTTCTGTTTCCACATGCAGACTTTCAGGAGAAAGTAAAGATCCTAACAACAAGAAAGAACTTTCTAGTGGTGATGCAATCAAATTGAAATGGTCCCAAACATCTCCAAGAAAGACCCAGCAATGCCGCAGCAGCAGCGTCGGCGTCGAAGCGTTCCAGGAGCAGGCGCGGGGTTTGCAGGGGGACGGAACAATCACCCTATCAAGAGAAGAAGAGGGGGAAAGCCTGCCGGGCAGCGAGCCAGCTCAGAAGGATGCCAACCAATCAGCACCTGGTGGACACGATTTCCAGTGGGCGGAGAATTGGTACCCGATCGCAGTGGAGCGGGACGTGCGGAAGGAGCTGCCCCTTGCAGTGACGATTTTGGGGAAGCCTCTAGTTCTATGGTGGGACCGGAACAAAAGGGAAAAGGGGCAGCCGGGAGGCTGGCGCGCATTTTTGGATATGTGCCCGCACAGGCTGGCGCCACTCAGCGAAGGTGAGTTGTTCTTTTTCTGATTCACTTTTGGTCTATATCATATCTTAGGCACTGCTCCTGTGGTTGGTGAAGGTCGATGGTGAACCTTCAAAGGCATGGGGTTTGCAGTAGTGGTCAGTGGATGCTTCTAAATTACCTGATTGCATTCCTTGTGCCATGCATATGGGACTAAGTTATATGTTGCCGCACTGCTTTTGACCCCTCCCCCCCCCCCCCTTCACCCCCACTTCTGCCCCAACTCCGATGTTGTAAAGAGTGATGGTCTCGAGGGCAGTCAGCAGCAAAGTGGTAAGAGCTTTTTCTGCATATGGAGACCGTCAGTTGCAGGAACATTCTCTTCTGTCGTCCTCGGAAAACACCTAGGTCTAAAGTCGATTCCAGAACAAAATGGTTGTAGTTGTCTAGGAGCCCGTTTAAAAAGGCCCTGGAAAGGGATTTTGATTCTGGCTTTCTGGGGCAAAATTTCCTTTCTGGCCCTGCCAAAAGGAGGCCAACGAGAGCAGTCACCCTGAGGAAGATTAACGCTTTGGGCCACTCAAGACATTGTGCCCTCGGACCTTGTAATATACCCTCCGAATCGGCCAAATGCAATTGCCGCACCCACATCACATACAGTCCGCCTTGGTCATCAGAAGTACGGTGTACAGCCAGGAACGTTGTCTTTCTCACCTGCTAGCGAGCTCTGACATCCCTACACCTTTCATTCCCTTCCACCAACATTCCCACAGCAAACTTCTGACAGTGCAGCAGCATACAATTAGGATGGAGAAAGCCTTGTCAAATAATTATGTTCCTGTGCCTCAGGTCGGATCGATGAGGCGGGTCGGCTCCAGTGTAGCTACCATGGGTGGTCCTTTGACGGGGACGCGCGCTGCCAGTCCATCCCCCAGGCAGAGAAGGAGGGGCCGCAAGCTGCAGTGAGCGCGTGTGTGCTTTGTTACCAAGAATGTTTAGAAGACCAAGAATTTTGGTCTTTAGGGTTTTGGCTAGTCAAGGTTTCGGTCATCCAGAGTCCTGGAGGGGTAGGAAAACATTACTGACACGCCTGCCCTGATGTTGAGGTTGGCAGCGGAAGTCTTTGCCACCTGCTCTATCACAGATGGGTGCCACAACATCGGACCAGAAACGCTGAGGAGTTGAGTATTTGCCATTCCGGCAGTTAGACCGTAAGTCCGGGATTCAGTCTGGTTCAAATCATGCACCGAAATGAAGAGCCACACTGCTCTGAAAAAGCACGTGACTGCTTTCGGATCAGCTCGAGAAGCCGCTTTCGTTCGACAACGACCTTAACCCGCCGTTGCTGACCCTAACCCGATGCTCTGCAGGCCCACTCGTCCCCCCGGGCATGTGCGCAGCCCTTCCCCACTCTACTTCAAAACGGCCTTGTGTGGGTGTGGCTGGATCCAGCTACCGCCGACACCGCCTTGAAACGACCCCCCCCGCACGTGCCGGAAATGGACGACCCGTCGTTTAGCAAGGACCTGGTCGCCCGAGACTTCCCTTACGGGTGAGTTTGTGAAAGCCTGTCTCTCCCTTTGGTAAGCATCCCTCTTTGACTCGCGAGAAGAGCAGGTTGGTTCTTGGGTCGTAAAAACATAGAGCTGCAGCGCAGCTAGGAGTGACCGGTAGTAATGCTACGCTCTGAACCTCCCGATGCTGGTCGCCACAGCTGATGGCACCATGATCTTAGATTTATCCACCGGGGGGAAATGAGTAGCCGCAGTAAAGGACGGTGATCTGGTTTGGTAAATTTGCGTACGACTTTGTTGGAAGGCGGAGCTGTTTCATCAGCAAAAGCGTCAACATAGTAGTCAGGCTTTCGTGGAGAAACTCGGTACGTATAATTCTGAGCACAGCTAGTGTCATCAAGACTGCGTCGCCCTGCATGTTCGCTTCCATCAGGAAGCTGTCGGAGTCGATGCACCCGTTTCCCGACCACCTCTGCAGCATTACACCGATGAGACGCCAGTACTTTCGTGACGTCAGCTTTCTCCAACGTGGCGGCAATTTGTTCCACCCCTCGCAGGTACGATTTTCTGGTGGAGAACCTGATGGACCCGTCCCACCTGCCGTTTGCGCACCACGGCATCATGAGCAACCGCAGCCGCGCGGGGCCGCTGCGCATCACGCTGCGGGGGGAGAACCCACGGGGGTTCGTGGCGGAGCAGCACCCCCAAGGAAAGGCAGACTTCAGCGCGCCGGTGCTTTTTACGCAGGACATCAACATTCCTCCCAAGGAGAAGGTATGAAACTTGTCTATCGTACTCTATCGTACTGGATAATGATGCTTCTCTGTCGAACTTCGTGCAGATGTGCTGCTCCCGTTTGTTAGGATGAAAATGTTCAAAGAAGAAGACGCGAGCGTTTCCTTCCAACGTCTCCATGCCCTTGATTAGTCACTCGATTAGAACTGAGGCTCTGAAAGGAGCCGAAGCGATTGGACGCTCGGTTTTGCTTCTGCTCTGCTTCTGCTTCGTCTCTTTCCCAAAACAAGCCTCTCGGTCCCAAAGCGACTGTCAATTGAACGCGGACCTCACCCACTCCCGATGAACCACTGGCCGTCCAGCTGGTAGTGCTTCCGTTTCTCCACTTCTCAACAGCCACTGGCACGTTGGACCAAAGCTGGCAAGTCTGCTTCAGTCGCGCATTATCAACGTTTAAGTCTCAACGCTTGTCGACCGGATTGACCGCGGCTTCCTGTCTGTTTGAACCAGGTTAGCAGTTCAGATTGATGATTCTCACGGCTCACTCGGCCCTTACCAATTCAAGGAGTCTAACGTGTTCTGAGCCCCAGTCTCGCTTGGATGCGCAGGATGCCGCCGAGGGGTGGTTCCGGCAAGACAAATCGTCTGTGCTTCTGCTTTATACCCATTTTCTATAGCCCCGCTTTTGCTTGGTCCGCAGGATGCCGCCAAGGGTGGTTCCGGCAAGAAGATTCGGCTGTGTTTCTGGCTGACGCCCGTCTCCCCCGGGCGCTCGCGGCTCTTCTACGCCTTCCCCCAAAACTTCGTCACGTGGCTCTTCGCGCTGATTCCGCGCTGGCTGCTCCACATCCGGCAGCACTCCATCCTCGACTCGGACCTCATGATCCTCCACCTGGCGGTGAGATTTATTCTTGTTACCTTCCAGAGTTCCGAGAACTATCATTCGAGGTCGTCAAATGGTTCAAATGATGACTTCCTGGTCAACGCTTCCTCTTCTGAGAGTTTCCGCCTTCCGCAGTGTTTCCGATCGGAGTCAAGCTGGCAATCCAACTGTTTGACCTCTAGGCTTCGATGTTTTTCAACCGGAACGCAAGTCTGGAAATCTTTGTGTTCTTGAATGCGGAGCCTGACCCTCTCGGCGCTTGTGGGTACTCAACTCTTCACTCGCGCCATCGCGGCGTGCTACCACTTGATTGCGGCTGCTGGGACGTGCGGCTGGCACCCGTGGGTTGTGATGTCAATATCACTGTGCAGTAATTCGGGCTTGTCTGTGACACAAGTATCTACCAGCGGCTGGTGGCTGTCAAATAGTCTTTCGATTGCCGCGTTGTTAGAAGGAAGAGACTGACGTGTCTCTCGTGGGCGGTGCAGGAGAAGCGGCTGCAGCGCGAGGGTGGCGGGACCGACAACTGGAGCCGGGCGTACTTCATGCCGACTGCAGCCGGTGAGCGCGGGAAACATAGCTCTCGAAAACGAATAATACTTGGGCGTTCCCTAACGCTCCCAGAACAGAAACGAAGTCGGCGTTGAAAGGCGCGATCACGGCGAAACTGTTGGCGTTTGGTTGCTCTCTTGAATCAGAGGCCATGTTGGTTTGAATAGCGGCGACTTGCTTCGACCAGTTGTGAAACACTGAAAAGTATGCGATGGGGATTCATAGACGGGCTTTGTTATCAAGCACAAGAGCCGCATTTGGTACAAATCTGCTTTCTCCCACTTGCCAACGTCTCGAGCGCCTGCAAGCGAAAAGCCCAAAGTCAAACGGTGAAAAGGCCGCATTCCGTGTGTAAACCCTCTGTTAACCGCATCTTTCTCACAACACATCTTGAAGATTTTGAAGCCTACACGGTTATGTTTCCGCCCCTTTTCAGTTGACTTTAGCTTTTTAGCGTGCACATCAGATTCAAGAGCACCTTAAGCTGATTACGTGTTACTTTTACCCCCGGCTCAAGACAACAACTGAAAACGCGTCTTTTTTGAATCAGACCGGTACATCGTGGCGTTTCGGCGGTGGCTCACGAAGCACGGGGGCGGCCAGCCCGACTTTGGGCCGCAACCCGAGCCCGCCCCCACGGCCGCGCAGCCCGGCCGCATGGAACTCATGGACAGGTTAGTGATAACCCCTGACCAGGTTACCTTTGAGTCATGGACAAATTAGTGATTACCCGACCCACTTGCTGACGTTGTCCACACAGTCTTTCAGTGGGTACGTCACCTTTCATCGAACACTGGGTTCTAAGGGGTTTGTTCTTTATTAACGTCAGTCCTTTAGGGCGACAATGTGAGTCCTCTGCTGTTACGATCCTGCACGCAGTCCCAGGTCGTTCGCAGCTTGAGGTTTGGTTGGTTCCCCCCACGCGCTATGAAATTGCGAAACCCTGCCATCATACGAGACCCTGCCATCACACGCACCGCTTAGCTGCGTAACTTGGCCCAAATATGTGATTGGCGCTGCCCGTGTCACAATCATTTACACTTTGGGCGCCTTCATAATCAGTACTATCTGACGGTATCAGAAAACGATGGATCGTATCTGTAGTGCTATCTTTTGTTGTAAAAGTCCGTCTGAAGCATGCAAAAGGTGCTGCAGTAGGGAAACGTCAGAATTCATTTATGCTCGACGGTTGTGTGTTGTAAGCTCTCAGCGCCGCGCCGCTCTAATAAGCCCCTCTCGTGCTTTGCAGGTACGAGTCGCACACAAAGCATTGCTCGTCCTGTAGCAAGGCCGTGCGTCGTCTCGAAGCGCTGCAAAAGGGCCTCGCTTTTGGGTCCGTAAGCATAGTAGCGTTAGTTTCCGCGCTGGCAAGCGGCGGGGTCGTCAAGGCGCAAGCTTACGGTCCATATGCTCTCTTAGGGGCTCTGGTCATGGCTGTGTCAGCATTCGGTCTGAAAGGCGTCATTCAGAAGTTCTACGTTGAGGATTACATTCATGCACTTGTGAAGTGAGTTAGGATATAGACAATACCTTTACGTTCAAATCAGAGCACGCGGATCTGGAGGCAAGTGGCATACAGTTGTCATGTAAGTTTTGTAGAGTTAGTCGAAGCGCAGGTAGAGGCCATTCCATAGCGTTGGATTTGGTGCCATCGTTCTCGTGTGCAAGAATACGCATGTAGTCCGAGTTGATATCCTGTACATACGGATTGTTGTTTCGACTAATTACAATTGAACACTCCTGAACCGTGTTTTATTCGATCCGGAGCAGTCCACCTCTAATTATCAAGCGAGCTTTAGCGCCATGTTATGCACACAACTTGATGTAGAGTCTTGCACATGATGTCACACAGGTATATCTGGAATATACTGAGATCGTCTCTTTCTCCGTATATCAGTATGTAGGGGCCGTGGTAGTAATGTTCTGTGGCGCGCGTATGGGGTGCATGCATGTGCCAGATCGGACAACGCGCGGTTCGTTCATGGCTTGTACGTCGATCTATCCCTGAGTAATACGATCTATCTGATCTCATCAAAACACAGACTCGAGCTGCGCTTTAGCGAGTACGCTCCCGTATGGCACGTACCGGTGGAGAGTACAGTGCGGCGGTGCATCTTTCAGTGCGAACTTCAAAGGTCTATTACTAAGTGTCCAGTATATATGGTTTCAATGGCTCTCTATCTATATGAACGAGGCTTAGTAAGCTAGCTATCCTATAGTCCGGTCGTAAGATACACAACCTTGGTTATGACTTCTGGCGGCAAGATACTACATAGATGCAACCTTCCGACAGTGTAGCTTGATCTTGACCTGATAAAGGTTTTGGGGGCTTTTCTTTTTATGTAGGTTGCTTGAAGAAGTCTGCTACTTCGCCTTAGGTTCCTTCTCAAGGGATCACCAATCTGCCAGCTACATCTGCCAACGACATGGTCCCCATGCAAACCGAACACAAGAGCTCTGCTAATGTACGTGTCCGATCTGCATGTCCTGAATTACAACTAGATATGCAGGCCTAAAGCACGTCAGTTTATCGAATCACTGCCTCTGTGAGAAACTTGAACTTCGTTCAAACAAGCATGTTTTGCGAAAAAGCAAGAACGGGGCCGGGTCAAAAGCAAACAATCAAGAAGGCGACTCCTGGTTATGCCGCTGCTGTTGCCCCCCTGTTCTGTTTCAGCGCGGCGATCGCTTCCTCCAGGCCCCGTTTCTTTGCCTCCAGTTCTTGCACCTCTTTGTCCGTGGCACTGTGCGGCCCCGCAAGCGCCTCGCTCAACCGACGGGCCTCCGTTGTGCCGTCGATGCGGACCGTCCGTTCGTTGATGCAGACACCCTTGCGGACCATCTTGACCTTGAGGTTCGTCGTCAGAGCGCGCAGCTGCTCGAAGTCCATCCTGCCGCCTGCAATAGGTTCCAAGAGCATATCTTGCGAATGGCTTTTACGAGTATGAATAAATATCGAAAGTGTTGAAAAAGCTTTATCTTCCGCTGGTCCAAATCGACGCACCCCACTGCAGGAGGTAGAAACCGACCGTCCGGCAAGAACCACAGCGGCTCTTTCAGCTCTGGCGGAAATCACGGAGCTCCAGTAGATTCTTCGAGAACGATATCATGTTTCCTCGGTTACTTGCGGCGTCCCTCTCGCCGTTCACTCCTGTTCTAGGCCATACCATGGCTGCAATGAAAAGACATAGCTCTCGGCCAGATGCCGACAGTCAGGGCTGGATAGATGCAAAGCAAATCGAAGAATTGTGCTGATTGCTGATTGCTTGGCACCACTGACTCAACCGTCAAACGAAGACCTCGATTAGGTAGGATGACTTACTCGAGGCGTGGAACATGCCGCCCCCCAGTCTCAGCACAAGGTGAAGAGTGGCCTCCCGTTGAACTTTGCAGTCTGTCAGAGTGAGTCCATCCTGCAGCTGCTGTCCCGCATGAATGAGGCGCTGCGCTGACGACGTGATGCCTTCCAGTTGTTCAATCTGTCTCTTCACGTCCTCCACCAAGTCATTGCCGTAACAGTTCAAAGTGATCGTCCTTCCGGTGAGCCCCTTGCAAAAAATCTGGATTTGTCCGTCCCATCTCTTCTCGACCGTAAGAAACGAGCCCGACTTGATTCCCTGCTGCCAGCAGTACTTCCGATCAGAGTCTTTAGTTTCGAGGATGTAACTTGTGCCACCAATGACCCGCAGATGCTGCTCTTTTGACTCAATTCCCGTCTCTTGAAAGATCAACGACTGGAGCGCCTCGAGGGTCGTGCTTTTGTTGATTGTAGTCAAGGTTACAACGCGCGTGACGTCACGAGTGGGGCCGAGGACGAAGGCGATAACTGTTCCTCTGGTTCTTCCCCAGGGCAGGTTTTGAGAAGGGAGACGTGCCTGGGTTGTCTGCAAGAGGAGGGAACTTAGAGTCAGATACTCAGTGCATCCTCAAAGTAGCCTCAAAGTTTTGAGAGAGATTTGAATACGAAAGTTTCAGGGAATCTTGTGATGAATCTATGCTATAAGGTCATGACTTGCAATCGCAACTGCACCCCTGAACAGTTTAATGAAACTTGTAGAAGGCTCTGTGCTACCCTTGGAGCCACAATGTCATAGTTATCACCTCTGCCTTCCGGGTTGTGTTATACTAGTCACATTGAGGGTCAACATGCTTCTTAAGAGCTCTCATCCCAAGGCTTTGCCCTTGTACCAAGATGTTTTGAGGTACACTTTCCCCACGTAAACAGTCTGTGCAGATTGAGACCATAGCGACTCTTCCCAAATGAATAGCACAGTCTGAAAAAGGCTTCCCTTTCTAGACTGAGACACCTTCGCTCAACTCATAGCAACGTCTGACCAATAAACTTTCTGACAAGCACGTAGTATAGACCGGAGTTCCTGCTTTCACTGATGGCATCAGCCTCCTGAGCAGGAGAGTTTTTACAGGAGAGCAAAGTTGAGGCCTCCATCTAACAATGTTGTGGCATCTGGATGTCACAAAGCTAGATCTCACATTCTGGCATTGCAATCAAGACGTAAAGTAGCTATGCACGAATAGTCAGAAGGTTTTTGAGAGATAAAATGAAGGTCCTATCGGGCAGGCTCTAGTCTGAGGTTCACAGCATCCACTCTAATACGTAGTTGCCTTCTGATGCATTTTCTCACCTGAATCTTTGAGCACTTCCAGAAATTGCAAATAGATGACGAAGAATATTCCTGTTATTCTCAAAGAGACCAAGAACACCAAAGTGGCCTTCCACAGTCAACTTTTCTGTTTGTAGCACCAAATAAACGAGGTCTGCTGCTCCAAAATGCCTCAAATATCTGCCAAGTCTGCATGATGTGACTGCTTAGTCTGACAGAATGCTCAAGAAAAGCCTTCATCGAGCTTGCTCTTGTACAGACGCATTTAATGATGGTGACTTGGTTCAGTACAAAACTCTTGGCGTATGCAGCATAAAATCAAACCTTATCCTGGCGTCCTGTGACAAGCACAGTGGCTACATGAATGGTTGAAAATATGATGTGACCGCTGGCTCAAACCTCTTGCTAGCATTGTCAGAATATGCTCAACTGGTGCTTTTCGAAGGGTCTGCACATCTCAACCTACCTTCACATGAAGCACCAGCTTATCCAGGACATACACGGCAGCAAGCTCCTCTTCATCCTTCAGCTTCTTTTCTGCAGGCCTTTTGTGCGCATGATAGAACAGGCGCCCTGTGTCCACATCGAACGCAACCTCAGCAGAGTCATGCGGGAAGGAACTATATGTGGTGCGGTCCCTCCCATTATCCAGTTCGACAGCTTGATAATAGCTTGCATAACAATCTTGGACGCGTTGGTCTTCCTGAACCGGCTGCCAACCCCCCAGCAGGAGCTCCATACCCCTAGAAGAGATGCACAGCTTTTGCTGCAGCAAGGCCTTTGCACGTCCAGCGGTGAGGCTCCTGGGGTCCACATCAGGGAGCACATGTTCCCAAGGGATGCTGTGATTCTGCATGCGCAGCTCAATGACCACCATTGTGCGTTCAGCCACTTCGAGCCTGCTTGGATGGGACTTGCCTCCCAATTACTTTGGAAACTGGGGTCTAGAGTCTAGAGTAAACCTGTCGCAGACGCAGACGTTCTGACGACCCCTCCCTACTCTTTTTGAAGAAGGCTCAGCATCCAGCCGGTGCTTTTACGCTTTGCAAGACAAGCTACCTATGTAAGGATAGAGAAACAATGCAATACTTGTTGTGAAAGCGGGGAGAAAACGAAGCGCCTTGACATTGTATGACATTGGTTCGAGGTTGACAAGTTCGAGGATGATCCTGGATGATCCCTCGTCACGAGCAAGTGTGAACGTCAGCCGTCCATCGGTAGATCTGGGTACATAAGCTCTTTCAATGCGACGGCGTCAAACTTATTAATTTTAATTCGATCGATTAATTCGATTTTGAGGCACAATCACCAAAGTTCTGCCGTCGGATGCCTTCCCATTACCGATCGTACGGTCTATGGAAACACGATGGCAAGTTTGACGGAAAAAGATTTACCCGTCGGTCTGTACCTAATATGCTCGGAGTCGCTGCCAGGTGGACGTATGGTATCACCTCCATTTGGCCTCGAAACCCTAGCTGACGCACTTGATAATTGCCTCCTAATATTGCCTCCCTGTATTGGCATGTCAATTTCGCGGTAAAGCTATTTTATTCGTGATCCTATTGGCTAAACCCTTACCGCCTGCCAACGTGGCACCATCGAGCATTGACCTCGAAGACCGCGCACCGTCGCTTCATCTTCCACTTGATCCAAACCGTCCACTGGCAACAATGATTGTCCGGGGAAACCCTAATACCTACTATGCATGTATCCTCAAACCTACTATAACGCACTCTAACCTACTCTGAACCACTCTAACCCCCAAACCCTGCCGCACCCACGAGGCCACAACTCAGACACATAAACCCAGACTACCCGGAGGAAAG